CAGCACAATTCTAGCTTAGCTCGCAGCTCGCATCTTGTCTCCTTCGGGCTTCACGAGCTTCATGGGTCGTTTCGTCGGCATCGATCAGCAAGACCACCCTCACGAAGACTGCGTGTAACAAATACAGACAGCACGGCGGAGGGTTGATGACAGCGAGTCGTATAAACCCGTTTATACGACTCCCTGGTTGACAACAGTCAACAGGATTTCAGTACAGGCTGCTGGTAAGTACCGGTATCGCGGTAGTCAACTGCATTGTATTTGTAGTTGTAATGATTATGGCCATGATGACTGTACTCTTTTGTAGTCTGTAGTCTTTCTCGGACTGGGAAGTACAATCTGACTGATTGAATCAGTCATGTAGATGTACAATGTAGACGTATCTGCATCATACAGGGGCGAGTAAGTGCCACGGTTGAGCAGTTGCCGTCGACCTTTGCGGCTACTAGCAAGAGTGCATAAACTGTTTATGGACTCTTGCTACTAGTATTACGAATACAGCGAAGTGGACTATAACTAACTTTAAGTTACTTATACCAGGTATTGGTAAGCTGCAAAGACAGTAAACATGACTTTTAATTATAATATGCGCTACATTTTACTAGTATGTTATAACCAGGGAGTAGTATTTTACTACTCCCTGGTTATAACAATTATTATTTATTATTGTGCTTGCTTTGCTAATAATGCTTGATAGTTTATGATGATGACAGCATGACAAGGCGGAGGACACACAGCATTGAAAACTGTACCGTGTGCCTGACTGCAACCAGAGACCGGTTGGTAGATCCCGGTCTTGCCACCATACATGTATGGAAAAAGGGGGTCGCAGAATATTATACGACTCCCTGATATGAACCATATGGGGTCATGGCCCGGTTCAGACTCTCTGTGTTCTGAGGGAGGATCTAGGAGGAGGATCCCCGGATCACTTGATTGTACTTGAGATCTGGAATCTGTCCGTAGGTTGTGTAAACACTTGACTTCATTACGGCACAAACAGACATGTGTCAGAGACCTACTTACGTTACAACATTGTACTGCCTCAATGTAGCAAGCTCACCAACGTCGATGATGACGAGAACGAAACCTGCTGCCACTTAGAAAAACTTTTTAAGGGCACATGTATATATATGTACTCAATCTAAACATGTAGGTACAGTCAACTTCGCTAATAACGACTGCGGATATAACGACAATTCGCAAATAACGACAGAATTTCCATGCCCAGAGCAAAGTCCCATCCCACTGTAATACATATAATGAGACTTCGGGTATAACGACACTTCACGAATAAGGACACCTTTTTGATGCCCCGCCGAGTGTCGTTATAAACGAAGTTGACTGTATGTTAAACATACAGTTCTACCTGTGAGCGAGATCCAATGGTGACACTTTCACAGACTAGGGTGATCACGATACCAAGAGTACATAACCCCAAGAGTGTGCAACTCCTGATCTCTGAGCTATGGGTGCCCTGCGCCCCTGCGCGGTGCCTTCATTACCTAGTGAAATGATGATCCAGCTGCCTGGATTTGAGTTTTCCTACGGTTTAGCCTCAACAAAGCGGATTCGAAAGCAGGAGACCATAGTAGACCAATAATGGCACAGTGGCCCACAGCTCGTGGCTACGTAATGCAGGCAGCGCGCCGTGCCAGACCCCATATGCACAGCTGCATAGTCTTGGAGTTATGTACTCTCGACGATACTGTAGGGTAACTCATCAAGTGACGTCGCACACAACCACAGCACTAACATGAGGGTGTGTGTACGAGAGAGCTTGGAAGCTCAGGGCCCTACGCTATGCTTTTTTGCCCAGCTCATCATGCATGTTATTAAAATGTTTTTTTCTCTTTGCATGTGAGGGTAATACGATACCGTCTACCACCTTGATGACCTAGGCAAAAAAAGCATAGGGATGTTATACATTTTTCATTTCTCCTTTTTTTAAGACATAACCTGGGATTCGAACCCGCACTGTCGCCCTGCATGCATTCCCCCGATACACTTCGCATACATACTCATTCTTCCAAGTTGCTTCACGTTATGATCTTGCATTTGAAAGCCCTATTTGAATATTGTGGCCAGCTGTCTTTGATGGTACAGTACGGTACGGGACAGGTACGGGATAGCGCCAGGCATGCCGATGGCACAAACAAACAAACACGGAAGTAAAGCTGTGTGGACCCTGGCTAGCGCCAGACGTTACTGAAGTAACGTCTTTTGCATAGCTACGGGAATTAAAGTCTTTTTGCAGCTGTTACCATGCCCTTAAACGGAGACCCCCTCGGTTTAGGCTAATGCCTGGGGAGAATCCATATAAACAAATAGAAAGTGGACCAGTCACACTGCAATGTATATGTATGGCTAAACGATCCATACCCTACACCAGTACACGTATACCAAAGAAACTTGAAACAAAGAGGTGATGCTAGCCTATACTATAGCGGACCTGTCAACTCAGGAGTAGCCAAACCAAAAGTGCCCATTACAAAACAAGACAATTATAGATTCTAGACTTGATCCACGTCCATGACACACCTGCCATGATTGATCTTACTCCTATACATACTGATCAGGTCTGTCAAGTGGACGTGTTTCTGTGTGGTTTCAGAACTTCGAAGTCTGCTGTGCACTTACATGTAGTACATACTGGTAGATGCAGTAATTGCACTGCACATTTACACGTACACACCATCAGCAGTGCACCGTTAATCGGATCACCATGCACCACTACCACCACCGCCACCACCTCCACCACCGCCGCCTCCACCACCACCGCCTCCACCACCGCCGCCTCCACCACCGCCGCCTCCACCACCGCCGCCTCCACCACCGCCGCCTCCACCACCACCGCCTCCACCACCATCACCACCGACGCCACCATCACCACCACCACTACCAGCAACAGCACCCTTGCATATCTGCGTCTCACTTATTAGTGGCTTCACTTGTCCGCAATTCACTCATGACCACGGGGAGTCTCGAGGCAGAAGAAATCTTTGCGTGCTTTCTGCACTGAACATCTGTTGCAGCAGTGTGTAAGATAGCACTTCTCCAGCATCATACTCTGTATAATGGTAGACGCTGAGAATGTGGCTGCTATGGATTTCACTCGTGAACCTAGTTTTAAGTATCCGAGCATCTTTTCTTCAAAACACTGCCCACAAGTGGTAGGTCAGTGAAAGTCCGCTGTACACCTACATGTTAACAGCACCAGCACCACTACCACTGCCGCCATCAGCAGCACCACCGCCAGCCACAGGTGACCACAACACCCACACTCGTCACAACCAGTTACCACTCACAACCAGTTACCACTCACGACCAGGCACCAGTGCTAGGCTTTTCCGGATTATGCGTTTTTTCTTGGTCTAAAATGGAAATGGAAAGTGTTTTGAAAAACCCCTATAAATCAAATTTTTTTCTAAAGAAAATGCAAAAATTTACCCAAAAAGCACAAAAAATGCCACCGTTGCCATGGTAACAAAATGGCGACAGCTAGTCGCGTGACATTTGGCACCATGGTGATCATTCATGGTGATCGTGAAGTACCTATCGCTTGCAGGGAGTCGTAAAATACCGGTATTTTACGACTCCCTGGCCCAAAGTGGGTCAAAATGGACAAAATGCATTTTGACCCCCAAAATGCAAAAATATGCAAACACATAATCCGGAAAGGCCTAACCAGTGCTGCCAACCTTCCGCATTTTCCGTATTTGTACGGAAAAATCACTCCTTCGTCCGCAGTATGGAATTTGAGCAAAATGGCACGGAAAATTGAAGAGGGTCGATCAGCTACAGATATGTATGTAGAAGCATGGCAAGCGCAAGCTGAGTGATGAATATCCCTCGGCTAAAACGAGTGCATGCCATTCTTCGACTACATGTAGCACAAAATGATATGTCGTGGTACAAGTCCCACATGCTTTGCACTACGAATTCAGCCACCGACAAGCATGTGCCGGAGTGTCAAAAAGCACAATACAAGCAATGCACACGGCAGTACATTGGTAGTACGGAGAACACTGCAAAATACGGAAAATCAGGAGTCGGAGTCGGAGTACGCAAAACAGACCCAGTTGGTTGGCAGCACTGAGGCACCAGCACCACCAACATCACCACCAACATCACCAGAACCACATCCACAACCACCAGCACTATGACCCCCAGTATCAGCACCACCACAGCCATGAGCACTGCCACCCAGCACCACCACAGCCATGAGCAGTATCAACCAGCACCACCACAGCCATGAGCAGTATCAACCAGCACCACCACAGCCATGAGCAGTATCAACCAGCACCACCACAGCCATGAGCACTGCCAACCAGCACCACCAAAGCCATGAGCACTGCCAACCAGCACCACCACAGCCATGAGCAGTATCAACCAGCACCACCACAGCCATGAGCACTGCCAACCAGCACCACCAAAGCCATGAGCACTGCCAACCAGCACCACCACAGCCATGAGCACTGCCAACCAGCACCACCACAGCCATGAGCACTGCCAACCAGCACCACCACAGCCATGAGCACTGCCAACCAGCACCACCACAGCCATGAGCACTGCCAACCAGCACCACCACAGCCATGAGCACTGCCAACCAGCACCACCACAGCCATGATGAGCACTGCCAACCAGAGCCACCAGCACATTATGGTGGCACAAGTACTCACCTGGCACCAGACCAGGCAGAGGCTGGCCAGTTCTTGCATGGCCGAAGTCATAGAAACTACACAGCCTGATAAAAGTAAAGGTGTAAACTAGCCAGCAGTTAAAGCTGTCACTTATAAGTGACAGTTTAAAACTGCCGTGACCAGTAAATTTTACCGGTCACGGCCAGTTTTGTGCCTGTGAGTGTGACCAAGACAAGACCAGTACAGTAGAAGTAAGCTTTAGTACACAGCCAAACAGCTGGTTATGCATGGGTACACTAAACACTACCTGTTGCTCTGGCAGAGCTAAGGCAACATCAGCAAGCATTCGTTCCTTACCTGCATCTGAATTCCGCGAGGTGATTGCATCCTCCACATCTGCTTCTGTGGCATGCTGCTGTTTCTGTTGATGCCGATGGCCGGGAGATGTGGATCTGCTACGATTGTGTGACCTAGACCTTCTCCTGGCATCCTTGTAGGCCTGTTCTTCATTGACTGAGAGGCCCCTGCCACGAGCCGGCGTAGTAGTAGTAGTGGTGGACAGGACAACCCAATCTTCCTCCTTGGGACTGGTGGGATCAGCACCAGTCAGATCAGTTTCTTGCGACACTCGCACATGTATGGTGGTGTCCGGACCAGCAGACACCAATGCAGACTGGCGCCTATCCATAGCGTACACTTCAACTGCTAATTATTATCATCAACTGGGCTATGCCTGCCTGTGCAACCACTCACCAGCACTCTTTACTGTCACTGATGACCCAGCAGCTTGGTTCCATGTCCTCCCATTACTGACTAGGTGTGCAAACAGAGCAAGGCTGAACAGGGGAAGCAAGAAGCAGGCCTCTGTCACTGAAAGCAAACAACTGGCCAAAGAGTGCATCCAGATGGCAGCACAAGGATACTGCGACCAGCAAGACTATAGTACTAGTGCTCTTTCCCCGATCAAACCAGGACAAGCTGAACAGTGTGGGAGGTACTGGGAGCCTGTACGGTCTGCCTGCGTGTGAATGAATGTGTACATACCCACCTACTGCAGTAGTGGTACCACAGCAGCCAGGGGCACGCAGTGTTCCTGCGTGTACGAGGATGTTACTTGAAGTACCTGCATCAAGCTCAGACATGGCATAGCATTCCACAGGTGCGTAAAAGCAGGGTGTTGTAGTACTATAGTAAAGCCAGCAGGACACATTGAATACTTCTCATCCAGGGGGCTCGCCCAGGGGTCACTCTATTACAGCACAGGAAGACAAAAGTGAGAAAAGAGACAACCCCCCATGAGTAGAGAATGAAGTGTGCTGAAATGGCAGATTGTAAGATTGTGTCACACATACCTCAAGTACTTGCCCCACAACCCTGCAGGTCAGTAGTGCTTGGTGCACATGCACCTGTAGCAGCCAGAAGAGAGTAGAGTTGTTCTCAAGTACTTCTATCTCATCTCCCAGTGGTGCTTGTCTCAGCACTGCACTGATTGACAGCATACCTACTATCATAAAGATATAGGGGGAGACTAGCAAGCACTGCTGGCACTTGAATAATTGCAAGAGGGAAAACCAACTTCAGTACATTAGTGCCCCTTCAAGTTTCAACCCTGAACATCAGCAGGAATAACCCTCAAACATGATAACTGCTAAACTGGGCAGCCAGGGCCATACAGGGGAGGGGGTCTGTCCACATTCCGAGTAACCCCTCAAGCAATCAAAAACAGCATGAACTGATAAGTGGAATGGAAAGCTGTGAACACCAGTGAGTTACAACTTTACACAGTCCAAAGCTCCACTGCCATCCAGTTCAAATGATTCCGGCACAGTCCTTCTAAACATACCTAACGTCGTTGGAATAACAACAGAAGAAGCTGCTGGGTGGGGGGGGGGGAGGGGGCACACTTCCAAGAATGGCAAGATATTGGACAACGAAACAACGTTTCTGGACTACAAGTTACTTAGTAGTACTGTCTCTCTTTCTTGGGGATAAATGAGCAAATGCTGGGAATTGGGATGACGAGTAATTAGATATGACTGTGGTAACTTTTAGAACAAGACATCGTCATGGCACTAGCCTAGTGACTAGGTAAAACAAGTGTGTGCAAAGGCATGCTTGTAAGGATATGCCAAATACTAGTACTTCGAAGTACACTGTAACATAATTTTCACAGTCATGTACATGTCATGTAGCTAGCAGCAAGGGTTGGGGGTGAAACAGCACCAGAAGTGTCTGTGTAGAGATGACGAGAGGTGACAGTGACCCCAGAATAGCAAAAATCGAATAAGGGAATGTGAGTAGGTGTCACGTTCACCTTTGTATCACCCCTGCAAACACTTGCTACTTGTCAACTAATGGTCTTGGATGTATCTTTGTGAGTACTAGTAACCTTTGCACACTTGAAATAATTGTTTGACTTCACGCCATATTCTTATAGTGGCATTGAATACTCTGTTTATTCTCACATTTTATCACTCATTATTGCTCTCCAGCACTGCATTTTAATACTAATATTTTATCCTGAACTGAAGGGACAAAATTCCTGCGTTGTTTCATACCAATCTTGGGAGTGTGCTGCAAAAGATCCAGTAACCAGTAACCTCGCTTGATGTCCTGCTAAAGTAACCCATGCTAAGGAACTAGTTTGTTATCAGTTACTGCCTTGGGTTCCTGTCCAATTGTCTCTGTTCCTTCTAACATACCCCCTCCCCCCCCCCCCCCCCCGGGTTCCGTACAATACCTCCCTACAAACTGCTCCAGTTACGATGTCCATAGACAGCACGCCACCTTCAGACTGCCCAAGGTCACCAATCGTTTGTGTCTTCCAAACTGAGAACTTTTCCTTTGTGGGTGGGTGGGTTTTGGGATTTTTCGCTTTCAAACATAATTACTGGGTGCACAAAACCCTCATGGGGGCTGAGGATTGAAATCAATAATTATTTTGCTGAGTATCGTCACCTATAGAACGAGTGATGGGAGGGGAGCTGAAAAGTAATAAAAGCCACCGTCCTATTAAACTGCCTGAACATGAAATTACTCAGCACTAAAATATACCTGTAATGCGGTGTGATCAGTATGATCAACATCAGTATGATCAACATCAGTATGAACAACATGAACTGGCCACAGCAGTGACAATACCATTAAAGGGGAAGTTAAGGCAAAAATTAAAATTTCACCAGTTGTAGTCTTCGGGGTGCTGAGTCGAATGGTCTTGGTCCGAGAAAGCTGAGACGCTCCCTTCCTACTTGAATCCCAATCGAACTCGCGCACTTCCACCGAAACTGGGTGACTGCGCCCTACTAGATGGGGATTTGTATGCAAAATGTCACTAAAAGCGCCATTTCGTTCTTATAAAAGCACGGATGACCGCGATTGGCCCATATGTTGTACTCTTTTGGACGCTGAGTCGACTGGTTTTAGTCCAAAAAGGCTGCGATGCAGCGTTCCTCCTTTATTCCCAATCGAACATGGTTGAACAAGCGGTCACGTGCTCCTGGGTGCCCAAATCACCTGGTCACCACGCCAGCAGGCGACAACTTTCACACCAAGGTGCAACTCGAGTGACAGGACTGCACCCAAAAAAGGTCAAACAGGCTAGTAGTCAGTTGTACCCTGCAGGCACGGTGACCAGGTGACTGGCGTACGCAGGAGCATGTGACCGCTTGTTCAGCCATGTTCGATTGGGAGTAAAGGAGGAACGTTGCATTGCAGCCTTTTCGGACCAAAACCAATCGACTCAGCGTCCAAAAGACTACAACATATGGGCCAATCGCGGTCATCCATGCTTATATAAGAATGAAATGGCGCTTTTAGTGACATTTTGCATACAAATCCCCATCTAGTAGGGCGCAGTCACCCAGTTTCGGTGGAAGTGCACGAGTTCGATTGGGATTCAAGTAGGAAGGGAGCGTCTCAGCTTCCTCGGACCACGACCATTCGACTCAGCACCCCGAAGACTACAACTGGTGAAATTTTAATTTTTGCCTTAACTTCCCCTTTAATTTTGACAGTGATATAAATAGTGCCCCGAGAAAAAGACCGTAAATTCCGCATGACCAAACAGTGTGGGTAGGAACTGGATGCTTTTGATAAAATCACACAGCCTATTCAAGCTACATGCATTCTTCCTCCAGTACCAACAAATCACAGCCTATTCAAGCTACAGGCATTTTCCTCCAGTACCAACAAACTTCAAAAACAGCACTGAAACTTGCCTATCGCCAGAGCTTGTACAAAACTAATACTTGTCCTAACGTTACAAGAAAGGACAATTGCATGTATAGGACAGAATTTGGCGTAGACCGTGAGAGGTTTCCTTTATCGGGCTGCCTCTGGGCATTTTCCTTGTTCACCAATGAAGCCCCGTGCTCGGCTAACATTCCAAAGTGATACAAGTACAAGCCATTATAATGTAGTCGCTAACACCCATCACCCCCACCAATACCTATCACCCCCGCCATTTCCTATCAGCTATATCAGTTGATTGTTGCATCTATTCTCCGCTTACGCGCGCATCGTTCACCTGCGGTCTTCTTCTTTGCGCATCACAGGTGGTGAACGGAAAAAGAGCTGATGAAACACAAACTCCAGCCAAAAGTCTCCCGTGTAAACTAATTGCGAAACTACGGTACCGCGAATAAGATCAGAACAACATGGATTTGTTTGTAGCTCAACTATTTTTTTCGCCGAATGTGGTGCCTTACAGGAGCAATTATAGAAATGGATTGCCAATTGAATGAGTTCAAAATGATAAAACATGTGCTTCTCTAGCATCCTTCCGGAAAGACATTTTGCCATGTGTGTGTAGGGCGCTGTATGAGTATTCATTAGGTGACTTTAGGTCCCATCTTGGAAACCTGCAGATGAGTAAATAAAATATGAACAATTGCCCTCTCTCAATCGCTTGATCCCGGACACACCCCAAATAGTTATGGGTAAAATACAAGCAGAAATTAAAGTTATTTCTTGTTCTCAGAGAGGATACCTAAGAGCAGAATCCGCACATCCTGCCGGAGAAGGCGCTTGATAAATACTTTAAGTAAAATTTCCTACAACTTCAAAAACTCAAAAACTTACAATTGGAGCAGAGAGGCGAGAATGGCAGTATGACGAAGGGTAGCCAGGCAGGTAGTTGTGCACCACAATAGGTGCAAAATTGATGATCAGAGTTCAAACCATTGCCCCCTGCGGCATTCACAATTGTTAGGATTCTGGCACGGCTCTGTAGAATCTACAGATGGCATTATTCTTGCCTAGACAATGACGGCGATAGGTATCACCGCTAGTAGGGGCAACATTGACATCAGCTTAGCATTACTTTCCATTGCAATATAATGTGCAAGTTGCGCAGCCAGCGAAAGCAATCCGTTGACTCTGTGGTCCCCAAGGTTCGGTTTGACACATGACACACTCTGTTCAAAGACGCCATTTCTCCCGTTACTGTGTCTCCCATCTTATCCTAAAGCAGCGGAGCCTTCACTATGAGCTGACGAGACTTGGTGAAGTTGGCGATAACCTTGGTATCTTTGACCGGCTGTGGCCAACGTAGACAGAGTGTTGGCTGGCTAGGTACTTGGACAGAGATGTCATCCTACAACAACAACAACAACAACAATAACAACAACAACAACAACAACAACAACAACAACAACAACAACAACAACAACAACAACAACAACAACAACAACAACAACAACAACAACAACAGCAGCAGCAGCAGCAGCAGCAGCAGCAACAACATCGTGAGAATAAAGAATTCAATTCAAAACAACAACAACAACAACAACAACAACAACAACAACAACAACAACAACAACAACAACAACAACAACAACAACAACAACAACGTCGTCATCATGAACAGGAGGCCAATAAGCACACAACACAATAGTCCGGACCTCAGCAGATTGTAATACGAACATTTTACGCAACACGGTGAGCAATGGGCAGTAGAGATGATCATGAGCATTCCAGCTGAATACCACAACCCAATGACATGGTCCTGCTCCGTGACTCCTGTACCGCATGCATGCTTTCACTTTGTGTGACTCAATGACATGGTCCTGCTCCGTGACTCCTGTACAGCATGCTTTCACTTTGTGTGACTCACTGACATGGTCCTGCTCCGTGACTCCTATACCGCATGCTGTCGCTTTGTGTGACTCACTGTGGGGCAGTCAAGCAGCTGCCAAAGCATTTTCAAGTGACTACGCTCTCCAGGGACACAGTACAGATGTGAGACACAGGATACCACCAGTAAGCAAATCTGATGATAATGAGAAGTTCAACTGATGGCATCGGCAAAGGCAGTTCTTACTGCTTAGGTGAACAGCAGGTTCCTCGTGGCATGCACTGGTGATACTGTCTCACTGATAGAGATATTGGTCACAGCTCTACATGTACAGGGCCAATCTCCTCAACCTCAGATCTGGGCATTCTTGCATGCTAAGTTCCCTGAACTGCACCGGGCCATATGCACAGGAATTGACCTCCTGAATTACATGTGTGACATGATTCCGCTTGATCCAGGGATGCATGTTCCGTCCACAGCACTTTGGTGCATGAAAATGTGCCCGGTCAATACAGGATTCCGCTTTGTAAAAGGTCCGGAAAACACAGGTTCTACTGTACAACACCAGGGAATCGTAGCGTCTACTACAAGTGGAGTGGTAGTAGTGACATGAAACAAGAACATTGCACCAGAAACGATGTTCGTTCCTGAATTTGGAAGTTGTACGTGAACTAGGGTCTATGCAACGTATCCCGAGAATAGGCCTAGCCCAAAATTGCCAGCAAATTCCGAGCAAAATATCGAATTTTTTAGAGGATCCGGGTGTGTTTTGGCAATATATTCTAATTTCTTTGGTTTCGTTGGGTCAATTTCATCCTGAAACAGCTGGTACATGTTGTCAGGGGTACATAAATATGAAATTGTGCCACAAAGTCCTTAATTCTGACACCACTTGCACTTTCACTTTTCTCACCAGAGTCACCATCCACTTCCACCAAAGTAGACGAATCATTCGAAGCCATTTTTGCCACAAAGTAGGAGCAAAATGAAGCAAAATATCGGAAACGAAAGGCAACGTCAAGCAAAATACAGAAAGTCCCTGCCTAAAACACCACCGCTACTGCGCTAGCCCCCACAGTCTCACACAGCTTTTTATACCACCCTCTCCTGGCATATATACCGGCATGGTCGGCACCCGATCTTCATGTTGCCTGATGATTGCGTGAGCATGAAACTTTTAAAGTAGCAGCAAACAAGCCTTGATTGTCCTTGTTGTTCTGTTGTGTATTTAATACGCTCTGCCTTTGTGGTGTTGAGCACTGTCAGCACTCTGGGTACATCCTTCGGGGAAAGTGCGCTGGTAAAATGTTGCCGCAAAATATCGAAGCGCCCCGAGCAAATTTGGGCTAGGCCTACCCGAGAAGGTACAACTCCCTGTACAACACCACGCATGGACTCCCTGTACAGCACCACACATGGACTCCCTGTATAACACCACGCATGGTCTCCCTGTACAACACCACACATGGACTCCCTGTACAACACCACACATGGACTCCCTGTATAACACCACGCATGGACTCCCTGTATAACACCACACATGGTCTCCCTGTACAACACCACGCATGGTCTCCCTGTATAACACCACACATGGTCTCCCTGTACAACACCACGCATGGTCTCCCTGTACAACACCACGCATGGACTCCCTGTATAACACCACGCATGGACTCCCTGTACAACACCACACATGGACTCCCTGTATAACACCACACATGGTCTCCCTGTACAACACCACACATGGACTCCCTGTATAACACCACACATGGTCTCCCTGTACAACACCACACATGGTCTCCCTGTACAACACCACGCATGGACTCCCTGTATAACACCACGCATGGACTCCCTGTACAACACCACACATGGACTCCCTGTATAACACCACGCATGGTCTCCCTGTACAACACCACACATGGTCTCCCTGTACAACACCACGCATGGTCTCCCTGTATAACACCACACATGGTCTCCCTGTATAAGTAGAGGATATAACCCGAGTCAGAGGGTTATACCGGCTGAATATAAATCCCGACTGCGATAGCAGGAGGGATTTATATGAGGGTACGGTATAACCCGACTACGAGGGTCATATCCTACTTATGCCAGGTACCCCTACGCATTTCCAGAACAACAAACCTATTTGGAGATCTCCTACATCATACAGTACATGAACATGTTCTGCTGGTTATCAGTTGTCAATTGAAAGAATGGTCGAGTAAGATCAGAAGGAGATTCCTCCGTGGATGTTTGGCATCAGATTTCCTTTCAGTTCCAGTGTAGCATATTGTCTCGTGAGCGATGCGGAAGTCAACTGAATTGCTGGGGTGCTGGAGTTGTCGTTGAATCAAACTACCATCACTAGTTAGACTACAGTACAGTTTGGACTCTTTGGGAGTAAGTGTTACTATTATCATGATTATGGTACAGTGCTGATTTTCACATGCGGCATCTTATAATCAGGTTTGCTTACTTGCAAGTAGATGCATTTGCATACACTGTTTTGTATCACTGTATCACATTTCAATCCATTCTAGCGTTATTCCAATCGGTTTAGGTGGATTTGAAGGGTTGTCTCGCGTTCCAAGGAGCTAGGCTCTGGAATGCGTTGCCCAGCGAGGTGCGGGCCATACCGCACCCGGCCCAATTTCGCACTGCTGCTGTTCCACACAGCATGAACCCTTGAGGTCAGACGGATCACTATCGCCATATTTTCATTATATGCCTGTCTGTTGGCCTGCCTGCCTGTCTCTCTCCCTGTTCTCTGACAACTTGCTTGTTAATTCGTGCGGTTGTTTTCAGACGTAAAGCCCTGTTGTAGAGGTCTCAGCCCTCATTTGTTTGTGTGTGTGTGTCTCTCTCTCTCTCTCTCTCTCTCTCTCTCTCTCTCTCTCTCTCTCTCTCTCTCTCTCTCTCTCTCTCTCTCGCTCTCGCTCTCGCTCTCGCTCTCTCTCTCTCTCTCTCTCTCTCTCTCTCTCTCTCTCTCTCGCTCGCTCGCTCTCGGATCTCTCTCTCTCTCTCTCTCTCTCTCTCTCTCTCTCTCTCTCTCTCTCTCTCTCTCTCTCTCTCTCTCTGTTTTTGGTGGACAAAAATATCTCTGGCGTTGATTGCTTTCTTGCTTCGACTTCTGCCGCGCCTTTGTTCTCGTACTCCCCTTTATGTACAAGTGTTGTGCAGACCCTCCTTTAATATAGTCTGTCTCATTTTGTCCTGAGATGTTTTGATGCATAGTGATTATGACGCTCATCATTCGCTCCCTTGTCACTGGACAGTTCTGTCCGTTTGGTTTTAGCGAATTCAAATAAAGAAAACAACAACAACAAGTACACTCTGTATCATAAACTTAGTTACGAAGGAGACAGTCTGTTGATGATCTTCAACTATTTGAAGTACAATGTACATTGCTGACCCATTCGGGATACTTCGTGGTTATTTGACGTTCTTTATCCTCAGTTTCAGTATAATACATGTAGAATACTCGGTAGACGAATTCCAGGTCATTCTTCTTTTCCATTGTGTACTGTTCCTCGTCAGTAATGCCGTTCTGTGTGGAGTGTACACGTGCATGTGGCGTATGTTGTGTCTGTTGTGAATGGTCCGTGCGCTGGAGTGCTGCCGTCGTACAAGTTCACTGCCTTTCAGGCAGTGAACTTGTACGGTGGCAGTGCCCTAGCGTACATACAGTGCACCGGGATTTATATTCAATATAAATCCCGCGCGGGATTTATACTGGCCAATATAACCATGGCTAGACGAGCGCTGATTGGCTGAAAACAGGCCCTCCGCACCGTACCATGGTATAACACCACGCATGGTCTCCCTGTATAACACCACGCATGATATCTTACCTTGGATATGTCGACGGTGATGTCTGCAATCCGCTCGACATTTGGCAAGGCAGCAATGAACACCGCACGCTTGGGCTTGATCTTGTCGGCTGGCCGTACTTCAATACGGTGAGTATACCGTACCGACGGCGATGAGCTGACCTCCGTGACGAGAGGCTTAGCCGACGACGGCGCCGACGCCGGTGGTGCTGTGCGTGAGCCACCACTATTCAGTAGTGATGCAGCTGCCGTGTCACCGTTCCTACCGCTGGCGACTGCATCACCCTTGGCCAGGCGGCTGATCTGCTCGAGGGTGGGCACGCCATCGGGTACGTCCGGCACACGGGTAACCGGATCCATGCCATGCAGCGTTCTCGAGATGTCACTCAGCATGGTCTGCAAGCCAACGTAGTCATCCTCTTTCCAGCGCTCAAACTCGGACGATATCGATACTTTCCGCATGTCCTGAAGAAAGCGTATCACCATGCACATCAGATCGTACTCGTCCTCGCGGCTGCTCTTCATCTTCTCGATCATGTCCGGATGAAACGCCACGGCAACGCACTGAACGCGCTCGCCGCGGTAATAGAATCCGCTTAGGATCTCCCCGGCCAGTGTACTAACCGTGGTGTTGGGCTGAGGTTTCTTGATCCTCGAGTACGAGCAGATGTTGATAAACAGCTTGTCCTTGGAGGATAACTACAGAAAAGGGTGCGGCACACAAAGAGAAAGTATCCTGTCACTAATAGCCGCACCTTTGATATCAAACATAACGAGAGGATTCAAGCAATGGCACACACTTTGCTGGCCTGTGTTCGAGTGCATGGAAATCGCTCTGAGTCCCCAACGTCAACGTGATTGTACATCAGACGCTGGTTTGCCTAAACAGCTGGAGCTGAGTAGAGCTGTAGGTCGTTGCAAGTGCACGGCCAGCAACAGCTCATCCCAGAGTTCAGAGTCGGGTTGAGTAGAAGCAGCAGCAGTGCAGAGCCAGCTTCTACCAGTGGTTCTGAAACTGACACCGCTCTAAGCAATCTTGGTGACACGTCTGACCACCCAAGCTTGTGATTTCATGGAAGTCCTTCCCCTGGTGCACTGTATGCTGCACAGTCAAGTACACCTGCACGCTTGAGCGCACTAGTGAGTGCACCAGTGTCTGTGAGGCCTAAAAAACAACGATTGAAAAGCGTTTCAAAGCAAAAACGTTTTCAAAAGAACACGCTACCACAGATTTTGTAAGAGCGTTTACACGACAACGCTGGAAAACGTTTCAAAAACGTTTCAAAGCAAAAACGGCCTTCAACGTTTTTCAATTGTTTTCGTTCCGGTTCGTTCTCGTGCACACGGCCTTCAACGTTCCGCTACCATGGAAATACCAGAATGGTGTGGCGGGAAATAAGAGAAAGTACAGTCAGACCTCGCTTAACCGCACACTGCATCTGTTTTCCACAAAAATATCCGGATAGGCGAGGTAACCGGATAACTGAACACACATACTGTATATGCATGTGGCATGTCAAAAGCAGTGACATCATACATACATGTAGACAGGTCATATGCAGTACAACTAGCGTGCCCAGTATGTAAAACAAGCGAGAAAAATGACAAGTGCATGCAACTGAGTGCTGTCCGCATACACCCAGCACTGGGCAGCAGGTCAACAGTCAGAGGACCTCATTTGCTTGTACAACTCCCTGATACTAGCTTCTGCAAGCGCTAGCCAGCCACATGCAACCGGATACGACGAAGCTTTTTGTACACATTTTAACCAGTTTGTACACAAAATCATGCACCAGTATGCGGATCGCGAGGTCCGGTTATGTTGTATGCATAACAAATGCTGCACGTCGGTAACCAGCGATTTTCTTCCGGATGGCGAGGGATCCGGATAAACAAGGACCGGATAAACGAGGTCTGACTGTACGAGTGAGTAGTGAATTTCCCGCTCTAAACATGCCGTCGCCAGGCCAACTTATTGCACGAGACCATTGCGCGCCGAAAACGCGTTGCAGTGTAAACACCTAAAAACGCTTATCGTTTTCGTGTACACAGCAACAATTTTTCAAACACGGAATGAAAATGTTTTTCAATCGTTGTTGTGTATTATTAAAACGAGGTCTGAGTCAGAGTACACCAGCACCTGTGAGTGCACATGCACCAGTACACATGTGCACATGCGAGTGCACATGCACCAGTGAGTGTACCAGCACCAGTGCCAGCTGGCAGTGGGTATATAGGCACCCAGGACTGGCAGAAGTAGTACTACAGTACTAGCAGACTCACAGCTACCAGGGCAACCATGACTGCATTGGCAGGGATGCCTGCACCAGCACCAGCACCAGTGACTGAACCTACTGTGTCCATACTGTTTGGGCAACCTCTTGCAGTGGCTGGTACGTCAGTGCATGTAGAGCGAAGGTTCACTAAGCTGAAAAGCAAACAGTCAACGGAGTCCCAGCCTCAAGTGATGCAGGCACCCACACTTGATCCAGCATCTCCTGCATTTCGTCCCTACCAGGCGCCGCCCAGCCATACCTACCAGAGCCAGTATGGTCGCGCATTTCCAGCTGCTAGCTTCTTCCACGTCAAGCTACTGGAGCTGCCGAAGTTTTCTGAAACCTGGAGACTACGACCGATGGAGGCAGCACTTCAGACGTGTTGTGGAAAAAGACATACTCACTTCAGAGAGTTACAAGCTGGCTCAGCTGAGAAAGTCGCCGATGGCTGGATCTGCGTATGACATTGTCGAGGGAATCCTAGACGGCCCTGGAGCATACCACGCTATCCTGAGCAAGCTCGATCAATGGTACGGCGGGGATGCTCGTACACTTGAGCGGCAAGAAAAGGAAATCATGCGGTGGCCGCGGCTCAAAGACTCCGAAGGTATCGCAAAGTTTGCGCTGAAGCTCCGAACAACGTTAGTCAACACGGAGCTCTGTGGAATCCAGACAGGGAAAGAGTTGTACCTGATCGTGACACAGAAGCTCCCTAAGCCCATGCTGATCCGGTACCTTGACAAATATGATGACATAGCATGTGACGTATACCAGTTGGCTGAATGGCTCCTCGCCTGCAAGGTACACACAACACGCCGTGCAGAGGAACGCCTAAGGTCAACGGATGGCAGCTTGTTTGGCACAACCAGCCCAGCCGCGGAGAAGCCTTTCCAACGGCAGCAGCCCAGCCAACGCAGCAGAACCATTGCAGCCAAAGCAGACTCTCCAAAGAGGCCTCAGCAGAAACAGCAGTGGCAGGAGTCAAAGCAGCATGATGCATCATGCCCCCCAGTGTGGCAAGGATCACCTGCTAGACGTCTGCACAGACTTCATCAAGATGAATGTCAACGAAAGGTGGGACTGCATAAGAGCCAACAGAGATACTTGCGCTCTGTGCTTCAAATAGGGTCACCGCGCCATAGCTTGCCAGGCAAAGCCGTGTGGAAAGTGCAACCGGCAGCATCACGCCATGCTTCACAGCGACAGTCGCCAGAAGCGGACCTCCGTCGCCAGAAGCCAGATGGGGGATTCTGGTGACTCCGAGTATGTAGCTACTCATTGTGCGCCTCCCGTTAGCCCACCATCAGAGACTGGCAATGTGTCTTGGTCCTGACAAGTTAGTCGGTGTGGTCGACGTCAACGTAGGCGGCAAAGTCTACCGCCAATCTATTCACCACCTTGTCCCCTTGCTGGATGCAGATCAGTAAGACACTGATGCTATGGCCAAACAGCTTGTGGTGTAATTCATAATAGCAATGTTCTTTGTTGTTTTGCTTAGTATTTTACCATAGTAGTTGTGCTCACTCGTGGGCGCATTTTACCCGCCACTCCTGAGTGAAGGGGATATGTACTGGAATACTACACCTCTGCAAAAATGAATTATTTTGTACTTGCATGAATCTGTAGCCTTGTACAGTGTGTAGTATAGGTCACGCATGACTAAATCGAATGTGCATTGCTACCCTTTTCTGCTGGCTCCAGTACGGTGGGTCCATTTTCAGTCTATTCACCAATCAATGCATTCGTCACGGATGACCTCGCGCTACCGTTTATGATTTCTGGACGCTCTTTTGTTATTCCCACACTTGTGACTGCACTGCACTTTCCTCTGCGACCCGGAGATGTTGCGAGCGCTCTTGTTTCCTTTGCGTCTCCTTCGGAGCGCTTTTCTGGTCTCCGTGTCTCTTTGCGTCGCTGCACTTTTGCTGGCGCTGCTTGCAAGCAGCTTTTATATTCGCATGTTCCGTGCTTTCCTTGTTAGATGTAGAGTTAGACCTACGAGAGCTAGAGTCAGAGCTACAGTTTGTTCGCGCTGCTTGTTCACAGCTCAGAGTTTTGCTTGCGATATCAGAGTTCTCGTAGTTCACAGATATTCCTCGTTTCTTCACAGTATCAGTTTGTTCTCAACAGTGAGATTCAGTACCACAGTGTAACATAAATATTAAAAACATGATTGAATAAAGCATGCAACTGGTTGTCATATGCTATGTGATTGTACTGGCCCTATTATATATAGTATTAAAGGGGAAGTGCATCGATTTTTCGAGTAGGGTCCAGAAGAAAGACAATTTGATATCGGTTCGAATGGCATATCTCTCGCTTCCATACGATAAGCCAAACTTGCCAAATCGCCAATTGTATACTCACGTTGCCATAGCGACCAGCGCAGTGATGACGTATGAAAGGCTTAGCTCCACCACAGAGAAGGTCGATCACTGCAGAATTTGGTCATTTTCAATTGGTTTATTGTATTCATGAAGTGAAAGACGGGCTGTTTTCAATGCTGTTAGTGCAGTGAACTGCTTGTTAGTAGTCCTCTCGGTTGTGTCCTGGGACGTGACACCGACAGGAGAAAGCTGGAGTGCGGAGACATCAGCAGACAAGCGAAAATAGTGACGAACAAAATGCTGAAATCTTGGTTGGGACAAATCGGACGTTCAGTATTTCCCCCAACCAAGGACCATGCCGTTTGCTCTTTCCACTTCCTGAAGATGGATGTGATGCTTCCTGGCGACTCTCCTATCTCTCGTAACATCTTCTGAAGCAAGGTGAGACGACGGGTGGTGGAGATTGACGAACGAAATAATGTCGTAGTTTTGAAAGTTTGCTGAAAATGTCTCAGGAGAGATGGCGAATACCAAGCATCTTCTCCTAGAGGAAACCATTTCTTAGGCACAGTCAGCCTAGGGAAATGCAGGGGAAGGCCGATAAACAGTTCACGCCACTAACGGCATTGAACACAGCACTTCTTTCACATCGTGAATACACTAAGGCAATTGAAAATGACCAATTTCTGCAGTGATCGACCTTCTCTGTGGTGGAGCTAAGCCTTTCATACGTCATCACTGCGCTGGTCGCTATGGCAACGTGAGTATACAATTGGCGATAAGGCAAGTTTGGCTTATCGTATGGAAGCGGGAGATATGCCATTCGAACCGATATCAAATTGTCTTTCTTCTGGACCCTACTCGAAAAATCGATGCACTTCCCCTTTAATTATAACAAGAGTACATTATGTACTCTTGATTATAAGTATTACTTACTAGCTTGGTTTGGAAACAGCGGAAGGGAATTGGCGGTTCGAATAGCTCCTTTCCTTCTCGTATATTGGTTTCCACGAACTTTTTATAGCTCTCGGGGTTTTCTTCTGCCATCTCATCCAGCATGCTCCATATTCTCTGCGCCTCCCGAGATATATCTCCACCTCGATTTTTCCCAGCATTACTTAGCAGTAGCCTCTCCATTGCAAACTACATGTATCAGTTCTCAGCTGATGCGGGGTACTCTTCGGGTGGCTAAGATGATTATTATTTTTCAAATCTTGGAAACGATGTTACGTAGTAAATCAGATGAATGGGACTGAAGATGCGGAAACACAGCACTGATTGGGCTCGCACGAAATACCCGCCACGCAAGACCCTAGCCCTACCGGCGAGTGAGGATACAAAGGCAACTGCTTCTGCATGAAACTGAGATAAATAAAGCAAACGCACGACTTTCTAGGGAGTCGTAAAAAGTATTTTACGACTCCCTGGTGTGTAGCGTTTGGATGCACTTTTTCGTTGCCAATGGCAATGTCGTAAGGGACTGTCCCTACAACGATTGGTGCACGAACTGCGAAAACATCTTCCCATCAAGGGAGTCAAATTTCGAAAAAAATTAGAAACAAAGCAGTCAGGAAGAGGGTTATTATTGGACTGGGACTGGAGCTATCACTGCCAACGCTGGTGCTAAGAGAAGGAACATGACCGACCAACGCTATGAGTACTTGCTGCAGGGCAGCGTTTCCGAAGATGTCCTGCCACAGCTCGTCACAAGACTGCGCTGCATAACAGATCAGACGTTTGAGGGTGGAAACGACATCCTGGTGCATGAGCGTATCTATATGCTCAAGGGGACTGGTTCAGCCAGCGTCACCGTGTACTGTCGAAGATCACTTCAGGAAGATCCGCCTGTATTTGAACTGCGGTACCTGGGTGTTCCGGAGACTACAACAGGACAGTCTGGTCAGGGCCAGGGATCAGCACGGAAACCAGTGAGCATGCGAAGCTGTGCCATTAGTTCTGTGGATAGCAACTGCTTCAAGTTCCTAGAAGACTTGGGATTTCGGTGAGTCCACGGCCAACCACACCATTCCACCACCATGCGGACACACACACACACACGTACACACACACGGGAAAAGACTAAGGATTCAGGATTCACGATTTGCAAGATATGTCTGCTACTAGCAACACCCCAGGCTGCTACAGGCTGAATGGGCACCACTCCACTTTAGCCTAGGCCTGCGCTTATGCACTTATGGTGTGTTTTGGGGGGGGGGGGGGAGGCATGGCACATGGTGTGCTACTTTTAACCCATGGCGCTATTGTTTTCCACCCGAATCCAACCACTTTGCCCCCCCCCCCCCCCCCGCCCTCTCTCTCTCTCTCTTCTATACGTTGGAAGCACAGTTCAAAATTCTTGAAAGGCATTCCTTGATGTTTTTTTTCGGCAGGAAATGCAATGAGCATGTCTTAAAAGGCTACTACTTCCTGAAGAACAATGTAGGCGTCTCTGTCGTACAAGTCTACACGGTGAGTACATGTGTGATGAGTAATCACTACCGTATTATTCGTCAATTTTGAGAGAATGGAAAAAAGTTTGTTCTATGGTGTCATACGCCACTGCAGGACCAGCATGTGTGCATTACGTATACCGTATATTCTCTATTATAAGCACAGGTCTCCATTACTAGCACACTGTGAGCACCTTTCGAAACATTATAAGCACGGTCTCTATTATTAGCACGGTCTTGGTGGAAATCAATGCGGCATGCATGATATCTAGCATGTATTTCTTCTTGCCCTGTATGGATGTATTGGTTGAAAAAACATAAGCACGGTCTCCAATATAAGCGCGGTCTCCAATATAAGCACGGGGTAGAGGGGTGTTGAAAAAATATAAGCACGGCGCTTATAATAGAGAATATACGGTAACTAATTGTGGTGTGTCGTGAGTTCAAAGTTTGGCATAGAACGCATCTTGAAGTACTGGTGTTGTGTTGGCCTATTGTCTTTCGGGCGTTTTGTCTGATTTCTTGCAGTTGGATGCGGCCGGCAAACAAAGTGCTGCCCCTGTATCTGCTTCCAGCTTGGTGACCGCACGCTTGATAGCAGGCTCTGGATCGGTGAGAATATCTGTGTGCAAACTGTGTCTGTGGTTCTGAGTGGCTGCATTTCTACCACTGGTCTCACTGCTCACTTTTATTTTGCTCAATCTACATTTGGCATGCTGTCACCTCACCAAGCCTGCCTTGTATCTCTCTAGATATTCAGTGTCTGCTCCAGAGCCGGGTGAGCCGGGTAATCGACCCGGTTGGGCGGCGCTTGGACCCGGTTGAAAATATAGTACCGGGTCACCTGTGACCCGGTTGGTACTTTACACTTTCGAACTTTGAAAGAACTGACTACATGGCTTGTATGTGTCAGATACTTCTTCTTTCGTAATTTTCTAATTATTGTCCTCTCTTTTCTAAATGCGGCTTATCCATTCGCCTTTATATCATTGGGCCTAGTTCCCGTTTATTGTCCGAATTAAAATAAACCAACCAACCAGTCAAAGCATGTGACTCGGCTGGTGAGACAGCGCCAGATACATGTGTACCCGGCTCCGACCTGGTTGAAATGGTTGCGCCAGGTACACGTGTACCCGGCTGTCCTACAATCCTAGAGCAGACACTGACATTACATTCCGAAATGTGTACACTTTAGTCTGTAACTCTGGATCATGCGCAGGGTTCTAATTTAAATCTGACCCACCTTGTGTTTGTGCCTATCTTTCTCCAGGTCTCAGCCATTGACCTTTTATGGTCCGTTGCCGATATGCTGAAACCGTATCCTTTGAGACTTCTCCAGCCAGCTCTCTGTATCTTCTCTCTCTCTCTCTCTCTCTCTCTCATTTTGATCGGGGTGTTTGGGCACAAGTGCGTGTGTGGTGGCGGTGGAGTTGCGATACTCCTGCCCTGTGTAATGGAAATGTGTGCTTTCCTTTTGACTGTTTTCCCTGTCGGCTAACTGACCAAGTAGTTGTCCTTGTATTGCTCCTTGACTACTGCATGTTCAGACTTGTCGCACTGGCCAAGGCATCCTAGAAGATAGTAGTGGAACGGTGCTTGCATGCTTCTTCTGCATGCACTCCGTGCCATCATCATGTTCAGGTTTGATGGCATCACCAGAGTGTGTCTGTATGTGGCGTAATCGCCCATCACTACTACTCCGCTCAGAACTGAAGTCTGGTGCCGCGAAAATGCCACCAAGCAGCAGCGCGCTCTAGAAGAACACTACAGCAGCAGGATGTGCCGGGAATGGCTGCATGGTTCGCAAGCCCAACAGGGCTAGAAGTTACGTTGTTCATTTTCCAAGTGCCGGCTGTCTTGGCCCCTCGTGCACAGTGTGCTACGACACATGCTAATTCAACTACCAAGGAGAACACCCTGCGTTCTGTTACAATCAGTGCTTGCATCAGCATGACCGTCCTTGTGATATCATCGTGGCACAATGCCATTTCCGTACCGTAGTACTACAGAGCGAGTACATCGGCTTGTATGTCAGGAGTACAGAATTACCTCCTCTGACTTAAACTCGTCTGGCAGCATGAGCAAAGCAACCCCCTACCAGCATGATATGGACACATGAACCAGCCTTGAGGTAGGCTTCCAAAGTATGAAATTATCATGGAACTTTTTAATATGATATGCCAGGGCATCCAAAAATAAGTCAAACTTGAGTACACATAGAGTACAGTTTTAGTCTTTTACGTTTTAGAATTAGATGTAGTTTCATGGTGCTTATACATGTAATGTTCATGTCATTTTTTATCATTTGAACGTTTTTTCAGTACAAGTACAAAATTATCAGTGCCTCAAATTCTTATAAGTGGATTCGAATTGGATGGATATGTACGTACACTGCGAATGGCAGCTACAGTACACATTGTTATGATCATGATTATTGTGTTCATTCTCGTCTCGTCCACGGTATCTCAGGTAAAGATCCTTGGGTCACTGAGGCAGTGGAACCAGTCAATCCCGATCCTGATGATTTGTAAATCTCACACTGGATGCTTGCCATTAATGCATTCCCTCAGAACACAGCCAGTGCTATCCGTATGCCCTGTCTTGCCAGGTGTCTCTCTCACTTCCATGTTCACGGGGCGGCTTGCTGCATGCCCTGAGCAATGGCAGTGGCTGCTGGTCCCTTGCGTGTCCGGCAGTCGCATACATGGGGGCGGCAGTGGAAGTAGCTCCACATCAATCTGCTTGGCTTGACGTATTTTATCATTACATACGCTTTCATCTGCTAGTGCGCACAGCATCAACCAATCGGCGCACTCTATCTTCGCACACTGGCTCCTTCCAGTTTCCCCCGACTTTGAAATGCGAGCCAACGATAAATGCCTGTGCCGAAGAGAAGTCTGTGAAGTTGCTGTCCGTGATGCCCGAGCCGATAATGACTGGCAGGGTTGGGCATGCAGCCTGTACTGACTTGAGATCGCCTGCACTGGCAGCGTGGCCAGTTGCCGAGCCCGTCAAGATGACACCGTCGCTATGAAAGAACTCGGCTGCGTGGGCTGTATCTGCGACGGAGACATCCTGAGTGACTGTGTGTGAGCTGTGGTGCAGATACACATGGACGTAACACAACACAACAATGTACATTTTGTATGGCTACTAGGATGTTGAAAAAGTAGTGCATATAGCACGAAAGGGTATTGCAGTCAGAGTGCATTCCCAAACAAGCCCTCCATTTGTAACAGACAAGCGCTACGTTACCATAATTATTTAAATATTTTTAATGTGTGATATAGCCGAGGGATGCCATGGCAACGCACGGAAATTTACACATGAATCACTAAAAAAAGTAAAAATCAATGTGTGAGGAAAAGAGTGTGCATTCCCATGTGTGAATATTAATTGGAAGGTCTGGGGATGAGTACAGTCCAAGCAATGTCGCCATGGCAACGGTACCGGCAACAAAATGTATGTCAAGCATAAAAGGGTGCATAGGTATAGAAAGTAAAATAGGCAGTGTACTAAGTGCAGGGCATACATCCAACACCAACCTCACACATATTTGCCGAGTTCAGAATACAGCCACTCAACATAAATTCACTACATCAACCAAGCAATGGCCAACTGAAAAATCAGCTTTGCGCAGTGGTAGTACCATAGCCAATGAGGTCCAACCGAGGCGTGGTTATTGCTAGTTGAAAACTTTTCCCAATATCCCGCATTGACGACTTGAAATATAGTCGGCTTTGCAATTTTTGAAGGCTCATCCGTGAGCAAATTTATAACAATTATAAAGGAAATAATTTAATTGTTTAAAGTTGAGCACTCTTGTGTTGGGTAGTGCCTTCGTTATTCGTGTTCCGGAGAGCTCACTGACTTGTCAGTTTCAGTACTCTGGGAAAGGTATATTCGGGGCTAGTTTGAAATCAGTACAAACCCATTCTTGTATCCTCATGATTTCATGACGAGGATTGTAGTTTAGCTAGCTACCATATCTTTCCAGGATCTGTGCCACACTTTGCGTACACGAAAATTGGGGAGGAGTGGATGCAGCATATACCCAGCGGGGTTCTGTAGATATAACGTTACAGGAGTTGTAAATGACGATTCAGTATTGTCTCTTACCTATGCTTCTTCTTGATGTCGCAGAACACCATAATATTCTCAGCATCAATAGATCGGCGATAGCGTAACAGTTCTCCTGCATCTGCGTCCATCCAGCCCTCATCGGCGACGTGAGAAAACACAAAGCCTTCAGCTCGCACAAACTGCAAGTTTGCTGCTTTTGCCACTGCCAGCGCTTCTCTATGGAGAAAAGAAGAATGGAGGGGTCAGTGGAAGTGGAAGTGGAAAGAATAGCAGCTCGCTGCCGGCCATGTATGCATAGACTTACACAGGCTCATTAGATCCCGGTCTAGCAACACATGGACAGGTAGTGTGAGCTCCGACAGGGGACTCTGGTGTGTTAGCAAGCTATACAGTAACTCGGTTTTTGCTTAAGTTGCTGCTTTCCGACATGGCCGTAGAAATTTAACAAATGATGCAAAGCGAACATTCTACTTGTCTATTATTCAGTCTACCCTAGACTATGCCAGTAATGCTTACCTACATTGTTTAAGCACAACTCTGTACAATAGGATTGTGACCGTTAGTCACATAGCAATGAAGAGAGTGTTTGGACTCGATCGTACCACGCCCACTGAACTAGTTCTTCGCTTATATCACCTCTATTCTTTGGAACAACGTATTAGCCTCAAGCTCTATGTTTTTGTGTACCGCTGCTTGGCCCAGCATCTTGCTAGTCCTCTTCTTCAGTCTTTGTACCAGCTTCGGGCAACTGCACCTGGTCACCAGGCATGCACCCGGGGCAAGGCACAAGGAGCCTTAGTTCTCCCACTCGTTTATACGCAGTATGGCATGCGCTCTATTTCTTTTCTGGCGGCATGCAGGTGGAACTCTCTTCCAGCTGACTGTCGACAGGCCCACTCTCTTGCTCTGTTCATTAATATGGTTAAACTTCACCTAGGGTTCCCAGTAAAAAGGCAGTCGCCTGTTGGGACTCCCCTAGTAAAACGAGAGAGCTTGGAAGCTCAGGGCCCTGCGCTATGCTTTGTTTCCTAGCTCATCGTGCATGTTGTTAGAACTGATGGAAATGCTTTTTCCTTTGATTAGCTACATCATTGTATTGCAAAAACGTTTCAATGAGTTACTGAAGTAACGTCTTCTGCATAGCTATGGGACCGACGCTGACTCTGCCGATCACGGGCGTTCTTCTTCTTATTATTATTATACTGACGGCAACTAACATCCATTCTGATTGCATTTACTCGTCTCCCTACTTCGTATTTATTTCCAGAAAATCTCCCCATACAGCAGGGAGTCGTTTACATGATACAACTCCCTGCTATACATCTACATGACTGTATATACGTTATATTTATTATGCTATCGGCCTACATGCGATTCTCGGGCTGGTCGACAGGCCGCCCAGCCAGCCTGCTAGTGGGATCTCGGCCTCCCACACAAATCCACACAAAATGTTACAGCACTGAATGCATTCCCGCGATACACTTCGCATATATACTCATTCTCTTGATGGTACCGTACTCTTGATGGTAGGGGACAGGTACGGGATAGCGCCAGGCATGTCGATGGCACAAACAAACAAAAATATTGTGACCAGCTGTCTTTGCTGGTACGGTACGGTACGGGACAAATACGGGATAGCGCCAGGCGTGACACAAACAAACAAACAAACAAACAAACACCAAATTAAAGCTGTGTGGACCCTGGCTAGCGCCAGACGTTACTGAAGTAACGTCTTCTGCATAGCTACGGGAATAATAAAAACTACTACTACTACAGTACTGCCGGGTGCCGAAGAACTGGGGAGCCGGCCTCCTAGCCTGGGTCGTTCATATTTTCACGTACTACAGCACAGTTGAGTCACCGTGTATATATGGTATGCTGTGCTTGGTGAAATTCTAGCCTGTTCGTTCTTCGGTACTCGGTGGAAATTTTACTGCGTCATTCGTTGGCAGAATTATGATGAAGTGTGTGTGCTTTCCCGCGCTTGTTTCATAGATACGGTGAGAGTTCATCATGTTCAAGACACTTTGATCTATCACCTGTTGTTCTGCTACCGTAGCTGTAATGTACAAATAGTTTGTACTTTGACCTCTGGCTACGCATGATGGCATCAGTGAGCCAAACCGCCGCTAAAGACTGGTGTCATAAAAAAATTCCGCCATGGGCTGGGGGATCGGTGAGTTGCACACTCTTGGTTATGCTTTTACCTGTCTTCTCTGCTAGTTCTCTCAAATCAAAACTACAATTGTCTTTCTGACAAAATGGACAGTCAGGCCAAAGCTTACTAGTCACTCCGACATGCTTCCTACCAACGTCTTAGTTAGTTGAGACATAAATTGATGAAAGACGGAAAGTGACTTCTCCTCCAGGTGATACTGGCCAGAAATAAAGTAGACGAAATCGCAAGTGACATGATCAGATTGATCGTGCCATAATCACCTCATTCGTATGTGAAACTTCACAGTGCCATTGCCAACATGCACTTCTTTTCTTCAAGAACAATAAATAACCAGGCTCTGCCACTACCCTACACTGGTGGTTGCAAAATTGACAACAATAGTGTCAATGTGAGAAGCAGGCGGTACGCACCTGTTTGCACCTGCTAAAATCTGAATCCCGCACGGCATCGACGCGGGAACTATCTGCCGTACTGCACAACAAGCGGCGGCCATGGCGGCCGTTGTCTCTGGGCCTACTGAGCGCCGAAGGTACGGCAGGTCATGCATGTTTTCCACCAAAATGGCATCCTGCAGTAGGTAAAGTGTCAACAAAAAATGCAGGACACAACACACCCTGTACCAAATCTATATGACTGTAGTGTAGTGTATTGAAGAAGGCTACTAAGGCACACAATGTACTTGATGTAGCCACTTCCAGTGTACTAGTAACTTCCAGGCAATATGCTAGCTCCAGATACACACACATTCGAAGGCTCGTGCGTATAAAACTGCAACAGTTACTGATCAAAATCAACTAGCTTCTTCAACCCCCCCCCCCCCCCCCCCCCCCCGGAGTGCTTACAAAAATTAATACCAAATAGCAACACAGCCTGTGAGATTGGATAGCTCGTAACACAACTGTGTGTTTGTAGCTGCACCGAGAGACAGTATGACATACAACATGCTCAAAGTAACTCACCACTCCACATCGTCCATATAACTCAGCTTCACGTTGGACAGTGTCAATGACGCTACAGAAAGATCCGTTGAACTTAGGCGCACCTATGCCACCAGAACGACAAGCACAGTGCTGCTCAGTGACATCAGATCAAGCGAGTCAATACCACGCCGGGCAGCGCTGTGCAGCCCTAGACCTGCAAACACTGGGATGTGTACAGGTACAGGATGGGATGGCTGAGCCGCCACGCACAGACGGGGCATCCTGTGCCTGGTAAAATTCTAGCCTGTTCGTTCTTCGGCACCCGACACTGGGCCAACAGTACTGTAGTGATAGTCAGGTATTACGAGCTCGTACAAGAGAGCTTGTGATCTTACACCCTCACTTTGTTGGCTATGCTTGCAGATTTGTACCTTATTATCTATAAATAATACTGTAAGCCCCATCCCCCACTTGCAGGCAAAATATCACATTCCGGAGTGTATTTGTATGGACGATAATGAACGCTCAGGCATACAAGACAACACACGACCTAAAATGGTCTCTCGGCTACAACTAATATTTACTTGTAAACATAAAACAGATCAATATCCAAATTTTGTGCTCGGCCCACCTTCCGTAATGGTAATTCATGGCCTCTTTTTGAGCAATGAATGTGGAACTATACAGCGGAAAATAGTTCAAAATGCACTTTCTTTAATAATGCGGGCCTTAGATAAAGTTTAGCAATTAGCGGTGCAAGGCCCACACCAAAAAAATGGCACCATATTTTCTGCGGCAAACACACAATATATCGGTGTGGCCTTTTAAAAGCTTGGTTTAGGAAACGAGCGTTAGCAATGGAGCCCAAGCCACATTTGTTTGCTGTTCAGCACAAACAAATTCGAAATCATGTTCGTGAAATCCTGAGACACTCCTTATCTACAAAGAAAGTATTTTTTTTGTCTCAGTTTAGTAGGAAAATTCAAACCTGAAAAGATTTGGGTGCAATATTTTTGGAAAAGAATAATTCCAATTGACAATTGCAGTTTTAAGATGCCAATGAACAGAATCAGCTGAACAGACAATTGCAATTTTAATTTTAATTTTTCTCACCTGGCAGAGCAGGTACATGGATCATTCCGATAATGTTGGCAGTGGGCCTAGTAAATATCTTGGAGAAAAGTGAAGCCATGGTGCTAGAGAAAAGCAACGAAATTCACGTAATCATTCAACGACGATAGAATTATGTTATTGACTGTACCAGCAGCAGGGAATTGTTTCGACTCTTGGTCGATATGGTCAGTTTTGAGGCATCAGCCTGTTCGATTTTCGGTTCCTCAATTCCTGAACATGACACTGAGTCGAGTCTAGTCTGTCAAACCAGCTAGCTGTGGAGTTTACACATTTCGTTGCCTTTGACAACAGCAGAAATGGCGAAGCGTGGGGACTCTCATTCTCAAGTCGATCCAACGACGCGACCGCGTATGATCTGCATGCATGATGTCTCTGTGTGACAAAACAAAACTAAAAAGAGTGATAAACAAAATCCGCGATGACGGTGTGTGTCCACATCTGCGTGAGTTTTGTATTGTCGGAGGAGCCATCTGCTTTCCTTGCTGGAGCAACAGGATTGATTTGTAAAAGGATCCACCCATCGTGTTGTGGGTGGCGGAGGTGGAACACTTCAACAGCAGATACGTGAATTTGGAGGCTCCCTGTGAGCTGCCTTATTTGATCAAGTTTTTAGCATGGATGGATACCACAATGATTGTATAGTTTGTAGCTGAAAATTGATCATTCACTATGAGCTTCAGAGCTTTCGAGCTCGTTCCTGTTGTGGAGCGTCTCCCATCGGATCGGTCCAAAGTGGAATGCTTTGAATCGTTTGAAGAGAATCTCTACATCGGCACTTCGGATTGCTGTGTAATTTACTATGTGATTCTGCAAGGTGTGTCTCCCACTGGGAAGATCACGTTTCAATGTCAGCACAAGAAATCAAGGCAACTGAGCTTCAAAAAGCCGATTGAGAAGATTATAGTCGCCCGCGCCTTGTCGAGGCTGCTGGTGCTTTGTGATGGAACTATGGTAGTGCTGAACTCTTCAACTTTAGACGTCATCCCAATGAACGTCAAACAGCTGAAATCCATCTCCGACATGTGCCCGAACGAGAGCTTAGATGAGAGTGCACATCTGTCATTCGAAGTGAGCTTCTCATTTAGCAAGCGCAAGTTTGTGTCTGTGTACACGCTGACGGAAGATCGACTGATCATCAACAAGGAGCTCGCTGTTCCAGAGGCCATTGCAAAGCTACGGCGTGATGGACAGACCATCTGCATGGCAAGCAGCTCACTGTTCTACTTGCTGGATATTGATAGTGGACACTGTCAATCATTCTTTCCTCTCGATTGTGAGGTGGAGGCGGCGTTTATCCAGCGAATTGGCTCCGGCGAGTTCCTGCTGCGTGCCTCCGACCTTGGCGTCTTTACAGATAGGCGAGGCGAGGCCAAGCGTGCGCCATTGAGTCTACTAGGCAAGCCGTTCGAAGTGGCCTATCACTTCCCCTATGTACTAGCTCTATCCTACGATCAAGTTCATGTGTACAGTGTGCTGACGGAGGAGCACAAACAGACGATTGCCTTCCAAGGTGGCTGCACGCTGGGCAGCTTTGGCAAGCGTGTCCTGATTGCCTCGCACCGCCAGGTCTACTGCTTGGCCATGATTGAACTGGAGCAGCAGGTGCAGCATCTCTTCTCACAGGCTCATGTCACCGAGGCGTTGTTCCTGGCGCAGGTCTCGCTGCTCGGAGACGGCTCAGCGACAACATCCAACAAGAAGAACGAGAGACAGCTGAAGCGCTATCAGCAGCAAGCTGGCTTTGCCTTCCTGTCACAGCTTCAGTTTGAAGAAGCAGCCGAGCAATTCCACGAATCCGGCTTGGATTACCGGGAGCTCCTGGCACTGTTTCCTAACCTGTTATCAAAGTCATCCGACTTCCGGTCTCAGGCAACAGAAATGGGTCTTCATCGGTTCACTGATGCTAGTACAATGGTCAGTGGTGATGTGAAGAAGCTGCAGCAACTCCAGGAGTTTGTTGTGTCCTTCTTGGAGGACATTCGCATGACGCAAGCAGTGCACGGCAAGAGAGACGACTTGGACACTGCTCTTCTCAAGCTTTTCGCCATGGCAAACTCCAAGCAGCTGCTGGCATTCATCGGCGGAGAGAACACAGCTAGAGTAGATGAGAGCATTGAGACGCTGACGGAACACAAGCGCTACCATGCCCTTGGTCTGTTCTACTGTTTTCACAACATGCCGGAGAAAGCTTTGGAGACATGGGTGCAGCTGAATGATGGCAAGCTGGTCGACCCAGCACATCCTGGAATGGAATATGTCGTGGAGTTCCTGGCTAGTCTAACTGATCATCACCTGGTTGGAAAGTTCGCTGTGTGGGCGCTTGACAAGGACCAGAACCTGGCGGCAACCATCTTCACACACCGTCCACACAACGAGGCAGTGTCTGAGTTCACCCGGCCCGACTTTGTCTTGGACTACCTCTCCAAGTACTCGGTTGCGTTGCGCATCTACCTGGAGCACCTTGTCTTCACAAAGAAGCTAGAAAAGGAGAAGTATCACACTCACTTGGCTGTCCTCTACTTGGACGAGGTGCTCGACTTGCAGAAAGCCGAGAGCTGTGCCGGTGGTGAGGAGGCAGCTGCATCGGCGGCAGAGAGCCAGCGGCTAAAGGATGCTCGCCATCGCCTATGCCGCATGCTTGAAACATCTAACCTGTACCGAGTGACGCTGCTGCTTGGCAAGATCCAGGACACCAGCCTCTACGCAGAGTCGGCCATTCTTTATGGCAAACTGGAGCAACATGAGAAGGCTCTTCAGCTTCTAGTGCACCGCCTCAAGGACTACGCCGGTGCGCAACGCTACTGCACAATAAACTCCATGGATCGTGATGTGCGGTACCGCCAGCGACTCTTCCTGGCACTATTGACTGTCTACCTGACTCCTGTGGAAGGGCAAGGCCAGCTACTAGTCGTTCAAGCCATGGACTTGCTCAACAGCAGCGAGGCCGAGTTTGACGTTGCCCAAGTTCTCCAGATTCTGCCCGAGACCTGGCCGATCAGCCTGATCTCTAACTTCTTGTCTCGCTCCATCCGCCACTCCATGACACGGGCGCGCTCTAGTCGCTTGCAGCACAGCCTGGCGCGCGGAGAGGCACTCCAGGTCAAGTACCGCTTCATCCGCGATCACTCTAAGCCAATCATCATCACAGAGGACAGGTGAGCACTTTATTGCTGATTTAGTTTGAAAAGTAAAGTCCTTGCAAGAGAAATTCGACCTCAGGACTAAAATAACGTCGGGCGCTACGCGGCCCTAGCACCACACACTATTCATTGTAGTCGAATGCGGCGTTACTTTATTCACGAGGTTGAAATTCTCTGGCTGGAACTGTACACTACTGGGCAGTGTAGTCTGACCCCTGGCTCAAGAACTTTCCAACAAGTTGTCCCTTACTGCACTGCCCATGCACCGAGCAGAGCTTGATTCTAGGTTGACGCCGCATTTATTACGGCACGCTGTCATGTATTGGACTGTTCCTGGTGTGTTGTAGACTTGTAATGCCAGTATTCTGGCTGAAACACGATACTTATACATGATCAGCAGTTGTATTATGTAAGCCTTGTTTGATAAATTAACTTGTTGATCGGTTGACAGCATGTTACAAGGCCTTGTAACATGCTGTCAACCGATCAACATGCTTAGCAGTTGCGCGGACGATCGATAAATGGACCGCCTGCATATCGTCCAACCGGACGAAATGTGCAGCATATATCATCCATGCTGATGAGAAGCGACGATAAAATTGCGACTAGGTGCGAGCCCACTGTCCCTTTCTATCATATCCTGTGATGCTTTTGTGAAGTGCACTGGCTGCGCACTCTTAGGCTGGTTGTGATGCTTGTGCCTGTTACCTCTTCTTGTCCATTTGTTGGCATTCATGAGCCTCTGTGGCGGCATGGAGTCCTGGGCATTTGCTGCTTTGTGTGTGATGTGCTACACATCCTGCTGCCGGTGTGCATGTGTGCATCGGATAAACCGTGATGATCGTGGCGCACGTATGCGAACCAATGCACGCACGCGACCTAGAAATGCGAAATAATTGATGCATAGTGACAGTGTGGCCAGACTAGGTTCACTATTAGCAGGCCATGCGGATAACTAAGGTCACCAACTCTTCTCTTCTTTCCTTCTGTGTTGTTCTTTTCTTGTGCCATCTTGTTGTGATCAGGCAATGTGATTACTGTCAGCGACCGTTCAACGATGCAGCATTTGTCCGCTACCCGAATGGTATTGTGACTCACTTGCACTGCTCGCGCCGTAAGGATTTGTGTCCCGTAACGGGCAAGTGGTTCGGTTCCAATGATCCTCCCTCTTGATAATTGGTGGCTTGCGGCTGCTGCAGTTGCGTACTGACTAGTCCCTCGTGTGTGTGTGTGTGTGTGTGTGTGTGTGTGTGTGTGTGTGTGTGTGTGTGTGTGTGTGAGAGAGAGAGAGAGAGAGAGAGAGAGAGAGAGAGAGAGAGTGAGTGAGTGAGTGTGTGTGTGTGTGTGTGACTGAGGGTGTGTGTGTGTGTGTTTGTGTGTGTGTGTGTGTTTGTGATGTGCGTCTTGTGTGCGTCAGAATATATTTTTTCACTATTCCTACGTCTTTGTGAGCTGCATGCTGGTCATGTACATTTTGGTTTCAGTACCGCCTGTGTATGTCTGTTCACATTTATTTTTAGCATATGGAAATCTTATCTACGCTAGAAGAAGTCTCTTCCTTCTTCCGGCCTGTTTCTGCATTTAAAATTGAAATTGCCGTTGCCTTTGACCAATTTGAGCCCTTTAGACGTTGTCGAAAGTTCCCTTACATTCTGCACTGTATACTGTGGTTATACGCTAGAAGATTAATTTTTCACCCCGAGCAAGAATCCTTTACCGAGTATCACCCTGGGCTTTACGAAATGGCTTCTCGAGTCTGTTCTTGCAAGCCTTGGCCCTTTGAATACCATACTGATCTTCACCACTATCTGTATCAACAGCTATTTTTTACGCATCAAATGCCAACGGCCACAGAGTAGAGTCTACCACTGATAAGTATCATGAGTATAGCATGAGAATAATTATGATGATTGAAGAGTCTAAGTTGTTTGATCCATTTTGCACGAGTAGCTCGCCTTGGGTGTGTTTTGTGGACACCGGCCGCCTAGCATTCAACTGCAGTGCATGAGGATTGTATTATTGCAAGTCGAGAGGAAACGCAGCCAACTGCAGTGAAACTTCAGTGTAACGTAACCATGGTAACCTGGATGTACATGTACTAACTACTGAGTACAGTTTTCGAGGACCCACCTAATGCGATACTAACTGTTATTCACTACAATTGTTGTAAGCCTCAACTGTGAAGTTATGATGATAGAACAGTTCTGTCGCCTGGCACACGGGTGTACTAGTATTCATTTCACGTGGAAGCAGAGTCATTAAATGGCAGTATTTTTACGACTCCCTGCATGGAAGCAACGCGTGTGATTTTTTGGTCTGGCCATTTTTGTGGTGGATGGGTTTGATCAGGCCATTATAGACCTCTATACGAATGCAACTCTCTGCTCTGGTCTACTTCAAGTCTCATGTGAACTTTATTTTTAAACAGATTTGCAGGGGCCTAGCCCTTGGATCGAGGCAGGGAGTAGTACAATACCGGGTAGTTTCATTATACATACCATATTTTATCATCAATTGTCAGCATATGCAAGTTACTGGTTCAGTGGCATCGCGATTGCCATGCATTTCAAGGGGCCATAATTGCCCATAAACCTGACTTACTTGCTTCGCATCAGGGTATAATTTCTTGTTCCAAACCAATGGCAGGCATTCAGAAGGCCGTCGCAAGCACACACACACACAGACACGTGCAGTCATCCAGCGTAGTGACAGGGCACACTGAATGGCGGCGAAGCCATGCCGACGCACCGCACACCGTCGTCATTAACTACAAAGTACAAGTAGTCCTATGAAAGCAATTGCATCAACTAATGTCGCTGTATGGGGAAATGAATGTGTGGAAGTATGGCAGCATGACAGTTCAGCTTGTGGCAAGGGAAGAAACCCGACCAAAGGAACAGAACATAAAGTAGAGAAGTGCAATTTCGCTAAAAGAGACGCATGTGAAGGCTGAAAACAGGCTGCAGCAAAACGAGATGAGATGAGAGAAAGTGAGAGAGAGAGAGAGAGAGAGAGAGAGAGAGAGAGAGAGAGAGAGAGAGAGAGAGAGAGAGAGAGAGAGAGAGAGAGAGAGAGAGAGAGAGAGAGAGAGAGAGAGAGAGAGAGAGAGAGAGAGAGAGAAGAAAGAGAGAGAGAGAGAGAGAGAGAGAGAGAGAGAGAGAGAGAGAGAGAGACCGGCCAATATCACTGGATGATAGATGCTGCGCTGTTACTTAACAATAAAGTACTGGTAATAAGACAACATCAGCATTAGGAAACTGACAATAGTTCATGTGACATAATCTGTGCTGGCTTCAAATAAGAACCACATTGAAAATCCTTGTACGGCCTCATACTTCCAACAAACAGAAAAGATCAGAGGGAGGCAGATGCGATTTTAGAGAAGAGATCATTTGTAAAATAGGTACTCTTGCTACAGCCTGTCGACTGTTGAAAAGTCATCTACGTCAAAAGAGAGAACGACCTAGTGCTGTTTGCGGAAACAGCATCCACTAAGGACTACTACTAACAGTATATACATAACGCACACCAGTGTGCGCTACACGAAAACAAGTTGGAGCGGCAAATCAGCTGGACATGTACTTGCTACAGAACAGGTACGAGAATATGGCAGCGACCCTGTTTCTGCGGCCAAGAAAAACAAAACAAGACAGCAGGTTATATAATGCAGCGGGAAGATAAAATACTAACATACTGATGTCTAGGAGCAAGGGAACAAAGCATATCCAAGTCAGTCTATCAAACCTCAGATAGGGGTGAGTATACACAGGGTCTTCAGACCACCTCAACAATATTACATTCTCTTCTCGTACTAGAACAAGAAGAGATGGGGACTCACACATGAGCTTGAAAAAATGATAAAACCAAGATAGATCATCAAGTGTGCATAGCGGAAGCACAATGCTAGCTGTTACTCGCTACACCAGGGTCAGTGCGCATCTTCTCCACAACACGCACCAGGCTGCTGTTTTCTTTACGCAGCGCTGCAAGCTTGTGCTGACAACGCAGCAGCTCAGATTGCGTGCGAACTAATGCTTGCCGTAGCTGATCAGCCGATGCATTCTCTGGTACATCAAAGAGTGATGTAGAAGGGTTGCAATCACTATCATTTGCATCCACAGACTCATCACTAGTACCGGTGTCTCCTGATCGAATTCCATTGGTATGCAGTGGATCTTCACCAGATTGAGACGACTGTGTAGCCGTTCGCACGCGACGCCCAGAAGGATATGACGGCAATCGGTGAAAAGGCGGTGACATGGAAGAGGTGTCAGGAGGAGAGCCGACCTGCTGATCTGATTGCCAATTAGCCCGATACTCAGCACCACGATCTGTTGCTGTCTTTCCAGCCACGGACGCCGCCAGAGATGCTTTCGCCTTTGCCACAATACCTTTGAACATAGGACTTTGGACGTCGCTAACGGAGTACGGAGTTACTGAGAGCGCTTGTGATCCGGTACGTTCACCAAGCTGCCTGGTACGGCCACGCACATCTGAGAGTCGCAGCTCACTGCCCCTCGATATGTTACTTACAGGCAGACTGGCATTGGTAGGTGTTTCTGGCGGAGAAAGTGCAGGTTTGAAGCAGTCTGAGTGGCGCCGGGGCGGTTTTTCGGGCGCTAGCGAGGGAGAGCCAGGGCCAAGAGATCTGGGAGAGCCAAGTGGAGAACGGATCGGTGTCTCTGGAGACACATCCAGTAACTCGCTGACTGACTGAGCCGGCGACAGATGGCCGGGTGAAGCCTTTGGTGCGGGTGTGGATGCAATGATCATTCCTTGAGAGCTGAATCGCTGGGGGGTCCTCGCAGCATTGTGCGGATGTGAATCTTCAAGAGAAGAGGGCCGCCCATACCGCTGACGACCACTAGATGGAAACGGGGGCACAAGCAAAAGCGTGACAGACTTCTCACGCAGCTGGCTGACGAGGTCTTGACGCAACTTTCCACACAGCGGCTTACCATTGATCTCGAGTACCCTGGAGTTCTGCCGGACACCGCATTTCCAAGCGACACCATACGGATCCACCTCCCCGATTGTTCCGCCACCCAGTAAGATGAAACCAAGATGATTGTTGGTCGAGCGTTGCAGGATAATCTCTTGGCAAAGAGAACCATCAGAAAACTGTGCAAGCCGAGACGCAATATCTTGTACCTCGCTCACAGAGCCTTCCTCGTCACAGATGAGGTTAAACTGCAAGCATTCACCAATGCCATAGTAGATGCACATCCTTCCAGTATCAATACTCATCGTCCAGCCAATCACCGAATCCACAGGAATGAACAGGTAGAGCCGCTGCGTCTTCTCGCGTAGCACACAGAGAAAACGCGACGATATGCAGAGTAGGTACTCTTCAGGCCGAGCCTCTGTGCCATTGTCCCAGCATGTAACTTGAACAGGCCAAGCAATACCACCGAGCAAACGGCTATCACCAGCTGGCGCTTGTCGAAGCGGTGCTGCACTGGACTTGCCACGCTTGCCCTTGAACGCATGAGTGATACGGCCCCAAGCATGCGATACATTCTGCGGGTCGAGCAGCTGCATGGTAGAGTAGTTGTTGACAAGATCGACAAGCCAGTCATGCCGAGTACGCATTGCCATCGTCAAGAACTTGGCCGAGCGATGCGCCGCATTCTCCATGTTCACAAGCTTGGCAAGAACAAACTCGCGCAGCTCTGGCCCAAGTGCAAACACAGGATTGGGCGGAATGGCCGGAGGCGTATGGGGAATGGAGCTGGACTGGGTGACAGCCACCTGGAACATCGGGCCAGATGTTGATGTTTCCAAACCGGGCATATGTCGCACAATGATGAAAACATGCTGAAACTGAGAGCGGATGACGGTGGGTGAAAACGGCTCAGCATCACTCTCCTGAAAGACGACAGTCAAGATGTCGTTACCGATATGGCGCTTGCGAAGAAGCTGTTGCTTTTTGCCATCCGTGTACGGAAGCAGCGTGGAAACATGGAACATGAGCTCATTACCACAGTATTCCGTGTACACAGAGTGAGTTCCCGTTGTATCGTTCTTGTTGTCTAACTGTGCACGGTAGCGTGTGAAGCCTTTCAATTCTACCATCGTACCGAGACATTCCAAGAAGCTTTTAAATAGCGATGAGCCGTTGATGTTGTTGTACATATCTTCTTCCGTACTCTGGCCAGAATCGCAGTACATTACTCCAGCTTTCACCTGCCTGCAGATGTTCTGCTCGTCTAGCCGCATCAGTGAGTCATACACTTTCTGCTCCGCACGTGCCAAGCGCAGGCAGGGGAGCTGAATTGAGGGCAGTGCGTAGGAGATAACATCGCGTGCAGGTAGCGCAGTGGAGCCCACAGTCTGCACATTGACACTTGTCATTGACGGCCGAGGACGCAAATCAGGAACGCACTCTTCCAGCACAGCCACTCTGAGTGCCTCCAGGCGAGATGTTCGCACGATGATCCGGTACAGTGGGCAAATGTCCTCCGTCACTAAAGACTGGCAGTTATTTAGCACGGGGGAGGAAAGAGAAGAGAGTGGTTCGGTGAAGGCAAACGCACCTCTCCCACCAGCTAAAGCAGTTGGGCTTGAATTGCCACTCGTATCCGGCATAATGAAATCACGCTTCACCGAGATGGCAACTGGTCCTAAGTTTTCGTCCATACCAAAGTAGTTTTGGTGCTCGTTGTCATAGAAAAATTGCCGATAGTAATATGCTCCCATGTCGGTGTGCTCTGATCGATATTTGAGTTCGCCTTCTTCAGCTGCAGTACTAGGCTGATGTAGCACGCTTACATTACAAGCACATTCACGTTCCCTATCTGCAGTATCCAGTAATTGGTGCTGTATTGGGGTTTCAAGCAGCACACCAGTGCATGACGCAGGCACGAAACATGATTTCTCCTTATTGCGGGCTTGAGAATGAACGTCATCCGTAGAACTTGAGTTGGTCCATCGAGCGTGATCTCTGAATCCATCCGTTGACTCACATGGTACACTCCCTATGTCAGTAACAAAATTGGCAGCCCGCACGACTAAGCCGTTTTCAGCTCCTGCTTTACTCTCATCGTACGACGAAGCAGCGGATGCACCAGTTTTCTCATTTGCTGATTTCGAATTGTCGATTGGGTCTGTCAGATTACATAACAACGATACGGCGTCGAAGTGAGCAATTCCTTTCACTTTGGATTTTCCAGCACGACCCGACCCACTGGGCGAGGAATCATCCATGACTCGTCTCAGTCTAACAAGATAATTATCACCTCATAAGCTCAAAGAGCAGAATTAAGTTAATTCTCACTGACACAAGCACACAAACATGATACGCCAGAGCGATGCGCTAGCTCGCTCCAAGGCATTTTCTCAGAGAACATGGATGCCCTGCCTTCAAACTATCCACAAGGCTGAGAGGAAACACTAAAATGCACGTATACAATGGCAACTGGCTTGCTGACCCTGTGGCTGTGTCGACGCCTTCGCCTGAGCAGCAACGCAAATTTTCTTTTCGAGTGAACAACTAACTCGGCATGCTTTTTGGGCTTGGCTTCCTACTGCAAGTCTGCATGCTGCGCTGCATGCACAGCTAGCTGTATGTAGGCTTGTACTTGCACTCTTGATACTACAGGTAGTACACTGTACAGTACTACTTGAGATCTACGCATCGCGCCTGTACGCGCGGCACGCGGTCGTTTGGCAGTTGTATGCAGGAAGTCGTAAAATACCGGTATTTTACGACTCCCTGGTTGTATGTATTGAATTATTTTGTAGTCTGTAGATCTACCCAGGGAGTAGTACAATACCTACTCCCTGGATCTACCCATCACTGCATCAGACCAAGAGTACATAATTATGACTCTTGATCAGACCGATCCGGCCGAGTGCGTTGTACACACTCACGTGACTCAGTGCAGTATTCAGTCAGTACGAGCAGATCTACGACGCGTCGACGAGAGATCGACATGGGCAAAAGTCCTATACATGTATACACTGTATAGGATTTGAAAATGCGTGACCTTTATGCCGTTGTTATTGGTCATCGTGAGTCATTCATGACCCATAATAAGAGCATAATGGTTTTATTAGAAGCTGTAAATAATGTTTGAGGCATTATTATTATTATTATTATTATTATTATTATCAAATTTTTGATAGGGCAATCCCCACAGGCCTAAGGCCTTCTTACAGGGTACCCTAGAAATGAAAGTACTGAATTACGGAATAGATGCAGGCATGAATGTTTACTTTTTAGATTCATAGCTAGCTAGGACATCATGAATACCCATTTTGAGCAAGGATTGGAATTTTGAGCAGCATTGTTCAGCTGGTGTCATGGGAAGGACTGAAGCAGTGAATGTGCAAAAGAACATTACAGGTGTGGCACGGGGTGGTTTCATGACGACATATCGCACATGCCGTCGTGAAACTACCAATTTTAAGGATAAAACAAGGTCCAGTAAAATCTCAAATCCTATATATAGGATTCGAAAAATAGGGCACAGCCTCACAGGCCTTAGAAATATTGCGCAAGGAGATGAGCCTTAGATGTTAGTATTTGAAAAAAATATCTTATTCAACTCTCCATATCGACTAAGACCTTACGCGGAAGAATTGGTCACATACGTTTCCCTATGCTCATGCCACACCCATTTTGAGTTGAAAAATATGACCAAAATCCTATATAATAATTATAGGATTTAGCAAATTAAGAGATATCAGTTTAGTCTTTAGAATCAACTCGTAAAAACTCCAAGTCAATCTCCCATTGACACAAACCTCGTTTATTCAACATAATCATATCCTATCCAATAAAAACAGTTCATAAAAACAGCTTTTTAGGATCGGACCCAGTCCGCATAACCAAGAGAGCTAGCTCCCTTGGCTGCTGTTGGAATATGCAAGAATGGGCCTTCCAGATAAGGTCTAACAAGGAGAAGTGGCTATAGTCGCTGCTACCACTAGATATGGCATGTTCTCCATTTCTTTCCTTGGCGCTGATAGGTGGAATTCTCTGCCTGTCTCGTGTCGTCAGGTTGAGCATCTATCCGTTTTTGTTTCGCTCTGTAAAGAGCACTTAGGGTTCCCTGTAACAAGACGGCAACGTCTGTAGGGCCTTCCCTATCAAAATAATAAATTCTACTACTACTACTACTACTACTACTATAGTTTATGAAATGAACACCGGTAACCATGGAGACAGGCCACACTCTCATTATAGATTCTGGTTATAAATAGACCGAATAAGGAAAATGATCTGATAGCCTATGAAGGGTAAAAGAAATTGAACCAATGACAACAAATACTCGTCCAGCACACGAGTTGTCATAGCAACACAAATAACAGCTGTCCACTAATTTTGTTGTTGGAGATTGAGTAGGAGTTTTTACTGGTTGATTCTAAATACAATAAATGCTCCGGCCTTGGGTTTATGACCAATAAAAACTAATTATAAAAACCTCGGGGGACCTCGGTTTTTATAATAGTTTTTATTGGTCATAAACCCTCGGCCTCCTCATTTATTGTATACATATGAGCTAGAAAAAAAGAAAGGAAGTCAGATCATAAACGTTTGTTGCATGCATGCAATACATTTCGTTCCGCGACACCCTTACTGCCTTCCCCAGATTAGCGAGAATGGTCATGTAGCTACCTACACTAACGTTACCTTATTAATGCGATTAATAGTATAAGTGAAGCGGACATTACAAAATGATGAATGAGAATACATGTATCTAAAATGGTTGTTCCTAATCGATTTTCTTGAGACTATCATCAGGGAAAAATCGTCTCACAATAGAGGCTATACGGAGAAACAAACTACTTATAGGTTATACCGTTATAGGATAGTGGGCAGTATACAAGGTGAGGTGTGAAAAGAAAAAATAAAGTGGGAGAGAAGACGAAAGAAATTAGAAGACAAGATGTGAGAGTGTTCCGACGGTGTGAGCTACTACAAAAGGTGAGTGAAATGAAGGCGTGGAAGCAGGTGCTGTTTTGTGCCGTGCTCGTAGGTTTCGTGAACTTAAGGTATTAGAAGCTGTTTTCATCCGTAAACACAATCCTAATCTATGCATTCAGAAAGAAAATGTCACAAAACTGAGACTCTTCACCTAGCATTCACACACGTATTCATTCGCATGCACCTACACCTCACAGTTCCTCACTCTATCACATTCACCTGCTTCCACGCCTTCATTTTCTAGTACATAAGTCCCCCCCCCCCCCCCCGGCCCTACTCTTGTATGTGTACCAAGGAGCATGTAATACTCTTGCTTGTACTCGGGTGTACATCGTAACTGAACTTGCAAATCAAACAGGACGAAGTGCTAATACAAACAGCAAAACATTTCAGTGTGGCAGACTAACACTAATGGCCAAGCTTTGCTACGCCAAACAAGACATGTTTACTCAAACAATTATTTCAACATAATAACACTATGATTCGGACCATGGTGTGACGGCCATGGATGGAGGTTCCTCCTCGGATCCTTTACAACAGTCTGCCACACACAGCACCAATAGTGTAATCTCCTTTTGATGGACACGATGCATGGCGAGCTGCCTTCATTCCATCATGTGGCTACATTCGTGCCACGCTATGCTGAACCATTTTAAAAACACCACAACTACCCTGTAGTTTGGAACCAACTTGTGTTGTGTTCAGTTGACCGAATCAAGTAAAACCGGGTGTGCTGGTACAAGATATTGCGGATTTTTGGTGCAGGAGTACAGGCTGTTACCAAGAGACCCTGCAAGAGTGTGCAACTATCGCATACTAGGGCTGAGTTCGTTTTCAGCTACCTGGTAGAGTAGAGCAGAGTCACTCTACCGATAGAGGTAGATGGTAAAGATAAGTGCACGAACGCTGTTCTAGTAGTTTACACGATATGTGCGTGAAATATTTCTCTTCTGTATGGAGTTGTGTACAAATCCTTGATCTTGCGGAAAATCCCGTAGCTCTACCAATTTCTACTGGCTTCTACCAACTTTTTCCTGGTAGAGGAAAGTAGAATCTACCTTTTGAGTAGAAAAAATGACCATCTCTACCGAAAGAAGTAGTTTCTACCCAAACCTGTAGATCAAAAACGAACCCAGAGTGTGCAGCTTGGGGCATTTTCTACTATGGGTGTCTGCAAGAGTACATGTACTCTTGGTGTCTGTCACGGCGGAATTCCGTGATTACATCATATTCGGCGCAGATCCGAGACGAGAAGTGGCGTAGTGCGTACAACTGAAAGAGACCTGCTTGAATCCTGCTTGTACGCACTACATCACTAAAATGTAATCACGGAATTTCGCCATGACAGCGACCCATTAGAGCTGCACGTTCTGGTTTTCATGTACTCTTGTGCATACTCTGCTGTCCCGACGGTTGACCTCATTTTCATGATGCGATGCCCTTGTGTATTGCACCAGTGATTCACGACATAATATGTGTACATTTGTGAACGCATCGTGCGTTTTTCTTTGCACTAAGGCTGTCAAAAAGTGAAACTGCTCGGTCTACGACTGTGTAGTACATTTTCAACAGCATACACTATCTTCTCGTACATTCCCATGAATAACGCGGGATTTATGCGAAATCTCACGAAAACGCGGATGATAGCCAATACAGTAGAGTCGCGCGCTGAAGAACGTGGAGCCCAAGAACGTCCAGCCTGAAATTCTAAGAACGCCACAGCCTAAAGCTAAGAACGGCAGTGTTGGTTTTCTGGCCGCTTCTGAGATACATATGATCCAGGACGGATTGTTTCTAAGAACGCAGCCAGATTGCTGACAAAATAAGAACGTCCCAGGCTAAACCCCTTGGAAACAACGTTCTTGGGCGCCCAACTCTACTGTAACGCGGAAAATTGCGCGTCCGCGGAATCCTGTGGGGACAGTAAATTTGCACCCCAATCCAATTACGGAGCACCTACGCTATCAGAGCCCTATCTACATACTCTCCGTAGACAACTTTCCGTAGTGCGGAACCTCTCTATTTTCAACTTCATTGGGTGCTAAAAATGGGCTGGGAACGTACAACGGGAACACCACGCGATGTGATCTGAGTTTTCTCCATCGGCAGACAAATAGAAAGAGTACGATAAAGGTGAGTTTGCATATTGCGTGAATGGCCTATACACTCTTTGGACTAAATTCGAAATGACCAGAGACACTTTGTCAACCAAAAATCGCTGCAGGCTCGTTCTCCCAAAGATGCACTCTGGTTTCTCATATTTGTCATACTGACAAGCCCCATCAGCCAAATGACCGCCTGCCCAGGGCAAACAAGCAGGACAAAATCCAGTTGTGCGTAAAGACAGCACGCACCCACGATGCCAAGCACACAGTGTACGAGCACACGCACAACAAGCACAAGCAAAAGGAGGTCATGTATAAAACATGTATTTTACGCTCTCTGCTGACGACCGTACGGACGGTTATTAGATTCGTTCTGAGAAGCTGATACGACCTGGAGGTTGGGGATGTTGAAGTCCTAGAAACAAGAAGAAACAAAAAAGTGCATAAATAGATCACAGCTACATAGATGCGAGCACCAGCACTGAGATGATCTTTCAAACAGTAGCTATCATTTTCAAGAGCAAACACCAGCAAAAAACGTGATTGCGCACATGTCCCGCCACCACAGACAGAAGCATGGCAGTCAAGTAGAGTCCTGCTCAATGAAATCCCATCAAGTGAGTCAAGCGCGCACTGGGCTCTGTGCAGCCCTAGACCTGCAAAGACTGGGATGTGAACTGGTGCAAACTCGACTCACACAATCAGATTTCATTGAGCACCAGTGTGAACTGCAAAAGTCCCATAGGAGAAAACAAGCTTGAGCAATGTAATGAATAACTAGCCGCTGCATCCAAAGCATGGTGTCTGATCGGAGCTGCACCAGCTGTGGAATTTTCCACAGCTACAGCACACAGCAAAGCAGCACCAATCAGTTACTGTAAGCCTGATACAATGCCAACTGATCACACGTAAATAAACGTCACGGCTGGTTCAGAGGCAGGCTGCCACGGAAATATCAAAATACCCGGTAAAATTTGAACCAAAAAAAAACACAGCTAATGTGTGAGGCAAAGACAAGGCGGGATCTTCAACACAATTTGCAAGGCTCGACAAGACCCCAAAGAAATGCGAAAGATCACAACCCAGATTAGAAATAGTCATATGCTCGGCATTCACTGGCAACATCGCGTTCCTGCATAACAACACTGCTTACCAAGGTCTTCAACATGTCCTTGGTGTCAGCATCGATTTCAATGACTTCACCGTCCAAAGCAGAAACCTGGAGAGGCAAATGATCAAAAATAGGGGAGAATAATGAAATCCCAGCTTAGGCAATGTGAACCTTAGCATACACTGTACCTCAAAAGAGACACTAACCATCATTCTTCGGCGAGTGAGCTCACTCAATTATGTTTCTGAAGTCTATTTCTCAAAATGGAAGTCGTAACAATAGGATTTCGGCCTGGTTTTGCCCCTAAAGCACTGAATTGGGGAAAACCATCAAAATCCAGTCCATTTCACCACACTTGCAACAGTACACTGTGCAGTTCGAAACCCAGTTGAAGGACCTTTTCGGAAACTTTTCACATTTCGCAGCCCTACACCGTGTAAGATACAATCACAGAAATCACCAAATACGGAAGCTCGCCAGAGCCTGAAGTGTGGCATCGTAGCCCCGTGCAATGAAACCAGCAACTGCCAGCTACTTTCAAGGAAGCTGAGTAAAGACATGTGTACTGTTTGTTGGTATCTGTGAGAGTTGTACATAGTTTCGGCACTCTTCCTCAAAATGCAAAACAAATTGAGGGAGCCGAAAAAAACATTATTTAACTTGCTTTAACACATGGTAAAAGGTGGTGATGCTTGTTTCGAGACACACGCCTCCAAATGCATTGCTAAGACAGTTACTGTAGAACGGGTAATTTTAGCGTTTTCCCATTGTCAACCGGTTAGCGACGTTTTATTTTAGATAGTTGCAGCGATTTTACTCATGGATCACCAGTCTCAACAGATCAGTGACTTGAAACTTTGGCGAAAATGAGTCGATCGCTAAATTCGCTAGGGTTTTTACGTCGCTAAAATTACCCGTTCTACAGTATATCGCCACTTTATAGTCTCGCCTTCTCCAGAGCAAAGGAATCCATTACAATGGAAAGGACAATTCACAATATCGCGTTTTGCGATGCGACGTGCACCACTTACAATAAGGAAGTGCTTATTGCGTACTATCACAAGACCAATGCTGCATACATTGACCTATGAGTAAAGTTTACTAGACTGGGTGCGTGTGCAGTGCATTTAGATGTAGCAGAAACCTTAAAGATTGTGATTGCGCGACGCGATCACATGTGTCATGCATCGCCAAAGTGTAATTGTGAATCATGCTCAATGCTTGTGTACACTATCGCTACATTCCATAATAATATCATAGAAGCCTAAACACTAGTGTCACTTTACCTCTGGAACGTAGTTGTCACGGCGCTCACGCTCCTCTTCCTGGAGCTTGATGGAGATTCCACGGACGGGTCCCTTTTGGATGCGCTTCATCAAATGGGTGACAAACCTGCAAATGGTGCATCGCCAAACAAATCAGTTAAACTGGGGAAAAAACTGGCCAGAGTGCATTGAAGACGATGTCAGTTACTGTTAACCCTTTGAGGTGCCACTTAACGCGTGAAAATGCGCAATTGCAGTTCACTCCACCATTTCCATCATAACTTACGTTCTGTTTGCTTGATTTTGACAGTCTAGGGCTCTTTGAAACGCTCTTTCCGCTGCCAAGAGAATGACGCCACGCTCAACTCCGTGGGTGCCACAAAGCCTGCTCCAGAGCGCAGGGAATCGCCATAGGTCGGGCCTCGTGTTGAAAGAAATACTTCTAAATTTCATCCCAATGCCATTTCGCTGTCGTTTCTTGCACAGCTCTGGATTTTTTTGCATCTCAATCAGTAGTTTCGACGTCATTACACCCGCACGTCATCAGCTGGCTGCACACCACGTGATCCACGGGAAATCCCCGAAGCACGAGGCAAAAAAATGATTTTGAGACGTTTGAACAATTTAGTGCCGCGATCAAACTGTCGAGCGTCATATCTTTATCATCGTTTCTCCTATCGCAAAAGCGATTACACCATTGGAAAGCTTGGAGCTTCCTCTTTGATCTACATATTTCGATATTTGCAACAGGACAAAAATCGATGGAGTTACGACAGTTTTACGGTACGTACACAATATCAGTCGTTAATGACTGATGCACCGCTAAGGGTTAACCGGGAAACATTTCATGCCAGCTTTAGTTAGCGATTTGCGAGTACACCAAATTGCACCCGGATAGGTGTTCAAGTGAGGTCAATTTCATTAGTTTTGTTTACTACAGTGCTACGCTCTCCGTGGCTTGTTTTTGAAAATTCACTCATTGTGAAAATCGCATCCAAAGCATTGTGTCTGATCGGAGCTGCACCAGCTGTGGTATTTTCCACAGCTACAGCACACAGCAAAGCAGCACCAATTAGTTACTGTAAGCCTAATACAATGCCAACTGATCACACGTAAATAAACGTCACGGCTGGTTCAGAGGCAGGCTGTAATGTCACGGAGATACCAAAATACCAATGTTTTCCGGTTTAGAGGTAGTTAAATCATGCCTGGCGGTTTTTGATCTTTCTATATATTGTACAAACAAATTTTGGCCGGTGAGAAACGTTTGGCAGATCTCGAAATGAAACTTTGGCCAATTGGGGTTCAATCTAGCATCATTGAACTCTATGACAAACTTTGGCATGCGATTTACTTTGGCCGGTTGGCACCAAGCGGCAAAATCAGTGAAATCAGTTGATTTACAGTAATTAACACGCAGACAACTCTTGGATGCGATCGCCTATGGTGGTCGGTCCCTGAATAAGAGCAGTAGTTGTGTTGAAGTACACATCTGGACTTAGATAAGGGAGGCGCAATGCAACAGCGATGAAACTTTCTACATTCCTCACGATTCGAATGTGTCGACTTGGCCATTCGTGGCTTGCTTGATGCATCTCCCAAAGAGGGAAATAGCAAATACAATCCATCTCTACGACATTGTCCTAAGCACATGGATGCAACACCTCTGGCATAGTCGGCATGTACTTCTTGAACTCACATAATTCTCACCCAAATTTAGGGGGTTGAACTGTTGGCTGCCGTGAAATTAGTGTAAACCGAGATACCGGTAGTAGATACCGGTAGTACATTTTGGTTTTGCAGCAATCAACGCGAGACGGTTTATTATGTAACTTACTTGAAGTTTTTATCACTCAGTAATGCAACCCGCGCAATCAATGTGACAATTGCCTGAAGTAGGGTCTGTAATCCCTTTGAAATTTTCTATTGCATTTGGCACACTGATAGCAAGCATAAGGACATTTAAACTATGGCTACCCCAATGTCGGACCATCACCTGGGGTGCCAATAATGCTGAAAAACGGTGTGACAATTATTTTACTCAGTGAACAATTTATTTACTGGATATGGAATAATTTCCGAAAAAAATCGAAGCACTTTCAAAAATAAATTTAGTCGACTGATGACTCGCAGCAAACGATCTTAGTAGAAATATACTAGGGAAGCTACAATTATCTAGCAGAGAGACATACCCAGCGATCTTGTTGCGAAGACGCTTGCTTGGGATGATAGCGATCTCTTCACAGAGACGCTTGTTCGTGTGGAAATCAAGAGTACATCTCGGGTAGAATTTCTCGATGATAACACGAGAAGCTTTCTTCACGGTCTTCGTCCTTACCCGACCCTACATGACCAGATACACAGGATACTGTCACCAACATTGTCGTTTCTCCATTCCAATAAAACAACGCAAAATGCTCACCATCTTGAACGGCTGAAAAGAGAACGGAAGCTTTGCGCATGCGCAGTTTTACACCCTTGGGATTTTCCCAGTCATAAAGAAAGTAAAGGGTGATTTGAAGTGCTGTTGTTTCATTTCGCCTTTTCCACTCTTATCTGTCTGGCTGACGTGAAACTTACTTACGTTACATAATTACCATGATTCCCCAGTCCCTGTAGTAGTTGTGTACTAGCACCGGTATTCGCCGAGATAATTCGGTACACAATAATGTCTGTTTCGGTGGGTGTTCATGCCAGAACCGACAAGTAAGCCAGGTCGCTTTGACTCTTGAGTTTGAGTTGTGCTGATCTCGGATTTTTGTGCGTGATGTCTGGAAGCTGGCTCCGCCAACAATGGCGACATGTGCATAAACTTTGTTTTCATTCGCCATAATTTTGTACGTGTCAGTGAAATCCCGTTTGTCTTGTACATGTACATGTAGTTGGGATTTGACTTATCATAATTTTTTTATAATTTTAATAAAAAGGAACATGTCCCCCACCCCTAGGCCCTCACTGCCACTTACAAGAAGCCATGTTTAGGCTACATGTAGCAATGGCTATCAACAGATCGTCTCACTGTCAGTGTGAGTGCTGTTTTGTTATGTACTGAAGTTCAAGCTGGAATCCAAATTCTATGACAAGTACATGTACCGGTATTCGCAAGAGGACACAAACTCGTAAGGCCCAGGGAGGTTACTCTTGGTATTTTAGTGTAAAAACAGTAAGTAATAGTCAACGGCGGCTTGCGGCTATTACCAAGAGTATATAACCCCCAGGGGGGGTTATAATTATACTCTTGCTATTAGTAATAGTATTACTTATTGCTACCGTATGTCCGCACCTTTAAAAGCCAAGGGCTTCATAAAATGAAATGACATTCATGATTGTCACATTACAATGTAAGTATGTTTTGTAAAAATGAAGGAATATTACTATCGTTATAGTTACAGCCCGGCATTCAGGAAAGGTGAACAAGTGGATTTAGATTGAAATTTCTGTGTGTGTGTGTTTGTAGTGGGCGAGTCATTTTGCATCTACGGTAAAATAGCTACATGTAGGAAACTGAGCTGTCCCTTTGGAAAAACGCGGCCAATAATTCAATATTCCGCGGCAAATTCCGCGGAGAAAAGGGAGGTTTTCTGCGGCATTTTCTGTGGTAAAATCAAAAATCTGCGGCACTTTCTGCAAGGTTTTCACCCTCCTTGCATGAAGGAGTACTTTTCACACTAAAGTTTGCAGTCACAAACTGAATGAGAGTGAAGAATCTTGGAGATTTTGCACTCACCTACACTCGCAAGAGCATAATGTGCTCAAACAGATTGCAAAGTAGTTTTTCTGCTGTTTTCTGAGTAGTAATTTTACTAATTTATCCTAAAAAATTCAAATTCCGCGGGCAATAGTGTGGATTCCGTGATTTCCGCGGATGATGGCAATTTCTGCGAAATTTGCCGCGGCCGCGGAATCGCGTTTTTCCAAGGGGACAGAACTGAGTAACAAGTAATACCGGTAGTCGCAAGCCTTTGACAAAGCGTACACAATGGCACTTTCATGGCTGTCATAATATTATTATGGTGCAACAGTTGTGTTCCTCGTCAAGTTGTAGCCGCTAGTTTGGCTCGCACTGGTGCCGGTTCTCCACATTTCCCAATCTACTGACTCTGAGCACTGGTAAAAGATGAAGATTGAGGAAAGATTTGAGTGTACTCGAAGTCGAAGTTGTTCAGCCTTTGGGCAGGAGCCAGTGGCACTGTACAATATGTCGCACAACCTCCATCGAGAGAAAAATAAAATCAGATCCTTCAATGTTTAATATCCTCAATTGGCATGAACAGAAAATACAATCATGTCGCATGCGCAACTATCAGTTTCTCAACATTGCCAGGACCTCAGCGCAAGTATACACATCAAGAATGCTGAGTCGCTGAGTCTCATTGCGTGTTCGCTCTTATTAGTACGTGAAAAGTTCAAGGTGCAAGCAAATTCACAGCACGTAGTTGTCAACTCAGTGTCACACACTAATTTCACTCTCGGTGTCCAACAGTGAGCGGCTCATGACAGTCACGGTCCCGTCTGTGGAAATCCTGCGCTTGCGTGATCTCAATGGCGCCTGCACGCCCAGAATGAGCTCTTTCTGCTCGCGCTCACGCTGCAGTGCGTCGTACTCGTCCGGCGGGAGAAACGTGAGTGTACGCCGGCCAGTTCGCCGGGTGGCTGGCTTCTTAGGGTACAGCGAGCGCTTGTCCACAACAGCTGGTGCCTGTATGTGACCGCTGGCAACGTTACCAGCCAGTTCCCACAGGTCTTCAGCGCCGTATTGCTCCGTACGCTGGCGAGATCTCCGCTGGCTGCTTGTCTGCACGGCGCGTCCGGTCGGCGGCGACGTCGGTAAAGCAACAAACCCAGCAGTGGTCATTACAGCATCCTTTTTCTTCGACTGGCGGCTTGCAGTGTGTCGTCTCCTTGGCGTCACCTCCCTCTGCTTCTGAATGCCTGGCAAACTGCTGTCTGGCCTTGCGCCGGGGGCGCTTGCGAATCGACCATGCTCTGGTGTTTGCCGAGATGTGCTTGGAGCTCTAGTAATGTTCGGAGCTGCAGTGTGGACACTGCGCACTGTGTCCCCGGAAATGCTACTGCTGCGGTGCGGGCTAGATTGTGTTGGCAGGGTGTGGCGTGCCAACGTGACCTCCGGTGTTTGACTGTACTTGAGCTCCTGCATTCGCCGCTCCTCACGACGCACTTCCACCTGTAGAGATTTGATCTTCTCCCAGCCATGGTGGCGTTGTCGGCGCTCCTCTCTCAGCAGCTTCTCGGCGGCTAACATGACTTCTCGTTGCTCCCGTTGCTGGTCCCAGGCCAGCAAATCCTGCTGCACTTTGGCTTGCCGTTGCTTTTCCTTCGACTGCAGCCACTGTGCTACTGTGGGCCGCTTTGGACAGCCAACTGCCCCCAGTTGCTTGTGAAGGATGTCATTAGTCTTGTGTGCACCTTGTACGGCAGTGGCCATATTATTACGGACCTGGTCAGCATTGCTCGTGGCCTTTTCCAGGGTTCGAGACACCACCGATTTCTCTTTGTCAACCACTTCCTCAAGCTTCTGCATGCTGAGATCTTCATTGCGGAGCAAAATGTGCCGCTCGCTCTCCAGCTCAGCCTCCACTAGCTCCTGTTGTAACTTGATTTGCAGGTTGAACGTCTTGACCAGTTCCTGCGTAGCCTGTGACGCCAGGGTTGGCCCACGGCTTGCTTCCAGGGCACGGAAAACATCTTCGGCTGATGGGCTTGAGTCGGGTTGTGTTACTTTACCTGGTTCCAGGCTCTTTGCTGGTGACCTCTCTGCCTCTCTGGCCTGCTGATCAGAGTCACCTGTCGCGACCGATGCACTCCCATCCGTTGATTCCTCTGCAATATCGCGGCCTTCCATCTCTTCGGAGAGCTCTGCTGCCATGGCTTCGCGACGCTGTCGTTCCAGCAGCTCCTGAAGTGTACCAACAGCAATAGCTTTAGAGATGTGCAGTGCAGCACTTCCCACAGCTTCACCGGCCACACTACTGGCTACAGCAGTGGCATACGCACACAGGAACGCAATGGACGACGGCGCGGCATGCATGCCCGGAACGCCGGTGCCTTGCGACCTGCGCCGATTTGCAATGTACTGGTTTAGCGGGTTGATGATGCTGGAGGTGCGCGAAAGGAACGAATTCATTCTCTGACGGGCCGTGAGTGGCTGGCGGTTGAGGGGTTGTGGTGATGTATCAGGGTGTTCATGCTGACTTTCTCCCTGCTTCTCCTTAGTAGTGTCAGTGTGTTCAGTATGTACATCCTTGGTTCCTCTCCCTGGAAGTTCACCAGGTCGCATTTCATGTGGTTCTTGATCTTGCTCCCTGGATACATGCAACTCTCCTCCGCCTGGTGTTGTCGCTTCTTTATTAGCAGTGATTCTGTCACCTTCACTCTGATCGCCCGCTTCAGGCTCATACTGAGCGGGAATGACGGAGAAGACCAGCTGCTCTTGGACATCGCTATCATTGAGCCGTGAGGACTGCTTGCGTACCGGATTCTCATGAGCTCTGGTGCTGCTGGAGGTTTCTACTCTACTGTCGGAGGGAGGCGGCACTGGCACGGTTGTTTCTTGTGTTGCTGATGATGATGCTGGTGGTGCGGCTGCTGCTGCCAGTGGTGCTGGACTCGGTGTCTTCTTGTCAGGTTTAGGGTAACTTCCCTGGCTCTGTGGACGGCCTTTCGTTTGGTTACTAGGAGACTCCTGCTGGGATGCCGGTAGTGATATTCTATCTGATATTTGAGATTGAGAAGAGCCAGCACTAGGCGAGCCGGAGGATAGCAGGTTGTTGTCAGTGTTTGAGTGCAAAGAGGCAGTCGACGACTTTGCGTCATCTCCAGTTGAACCGCTGGCTGAGCGGACTGGTTTCACGTGAGCGGTTTGTTCGGACGGGGTCACTGTTTCTTCTTGTGGAGAGGGCAACTCGGCGGAAGCAGCAGCGGATGAAACCTTCGCGGGGGTGTCTGCTTTGTGCTCTGCATCCAGCTGTGCACCATCCGTACTGCTCTGTTCGGCAATCTGTCTACCAAAAAGCTGTTGTCGAACTAGCATTCCCCTAGCATACCGCTGAATGGTGATGAGAGCAGGCGTGATGATGTCGAGAGCTGGGCAGCCGCCCTGCTCCAGTATCAGTTCCTGGCAGCCATCGTCCTCGCTGTACAGCGAGGCACTGTCCAGCGGTGTAAAGTACTCAAACTCCTCTGTGACAGCGATGCTGTTCACAACTGCGTGTGCGTCCAGGAGTAACGCTGTACAGTGATAGTGACCGGCCTCTGCAGCCAGGTGCAGCGGAGTGAAACCATCGGTGAGCTTGCAGCGAACGGCACAGCCTGCAGAGATCAAGTACTCCAGGCACACACTCTCTCCAGACATGGCCGCCTCGTGCACTGGCGTTGTGCCACTCTCGCTTGCCTTGCTCAGTAGCTGCGGTGTGGCCGACTGCAGCATCTGCAGGAAGTCAATGAGACCGACAGCAGCTGCACAGTGTGCAACACTCATACCCTCGTTGTCCAGGTGAGCGAGATCGGCACCATTGTCAATCAGAATAGCGGCAATATCTAGATAGCCGGCGATGACCGTGTAGAAGAGCGGCGTTCGACCCGCCTCGTCAGTCGCATCCACCGCAGCATGGTACTGCGCGAGCAGGAGATTGCAGGCATCGAACACACCGTACTTGGACGCGGTGTGCAGTGTCGTCAGCTGCTGTCTATCCCTGGCACTCAGATCTGCACCGCTCTTCAGTAGCATGTCAATAGCAGTTGTGTTGCCAGGACAACTTGCAGCCAGGTGAAGTGCCTGTTGCCCCTCTGCATCCACCTCATTGACTGGCGCTCCAAGCTTCAAGAGCACCCGCAGACATTCCTGCATGCGCAGACTATGCCCGGGCTCGTGCACTTCATCAGGATGCGAAGGCAACGTGGCGGACATGCGTGCGGCATAGTGCAGCGGATGCATGCCGCTGGCATCAGCTGCTGATACGCTCACACGGTGACTAGCCAGTGTCTGAATGACAATGGGGTGCCCTCGCTCAGTAGCGGAATGCATCAGACTCTTGCCATCCTCGCCGACGACGTTGATACTAGCTCCAGCGCGCACCAATGCATCCACAACATGATCATTGCCTTCGAGTACGGCACGCTGCAGTGGGGTCTGCTTCTCGGCGTCCGTTCGTTCAAGCAGCTTGGCTTCCTGCTTAGCCAGGACGGGAACACATTTGGCATTCGGAGCCACCGCACAGTGATGAAGAGCTGTCCAGCCAGCATGATCTGCAACAAGTACGCTCACCTTCTTCTTCATCATGAGCTTGACATGCGCGGCGTGCCCATAGCGACAGGCTAGCATCAAAGGAGTCACGCCTTCGTGATCCGCCACTTCAAACTCCAGCTCCGATGTGTTCTTGAGTAGGACTTCGAGACAGGCCGTGTGTGTGTGCACTGCAGCCAGATGTGCAACCGTCCATTGGTTGCTGTCAACGGAGCGCACATCGCCGTTGTGCTTGAGCATCATTGCGAGTATCTTGGCCTCTCCGCACACGGCCGCCCAATGTACTGCGTTGCGTTGCTCGTCCACCGTCGTTGCCAAGCTCGGGCTGGCGCCGCTCACCAGCAGCTGCTTGACAACGGCACCGTTGCCAAGGCGGGTGGCGCGCACCAGCGGCGTGATCCCGTCCACGTCCAGCTCGTCGAGAAAGCCTGCGTGCAGACGCGTACCCATCGTTTCGATGCACTGGACAGCACCACACTCCACCGCCAAGTGTACAATGTTCAACTGCTGGCCATCCAGACACGTGACGTCAGCGCCAGTTGCAAGCATCTCGGCTAGCACAGCATCATTCTTGCAGCACACTGCCCAGTGAGCGGCCGTACGCCCGTGTTGACCGTCAGCGCTGTCCAGGTAAACGCCACTCTCCAGCAAGAGCTTCACGCACTGCAACTGATGGCCAGCCTTCACCCGCTTGGCAGTCACACACAACATCAACGGCGTCATGCCCTCGCGATCGCTATAGTTCACGTCCAAATCGTTCACGCCGCCAAGAATCGCTTCCATATTGCGCACATCGCACCGCGCAGCGGCGCTTAGCAGTGCATCTTCCGGGCCTTCCATAGCTCCACACCTTCACTTGCTCGTATCCGAACAGATCGCCAAGATGGGGGGACGTCTCCGATTTGGCGAGCCTTCCAGCCTAGCCTACAGTCCAAGAATGCGACGATGTGCGTTGGACATGATTCGGCGCGATCAGCTACCGTCCCAATTCGGTCTGCGCTTCATTCCTCGGACCGGCTGTAGCAGCCGCTACGCCAAACCTGGGTCGCTCTCGGTTCGTGTCGTGGGTTTGATCCCTTTTCTCGAGTCATGGATTCCACACGAACAGATCAAATCTGAAGTGCTCAGCCAAAAAACATAAGGGCACCCCACAGCAATGATTGTGTGCCTTCGGCTTCGTCACATGCACAACTGATAAGACAGTAACGATGTCCATGATGACATACCGGTACCTGTACTCTGTCTCGTCCGCTCCGTTTCAAACCTACACCGCATTCACAACCCGGTCATTCTAGTCTACGCATCATGCAGCGAGTCTGGTTCACGGTGACATGCGTGCATGGTAACAAGTGGCGTGGGGTTATCTGGTTATCATGGTTATGGATATGCAGTAGCTCAGACTACAAGTTGACAAGTACACTCTTGATGCCAATGTCTATGGTGAACATGGTGAATGCAGTTCTACTTCTTGCCACCACGAAAGACATCACCCAGGAGACTGTCACCAGCTAGCAGTCATAGCAACCACACACGTACACAATAATAATAATTATTTTAAAATATTATTTGAAACTCGGATGTTGAGCCATAAATAAAATGTAGAAAAGAAAAGGACAGTCAGAAAGTGCAATAACTACAGTGCATTTCAAAACTATAGACGCGTAGGGTTTTTGAAATATTTCAAATTTGGCTGCAACTTTTTGAGAATAGTTTTCGGAATATTGCTCAGGATCGCTCCACAATTACTCTCATAATAGTTTCTAAAGGATTGGATAACAGACGCCCAATTTGGAAAAATTTATGCACAAAGTGATCACAGATTTGATGCTGGCATAACGGTTTTTGCCTAGGTACGCGTCTATAGTTTTGAAATGGACTGTAGGCATGGCACAAAACTGACAGAGTACGAGTCGTACTGAGACATTCGACGTCCTGACACCTAGCTTCAACACATCTCCGTAGCGCTAACCGACAGCCTTCCAACTAACTGTTACTTACTTGGAAGGTTCAAGGTTATGAAAAAGAAGTGTGAAACAACTTACTTGTTTTGTAGTCAACTAGTCCATCACCAATGTCATGCATGAGGAGTACTGTAGGAGTTTGGCTTTCGGCTTGTACACTTGAATTCGTTTTCGCAAAGCTTCCCCTTTCTTTACTTATCTTTGATATTTATGAACCACCTAAGTTGAGTGGTGTGATGCTTTGCTGCTTCGAATTGTAGTTAGACCGCTTTGTCAAATATCGCACTGGTCTCGTCATCGTCCAATAACAATCGACATTCTTTGTTCCGTTGGGACTGTAGCTTTTGCTTGTTTTCGTTGCGCTTGCCTTCCCCTCTTTGGCCTTTTCATAACCTTGAACTTTTCGGAACAAAGAACGTGTACGTCGTGTGAAACAACTTGTTTTGTAGTCAACTAGTCCATCACAATGTCATGCATGAGGAGTACTGTAGGAGTTTGGCTTTCGGCTTGTACAATTCGTCTTCGCAAAGCTTCCCCTTTTTTTTACTTATCTTTGATATTTATGACCCACCCAAGTTGAGTGGTGTGCTGCTTTGCTGCTTCGAATTGTAGTTAGACCGCTTTGTCAAATATCGTACTGGTCTCGTCATCGTCCAGTAACAATCGACATTCTTTGTTCCGTTGGGACTGTAGCTTTTGCTCGTTTTCGTTGCGCTTGCCTTCCCCTCTTTGGTCTTTTCATTGAACCTTCCAAGTTGGAAGGCCCCAGGCTGTCGATAAGCGCTACGGAGATGTGTTGAAGCTAGGTGTCAGGACGTCGAATGTCTCAGTACTCTGTCAGTTTTGTGCCTAGTTATTAGGGAGGTTCTGCTATACGTGAAACGTAGAGAAATCACGTAGAGAGCAGGTGTCTGGGTTAGAGTCTACGGCTTCGCGTGTTTTGGCTCCAGATTTCTACGCGGAGATCGGGTTCTCTACGTTGTGGCACACGCAGAGAAAATGCGTACGGATTTGCTGGGTATCGATCAACTGCATGCAGAAAACTGCCAAATATGGAAGGGGAAATTCCCAGTACACATTCCACGTGACTTCTCTAGGTGAAACGTAGAGCAGAACAGCATTTCTTTACGTTACGGGAACGCGAAGAAAGCTCGCGTGATTCTTTGCGTCGCGTTCCCAAAACGTAGAGCAGAACCTCCCTAGTAATAATAATAGAGAGGTTAAGTTAAACGTTTTTTGCCCTTTTTCAAAACGCGGTGGAAATCTCACGTTACGTGTAATTTTTAGAGGTTAAGTTACACGTGCGACGTGACGTGAAATTTTGCCTGGCAGGATTCGGGTTTATTTCGCACAAATATTAAATCTTCCAACAAACTCGATAAAACTCGATATAATTCCGGAAACTCACACAAATTCGGCCGGAATAACCAAGCGAAACTTCCAAAAACTCACGTCATGAACTTACGTGCGGGACAGTCAACTCACGTAAAACACGTCAAATTTTACGTGAGTTTTTTCACTTTTTGACGTAAAAGTTCACGGACGTAAGACTTTTACGTGAAACTTAACCTCTCTATTAAAACCGGAAAACAACGCGAGTGCAGTGACCTGCATGCATGCTATAGCTCTACACGTCGAAATTTGTAGTTTTACGTGAAATGTCGCATCACGTCGGAAATAACTAGGGCTGAAACGAATGCTCAATGCACGAAGCAAACAAATATTCTTTTTCCGAATACATGCGAAACGAAGAATATTTAAGGTGGCTCCTACCCCTCGGGTCCAATTTTTTTTCTTTGAAACGTGGCTACAAACGATTGTACTTTGTTCCGTTGGATATCTAGTGTACGGAGACAAATTTTTATCAAGTTCTACCGGCCGGTTTCACTCGGGGGAGGAGCCAAACATAGCATACTCACAATTGCCAATTTAGGCCAAAAAAATACCGGAAAACCACTTTTTTGGCCGTAGCACTGGTAGTTACCCCCTTTTTCTTGATGTCCAACATCAGGACAGTAGTGTACTTGCTAAATATCAGCATAAGCTGTAGAAGTGGGTAGAATTCTGCTAGAAGGTAACCTTTTTTCTCTTTTCGGACTCATCCCATTTCAGCCCACACGTCCCACATATTAGCCCCGCCCACAAGTATTTGACACTGGACTTGCCCTGTATTCGATGGTTATGCTATCATAACCTAATAATGGTACTGTGTAGCAAATTTGAGCAGGTTCTACCGAAGGTAACTCGTGAAATAAAACTTTGAAGTTTCAAGTGATGCCATATTTCAAGAATCAGCACATTGCACTGGGACATTGTCCAACGCCTTAGAACCCCTGACTCCACCATATGACAGATACGTGTCTTACAATAATTGATTGCAACATCTTCCGAACATACTTCGAAGAAGTAGAGCTTTGGATCAATAGCAGTTTCCACCGAACATAACTACTTCAAGTACCAAAATAGAACTTTGAAGTCGCCCACATACTAAATGCCATAGCTGAGCATGTGCATTGAGTGTATGGTCTAAAGGTTTTCACTACTAGCTCCAATGCGGAAGATACGTGTCTTACATTACTTGATTGCAACATCTTCAGAACATAGTAGTAGAGCTTTGGATCAAGTTTAGACAGTTTCTACCGAAGCAAACTACCAAAATAGAACTTTGAAGTCACCCACATACTAAATGCCATACATGTAGCTGAGCATGTGTATTGAGTGTACATGTATGCTCTAGTGTTTTTCACAACTTTCTCCAACATGAAGCCGATAGTGATGTGGAATTTGTTGACTGCTTTGTCCAAAACATAGTGCTGAAGCAATGCACATTGGGCACTTTCTACCGGTAATGAAATTATTATATTACCGGTATACAGTGTTTGCTGCCAACATAGCAAGAAATACTTCTAAATGCGTATTCCACGGGGTACGGTCCAATGGCTTTTCACTTTACATCTAGCCACTGTTCTTCGTGCATTACTTGAATGCTTAGTCTCTACTATTACATCAAGTAGCTGTGTGCAATGCCACTCTGTTGAACACAGTAAGCAAAATTGAGTCACTAAAACCCTATTTGCCAGATACATGCTGTTGAGACTGATAGCAGCTGTATGATCTTATATGGATGGCGGTTCCACACTGACCGGCACATGTACGCACGCACAGGCAGAAGAACACACAAGTAATACACCTAACGTTACTTCGAAGTACACTGTGTACATCATGTAAATACAAGCGTATATAAAAGCATCACTCCTGTTCTCCACAACCGGCAGTCCTGGGCCACTCCAGCTGGTCAGAGTGCAATAATTTCTGCAGCAGGCTTGACTTGGAAAGCTAATCAATCACAACTGCCATGGCTGCAACATGAGTATTACCAGCGCTTTTACAGTGCTACTTGTATTATATTATTGTCAATCCATTGTGGTGCATGGCACTCGTTTTCAACAACCGAGTTTGTGTCATTAGTTGCATATCCAACGCCAGCAGAAAAAAGGGGGTGGGGGCAAATTACCACGGTTCAACACTAGTCATATTGAACGGCGTTATGCCATGCCAGGCGCGCACACAAAACGCCCGCGCGAGCGCGCATGCATGTACACACCCGGGTTACACACATTCATGCGACTTTACATAGCCTGCACTGTCGTTCTATGTCATAGGAGTGAGTGCACACACATAATATAGATGTACATGTAGATTGCCTAATTTTGCATACGTAATAAAATTTATACACACATGTGCGTGCACATATAGATAAACTCAACGGCATACGCATGAGAGTGTGCCGGTAGGGCCACATGCCAATTATCGGATTAGTCTGTGAAAGTTGCACGGCACGACAAACCTTCGGACAGTCTAAAGATATGACACAATGAATGTGGAATACCATCCAGTGTGTACGACCATTTCAGAGTTTGTGATTTTCGGAGCGTCCCTGTTGATATTTGATGTCCTCACTTCGGGTTGATGACACAGTCACAAATTATCAAATTCACCTCCAATGCCATCCAATCTGCGTTCCGCGATACATGTACAGTGAACGGTGTTGAGGAAAGCCATGCAGCAATAAAACAGTCGAGACTCCCAAGCAGATACAATTCAACAGCGTATTGAAGTACGCCGAATTGTTCTAAACAATTTTCAAGACACAATTACAAAATTTGAAGTGCGTCTTGAAACGTGTTTGAAGTGCTTCGATGTATTTACCTTCGATCTCCCTGAATCGATCCATCCACAGCTACCTGGCGAATTTGCCAGTCAGTGCGGGAGATGATCGAGCAAGTTATAATATTATTTTAAGGCCGCGAGATGTCAGTGGCACTGGCAGGAAATCTACACAAGCGTGTTCTGAAATAATTTTCTAATACTCAGGCATGATTCAAGAGCGGACTCTGATTTCTCCCTTCTTATGGTACGAACACCAGTCGACATTGCATTCTTGGAAAATCTTCTGCGAGTGCTGCCTTCCCCTTTCATAGAAAGAACGAGTGAAGAGGGACACTAGCAGCAGGTTCTAGCTAGGTCGCCAGAATTGCAGAAAAGCGAGAAGACGTTTCCTACAACGATTGATCGCACAAAAATCATCGCTACCGAAAAATTTACTGAAAATCTACACTTTTCAAACGATGCTCGCGCAGAGGGTGTGAGCCACCTTAATTCCGAATATTCTAAACCATGCGATTTCCATGGATACCTAGTTTTATCCATGGTAACCATAGACTCTTTTAAAACGGTACAATCATAAAGAGATGGCCTTGGCATACCGGCGCTTGATCTGGCTTCACAGCAGGTACTGACTGAACTGCTATCTCTACAGGCTACTAGTAGATCTACATTAGTCATTAGGCCCAAACATTCACAAGCTGAACGAAAGTGAAACTTTGTGGGCGGGGCACATGCCCCGGCCTAGGCCCTGTGCTCCTCACGGGCCGGCTACGCACACGTACATGGACACACGCTGTCGCACACACCTCAGACCTCAGACCTGCCCATCGCGGAAGCGATGATAGCGAACAGCTATGTAGACATAGCAACTTTACTTGTGCTGGGATTACACCATTCAACAGCTTGCAAGGCTGATGAATTGACCGCCACTAATTTTAGCCTGGTATCCACCACACAGCTGATTGAAGTGGCTTTTTCTGGCCAGTGAATCCCTATTTTTCATTTTTCCATTTTTCCATTTTTTTACACATACACACCACACTCCGGCATACACTGGCTGTTGGTAACCAGTACTAACCACCGAGGAGAATGAAAGAAGAGCTAGGAGAATGAGAAAGAGGAGAAAGACGCGTGCGACCATAATCGTCGGGAATTGAACCCGCAACCTCTCGATTGGAAATCGACTGCGCATACCACTGCACCATATGGGAACACACACACGCACACACACACACCTGGCCTGGTGTACAGCTGCCAAATGCTTGGCCACGCCGCCCCCGAGACAGGGGAGAGTAGAAGAGAGAGAGTTTGACAAACTTTGAGAGAAGTCAGCACTGCCACTAGGAAGCCGCTCCGCCACGACGTCGTCCACGATTGCACACACACACACCATGTATGCGCCCGTCGCAAGAGAAGCACGCAAATCTGCGAATGCACTGGATGTGCACCCAATGATTTCTCTTATAGCAACGATAGCGAACAAGATCCGAATGAGACAGATCAAGACTTGCGCCAGATAACTGTCTAATCCACACAACTGGCGAAGCCATGTGAATCGACCACCAATGCACACCTGGTCAACACCACACGGAGTACATCGGCATAAAACGGCCAAGACAGTTACCTATGCACACCCTACATCTGCTGGGGTAACCAATAGACAGCACGATGCTTTGATAGAAACAGACGCTAGATGCACTGGCACCTTGAAGTGAAATTGGAGTTACTTTACCAACCAGCCTCGGCTACTGAGTACTGGGAACCCAGAGCCAACAGACATACCAACAACCTCATATCAGCCATGAAAGCTATTATAGTAACGACACACTGGATTGTGGAGCCAAAACTAGTCCAACTTCCAAATGCTTTGGCAAGAAGGTAGCCTTCCGCCAGGTTGGCACACACACGCACGCGCGCGCGCACACACACACACACACACGACTACATATTTCAGGCAAGTGCATCTGCAGTGTAGTTACAGCTGCACAGGGTGGTGATACACAGTACAGCATTGCTGGTAATAATAGAAACAATTGGAAGAGCTAAGGGAGGTATGGCATTCTTCCTCTCATTGACGCTAAAAAATAGAATGTAGATCCAAAAAAGCAAAGGAAACTACGCTAGCACGTAACATTCAGTAAAAGACAAAAAAAAGACCGGGGACACACCCACCCACACACACACCCACCCACCCACACACACACCCACACACACGGTGCGTTCTACAAAAAGAGTCAAATAACGAGCAAATGCCCACTCAAAAGAGTAGAAAACTAACACCGATAAAACAGTTAACCTCTGTAACATTCAGTAAAAGACAAAAAAAAGACCGGGACACACCCACCCACCCACACACACACACACAGTGCGTTTTACAAAAAGAGTCAAATAACGAGCAAATGCCCACTCAAAAGAGTAGAAAACTAACACCGATAAAACAGTTAACCTCTGTGTCCACCAAATCCACCAATCGCATTCATGTTCATTGACATTCCACCAGGGGTCTGCTGCTGCTGTTGTCCAGCATTAGCGAGACCACCAAAGCCGCCGGATCCTCCACTGGCGGCAGCAGCAGCAGCAAAACCAGACCCACCACCACTGGCAGCCACGGCACCAAAACCACCCGGAGCAGGGGCTGATGACCCGCCGCCAAACGTCCAGCCGGGTTGAGGAGGTGAGGCCTGGAGTGTTTGAGCTCCCTGCCCACCAAACACTGCTCCGCCACCAAATGCACCTGTGCTACCAGCCCCACCAGCCAGTGACAGACCCTTACTAAAAGCTGGAGTGCTGCTACCAAATGACGCAGCCCCACCGAACGGGGCTGATGAACCCCCGAACACTGGCGAAGCACTCGCAGCAGCAGTCGGAAGAGCAAAAGCAGTGGCCGCCGCCGCACCAACACCACCACTAGCAGTCGCTGTGGGAGTCGAGAACAGGCCACCGGGAGGTTTAGCTTGCCCACCAATGCCTGCTTGGGAAGCAGAAGAACTGAAGAGCGAAGCGTTGAACAGTTTACCAGAGGATGGGAGAGTGCTGCCAGTCACACTACTGGAGAAAAGACCGCCAGCAGGGATTTGAGCTGATCCAAATGCTGGTGTGGAGGCAACAGTAGAAGCAGCAGTTGCAGCAGCGGGAGAAACAGGCGAAGCAGACATTAGAGAACTAACAGAAGCAGCAGAAGGCCCGGTGGCACCAGCATTCAGTGCTGTATTAGGCGGGCTTGTCTGGGATGACTGCTGTTGTTTCGTAGCTGGAGTAGCAAGTGATTTCACACCAGTAGCATTACCACCAGAAGTAGAGGTAGAAAATAAACCACCTTGAGCAGGTTTTGCTGATGCAGTTGTGGTTGCTGCCGCTGTTGCTGTTGTAGTTGTCAGGGCAGAGAACAAACCACCCTGAGAAGGTTTTGATGAAGCTGTTAGTGTTGTGGCTGCTGTCGTAGTTACTGTTGAAAGAGCAGCGAATAAACCGCTAGGGGGGTTGGTTGATAATGTTGCCGTAGCAGGAGCAGCGGACAAGCCACTCTGAGGTGTGTTTGCTGCTGCTGAAAAAGAAAACCCGCCACTCTGAGGTGTAGCTGAAGCTGCTGACGCTGTCGGGGCAGAGAACAGGCCACCGGGTTTAGAAGACAATGTTGGTGTAGTTGAGGTGGCTGCAGAAGACACCCCGCTGCCAGCTTGAGAAAACAAAGATGAACTGGAGAGTGACGCACCCGGCGCAGATAGCATGCTGCTGGATCCTGCAGCAGATGCATTTGCAAAGAGACCCCCAGCAGGACTAGCACTACCAGGACCAGCTGGTTTGCCGGCATTGAACAGTATACCAGAGGACGGGAGAGTGCTGCCAGTCGTCGCATTACTGGAGAAAAGACCGCTGGCAGGGGTTTGAGCTGATCCAAGTGCCGGTACGGAGGCAACAGTAGAAGCAGCAGTTGCAGCAGAGGGAGAAACAGGCGAAGCAGAAGTTGGAGAACTAACAGAAGCAGCAGAAGGCTCAGTGGCACCAGCATTCAATGCTGTACTAAGTGGGCTTGTCTGGCGTGACTGCTGTTCTTTTGCAGCTGGAGTAGCAAGTGATTTCACACCAGTAGCATCACCACCAGGAGTACTGGAAACAGTAGTTGAGGAAGAGAATAAGCCAGCTTGAGCAGGTTTTGCTGATGCAGTTGTGGTTGCTGCCACTGTTGCTGTTGTAGTTGCCAGGGCAGAGAATAAGCCACCTTGAGCAGGTTTAGCTGATGCAGTTGTGGTTGCTGTTGTAGTTGTCAGGGCAGAGAATAAGCCACCTTGAGCAGGTTTTGCTGATGCAGTTGTGCTTGCTGCAGCTGTTGTAGCTGTCAGGGCAGAGAATAAGCCACCTTGAGCAGGTTTCGCTGATGCAGTTGTGGTTGCTGCCGCTGTTGCTGAAGCTGCTGCTGTTGCTGTCGGGGCAGAGAACAGGCCACCGGGTTTAGAAGACAATGTTGGTGTAGCTGAGGTGGCTGCAGAAGACACCCCGCTGCCAGCTTGAGAAGATAAAGATGAACTGGAGAGTGATGCACCCAGCGCAGATAGCATGCTGCTGGATCCCACGAGACCCCCAGCAGGACTAGCACTACCAGAACTAGGAGGTTTGCCAGAAGATGGAGCCGGCACTCCAACATTATTTCGACTGGAGAAAAGACCGCTGGCAGGGATTTGAGCTGATCCAAGTGCTGGTGCGGAGGCAACAATGGAGGCAACAGTGGAAGCAGCAGTTGCAGCAGCGGGAGAAACAGGCGAAGCAGACATTAGAGAACTAACAGAAGCAGCAGAAGGCCCAGTAGCACCGGCATTCAATACTGCATTAGGCGGGCTTGTCTGGCGTGACTGCTGTTGTTTTGTAGCTGGAGTAGCAAGTGATTTCACACCAGTAGCATCACCACCAGGAGTACTGGAAACAGTAGTTGAGGTAGAGAATAAGCCACCTTGAGCAGGTTTTGCTGATGCAGTTGTGGTTGCTGCCGCTGTTGCTGTTCTAGTTGTCAGGGCAGAGAACAAACCACTTTGAGAAGGCACTGTGGATGTTGTTACTGTTGTATTCGCTGTAACACCAGAGAACAAACCAGTGGGAGCAGGTTTTGTTGATGCTGTTGTTGTGTTCGTTGTAACAGTAGAGAACAAACCAGTGGGAGCAGGTTTCGTTGATGCTGTTGTTGTGTTTGTTGTAACAGTAGAGAACAAACCAGTTGGAGCAGGTTTTGTTGATGGTGTTGTTGAGTTCGGTGCAACAGCAGAGAACAGTGCCTTCGAACGCAGGCCAGCCACACCAGGACCAGCACTACCAGAACTAGCAGGTTTGCCAGAAGATGTAGCCAGCACTCCGACATTACTTCGACCCGCAGCAGCGAGGTCCGTACGTGGCTTGGGAGTATAGACCTTTTCTTGATGAAAAGACGGTGCTTGGTTGGCAGCTCGTTGAGACAGTAGGGCATACACTTGCTTTACACGCGATTCATTCAAAGCGAATGACGACCGAGAAGTTCCACTGCTCTGATTGCTGCGACTAGCCCCAGTCAAGTGGGCAGCATGGCCATGCTGCGTGCCAATGCTCTGCAATGTCTTTGGCGCCGGAGTTGATGTGTACATGGGCACGGTGGACAGCTTCATGCCTGTTGTCTTGGATCTGATGCTATCTAGGTCCTGTGAAAGCTTCACAATGGTGTGGCGGTGTACCTTTAGGGCCTTGTAGACATCGCCTAATGCTGGCTGCCGCATCTTAGGAGCTTCGTGCTGACGCTGCCATCCTGAGTCAAGAATATTGTTCAACTCAATGATGGAACGCTTTATCTCCCGAGACGTCTTCAGTCGTTCAGCATTCTTTTCCTCTAACGATGAGTCAAGCGGCCGGTTGCGTAGCAACTTGACCTGCTGTGGATCGCGGAAGCGGCAATGGAGGACTTCAGCCTCCTGTAGACGTGCATGTGACTCCAGTATGCCCTCTCGCAAGCTTGACACTTGTTGGGACAGTTGACTCCTGTCCGTATCAACGGTTGATACAGTGTCAGTTAACTCATTGATGCGAGCCCGTAGGATTTCTAGGTCTTTCTGATTGCCGATCAACACCGTTGGCTTGGAGATGGTGGAGGCAATCTGCTTCTCTAAAAGAGCTAGCATGTCAGTAACACTGCTTTTCAACGGTGACCGAGGCTCTGCTTCCCTGGGTGGTGCTGTTGGACGCTGAACAGATGCCGCTGCAGTACTTGCTGCTGCCGACGATGTCGTTGCAGCAGCAGCAGCAGCAGCAGCAGAGAGTGGAGTGCGGGCTGTTTGAGCAGAGGACAGTGCCGATAAACCTGTTCCACTGCTTACCGCTGGCTGCAAAGCTGGAGATACGGCTGATGGTGCTTCCCCGAATTTCATTTTTATTGCCGGTGATTGTGATGGTGGTGGCTGACTGACGGGCTTGGCTGCATTGGAGAACATACCACCAGCCAAAGTACTAGAGGGAGTTTGTCCCAGCAAAGAAAACGATGGAGCTGGTGCATTGGCAGGTGCTGCTGCTGTCCATGCTGGTGGCTGGTCTAGAGGCTTGGCCTGTTGCAAGTTGTCAGATGACTGAGGCTCTGCTTCCCCGGGTGGTGCTGTCGGACGCTGAACAGATGCCGCTGGCTGCAATGCTGAAGATCCGGCTGATGGTGCTCCTCCGGATTTCATTTTTATTGCCGGTGATTGTGATGGTGGTGGCTGACTGACGGGCTTGGCTGCACTGGAGAGCATACCACCAGCCAAAGTACTAGAGGGAGTTTGACCCAACAAAGAAAATGATGGAGGTGGTGCATTGGCAGGCGCTGCTGCTGCTGCTGCTGCTGCTGTCCATGGTGGTGGCTGGTCCAGAGGCCTGGCCTGTGACTGAGCCTCTGCTTCCCCGGGTGGTGCTGTTGGACGCTGAACAGATGCCGCTGGCTGCAAAGCTGAAGATCCGGCTGATGGGGCTCCTCCGAATTTCATTTTTATTGCCGGTGATTGTGATGGTGGTGGCTGACTGACGGGCTTGGCTGCACTGGAGAACATACCACCAGCCAAAGTACTAGAGGGAGTTTGTCCCAAAATAGAAAATGGTGGAGCTGGTGCATTGGCAGGCGCTGCTGCTGCTGCTGTCCATGGTGGTGGCTGGTCCAGAGGCTTGGCCTGTTGCAAGGTGTCAGGTGACCGAACCTCTGTTTCCGCGGGTGGTGCTGTTGGACGCTGAACAGATGCCGCTGGCTGCAAAGCTGAAGATCCGGCTGATGGGACTCCTCCGAATTTCATTTTTATTGCCGGTGATTGTGATGGTGGTGGCTGACTGACGGGCTTGGCTGCACTGGAGAACATACCACCAGCCAAAGTACTAGAGGGAGTTTGTCCCAAAATAGAAAATGGTGGAGCTGGTACATTGGCCGGCACCGCTGCTGCTGCTGTCCATGCTGGTGGCTGACCCAGAGGCTTGGATACTCCAGTCGAGGACAGGATCGTTGCAGGAGACTGATTCTGGGCTGAGCTGGGTGCTGCTGTCGGTGTGGTTGGGGCAGCCTGGGCCTGTTGCAAGTTGGCAGGCATTGGTGGTCGCTTCTGACTACTCTGGTTGATGCTAGGCATGCCTGGACGTTTGTTGATCAGCGAATACGGACACAGCTTGCCAAGAGAGGAGTACATCATCACAATCGGCGCAGGAGGTAGGGATTTCTCGTCCATTTGCAACCCTTCTGTCGATGTCCTGTCCACCACCAGACCTGTTGGGTACTGCTCATCGTCACCAGCAAGTGGCAGTTCAGCACGACCGGTATCTTCAAATGTCCAGTGCTGCCACTTGCCATTAGCACTCTTGCCAATAGCAACCACCTCCAGAGAGCGCGACGACACTGACAAGATCATATCCCACTCGCTGATGGCAACAAACGTGTAGTGCGTATGTGCGCTTCCCATTCCAAAGTAGATGTCGTCAAAATTAATCCAGGACATATCACCACCTTTCTTGCCCAGCAGGCCGTAAACCCGCGGCCGTATCTCATTATTCTCCACCTGGTCGAATACGGCAAAGAACTCGTATGTTGAGTACCACAATATGTCACGCACTGGCGACGACACATCGCTCGAGGGCCGGCCGTGCTGTTTCTTCAGCTGACATGTCATATCATACTGCTCCACCGTGCTGTTCCGCTTGCCCACAACAAACTGCTTGCCCTTGGGGCTCCAGCAAAGGCAACTTATTCCGGAATCCGGTGGCACACTGCGAATCTGCTGCAGTGACCTCCTTCCGCCATCGCGTACATAAATCTCATACAGACCGATCCCTCCGTCGCCGAAAACAGCCGCAAACTTGGTGGCTTCTGCTGGGTGCCATTTTAGATCAACAAGCTCACTCGGCACTTCCACCTGACAAAATAATATATTGGGCTTGGTCTTGCTGATTGCACGGACGTCATAGAAGTACATGCTCAGCGTGTCACCATTAAAGCAACAGGCAGATAACGTCAACTCATCACATGAAAACCCGAGGTGGCACAGTCCAGCTGACGGCAACGCAACAGGAACACCGTCATATCCTTTTGTAGGTGCAAGCAACTTGCCCGTCATAAAGACACGAAACTCCTTCTCACCGCCCACCACCGTCAAGCCATACAGGTTGGAAATTGCCAGTAAGCTGACGCGTTTCGCTTCAATTGGGTCGCCATTCTGGAACTCGTGGACATCTAAGGGTGGTTTCTGTTTGAACAGAATGTCTTTTACTTCTTGCTCTAGGTCCATTTCACTGGCCAGAAGTGAGACGTTCCTTGCTCTACACAAGCAAGAAGAAGCTTGTCACGCATTTGCAAATGAATTATTTTGAATTATCGTTTGCCGACCGTTTTTACGCAGTGCAATCCAGGGAGTCGTAAAATACCGGGAGGCGACACGCCACACATTTCACGATCCGAGGATTGCCGCACTCGACCCGCGAAATTTGAAGCGTGATTGAAACGTCGTCGTCATCTTCTTTTTCTCAATTGTTTTTGCTATATGCTTCGAGGCTATTCTGGATCTCCAGAGCGAAAGCTGGTTGTTTCTGATACGTACCACGCATTACCTTAGGTTGAGCCATGGCTTTTAATTTTTTTTTGGAAGTTCACTGCTATGGAGACGACGGAATGTCAAGGTAAGTTATTCACGAAATGTACTCAAATTTGAATTGAGTCAATGCGAATGACACCCTGTTTTCGGAATAGTTCTCCACTAAACACACCATGCCCATGGCCCCTTCATGTTGTCCAAGTTCCATTCTAGGTTTGTGTGAAGTTTCGAGATGAAGTTCGACGATGTACTCACCTTTCCATGGAAGGGAAAAAAAAGTAGCATATCAAACAGAATCCATGCAGTATTTGATGCCACTATCCTCATTCTTCTGCATTCAAAGTGTTTCACATCTATATGGCCCATGAACTGCAAACAATATTTGTCATTTCTTAACTGTTCATAGCTGTTCATAACTGTTCTGAACACATTGCCTTCGGGAAACGTAAGGCCGAGTCGCCTCACCGACTGAGCAAAGTTCTCTGCGACGAAAGTCACACTATCGGCGAATGCACTCAAGGTGAATACCCGTCAATATCCTGTATACTGCTTGTACCGCTTATCACAGTAGCATACACACAAGCACACATACACACACACACACACACACACACACACACACACACACACACACACACACATGCATGCTCGTGCACACACAAGCGCAAAATTCACATATCACTGGTTCAGTTGTTTTTATCTGTGTCGTATTTTGTCTTATACAGAGCTTCCGAGCCACGCCGAGTCACCTGACCAACTGAAGAAGGTTCTGTGCGACGAAAGTCACACTATCGGCGAATGCACTCAAGGTGAATACCCTGTGGACTGCTTATACCACTTATCACAGAAGCACACACACACACACACACACACACACACACACACACACACACACACACACACACAAGCGCAAAATTCACATATCACTGGTTCAGTTGATTTTATCTGTGACGTATGGTGTCTTATACAGAGCTTCCGAGCCACGCCGGGCCACCTGAATTCTCCAAACAAGGCTGAAGGCTTGTCACGGCATCCTTGCCAAATAAAGGTATAAGCTGCAGCAAGTTGTCGTTGCGACACCTTGCTCCTTCCAGCTCACGCCGCACGGCCACCAAGCACCAACCACCATGGTACTTTTCAGCAAGGTGAGACAAATTGTCAATCACCGGTTCGGGGATGGCTTCAGCAGCTTTGGATGGTGCTATTGACGCTTTCCTGATAGCAGCGGCAGCCGTGGCATGCAGGTAGCTTATCAGATTCGCTAGCACTGCAGATGTAACTTCCAAATCTGAAGAAGAGAAAAGAAAAAGACAACATATAAGGACTGGTGGTTGCAGAGACTGTACTAGTATTCAAAAGCCAGCGTTTGCATACCTATGCATACCTAGTCAGAAGCCAATTTTTTTCCAACATGCATGCAAAACGCACTGACCTTCACAATTGATTTTCACTTCGGGAATAGCTGTTGCGATGACGGACAGCATTTGTTGCCATGCTTGCGAAATATCAGCACCCTTGCATGCCTTCAGCTGGCACACTTCCTGGCGTAGCAGATTTGCAGTACCTGATGCCTTGTGTAACCGTGTCATAATAACATGCAGGAATGACTCCGTCGCCTCAGTAACACTCGCCTGTCTCATTGTCAGCAGTTTGCAAATTCCATGGATCACTGCACCTTCCATAGGCCTGTACACCATGATGGCACTACCACTCTTACATCGATCTGCACATAGACAAAGTATGGTTTGAGGATGGAGGTTTACATCATCTACGGTGATGATACATACTAGGTACACACGTAAATTTTCAGGACTTCAATAAATATCCTGTCACAGTGAACAGACAATGCATCGTGGGCAGACTAGGATGAAAAGGATGGTGTCGACCACCTAATTTATCGGGTCAGTTCGGGCACTTAGGTATGCTACAGATTATACATTCGTGTCCACAAGGAAGAGACAAAAACATGCAAACGAAAGAATCTCACCTGTAGCCCACAGCTGAACATCCCCACAACTCAGGTCACCAAGTGAATACGTGGTATTTTACGACTCCCTGGTGCAATCTTTCTGCTGTTGTCATGGGATTTTCAACTTTATTTTATTTTTTATACCATTCATTTTAGAAAACCTGAAAACAACGCGAGTACGATCGAGTGCATGCAACTGGCACTGCCAGTGACCTGCATGCACAGCTCACGTCGAAATTATTTGGAGTTTTACGTGAAAATGCGCATCACGTCGGAGATAATAGAGAGGTTTTGCATTCCGAATTTCGGTACAGCGTTCTTCGGTCATTTGTCGAACATCAAAATGTCGAATTTTCGCACCAACGTTTGTTTTGCAAGTCGAAAATGATGTGTTTTCATTTCGTGAGCCCCAGCATCAGCAACGTCCCGTCCCGTGCTCCTTTTCTTGCTGATTCCAACGAACTTTGATCGCCCAAAGAGTCGAGGGCCAAACCTGCCCCCTCAGTCGCCTCAGAAAAACCAACTCCATGCCCAAGTCAAATGTTATGCGTGTCGCCATAGTCTTTTCAGCCACACAGATGACGGTGAGGACACTCCAGGCGAAAGAGAGTAGGCAGGCAGTGGAGAGGAGCAATCAAAGGTAGCTGACGATGCTATGTCGCCAAAGACGCCTGCCAAGCGATGCCGAGATAAAAAACCTCTTTGAATAAATGCAAGCGCTAGCGCTCTTCTACAAGAAAATGCATCCGAAAAATATTTTCGGCAAAGTGAGCTTTTTCCGAACAAACACGCCGAATCTTCGTGTGCATTTTCGACCTCGCTCCCGCGTGCCGAATCTTTTTGCCGAATTTCGGAATGCAAAACCTCGCTAATAATAAATAATATTCGCGGGATCCGCGTTAGCATCACTTGAATGTTCAGAAACACACAAGCTATTATAGCCTTCGCTTCCGCAGGCCACCACTATGCCTTTACACCTTACTGTCCTTAGTGGCGAATGCAGACCTCACAAGTGAGTCAGGGGAGAGGAGGTGAGTCTCTCAACCAATCGGGCGTGTAACGGCCCATAACCCTGTAAACTGCATCCTTGTTATCCTCACTCGAGCTGTGAGTACCCAGTTGACCGTGGGTGTCGGCGCAGTTCAACACGCGTAAAAAGTCTTTTTACACGCTCCCTGCTGCCAGCGCGGGTCTCGAACTCGGGACCTCATGATTCGCAGGCAGGCCTGCAAACCAATCGGCCATATGCGTTGGTCGTGCATCTTAAGGTGGCGATCTACCTTCACTGCCTCAGGGGTCAAAATTTTGTGAAATTTTCAAGTTACTTGCTCTGATTTCGTCCAATGACAATTTAATTGCTCGTATAGATCCCAGACATCATCTCTGAAAATTGGAGTGAGATTGCTTTTATCAAGAGTACATAACTACAGTAGTTATGTACTCTTGCTTTTATCCATACGGCTGCTATGAGCTTGCAAAGATCGAATGTAACAATCATATCGCAACTTTTTGGGGAAAAAGTAGAAATCGGTCTTTTCACGGTAAATCCTTGTGGATTTTGTTCAAATTTTCTGTGCTTGTCAGAAACACCACTGCACTGCTGGCTCATGCGGCTGGCCGATTCACAATACCGGTACAACTTTCTGTGACGCGACATGCGACTTGCGACACATGCTACGAGCTGCGACAGCGACACACGGTTCACAATATTCTTCATGTTTGCGACATCATCATGCACAAGTAGTACTATGCACGTGCACTGCACGTGCACCCAGGGTCGAAACTGTACTCCATTTGTGTATGTCGCGTGTCGCAAAAGTTGAACTTTCTTCAACTTCTGCGACAGCTTGCGACAGCTCGCGCTCGCGACAGGCAGTTTCTTGTCGCAATTGTCGCAAATCGCGTGTCGCGTCGCAGAAAGTTGTATTGTGAATCGGGCTTTAAGCGGGATTCACAGAAGCTTTTTTGCGATGCGACAGACGCGAAACCGGGAAAACCCCAAATCGCAGCCATGTCGCACCCCACGCAACTGCTGCAACTGGGCCATCGCAGAAGTTGAGCTTGGCTCAACTTTTGCGATGCGATGCGACAAGCGATTTGGCGTACGATTTTGACCTTTTCTACAGCAAAGTTGTACAAAGGTTCAAGAGTTGCCTATAAATTTGTACAAGTTGCATCAAACCGCGCGAATATCATGGTGACGTAGCCAAATCAGCAAGATGTTGTCGCATCACTGACTTCTTCTGTGAATGGTATTTCGCGAGTTCGCATCGCACGCGTCGGTCGCAGATCGCGTCGCATCGCAAAAAAGCTTTTGATAGGGCAATCCCCACAGGCCTTCTTTACAGGGTACCCTAGAAATGAAAGTACTAAATTATGGAATAGATGCAGGGAAGAGCATAAGCGGAATCGGATCTTCTGATGTCATGCGTACACTCCACACCAGTGCAAGGCCGGTCTCGAGGCAGGGCACCAGTGTTTTTGATCCGAGAGTACCCGCGACTCCCCGGGTTCCCCTCAGATATGTGTAACGATATTATGACGCAAAGATCCGATTACGTTCGACCAAGACCCTATGCAGAGCTGGATCAGGCGTTGCACACTCTGGGGGGGGGGGTTATGTACTCTTGGTACTACATGTACATGACTCCCTGGCCACAAGCAAGAGTACGACATACACGCCCAGCATGGGAAAAAGATATCACTGCAAAATAATGGATAAACACGAAAGACCAAAAATGTTACGAGATATGACTAAGCTGTCCATCAATGTACTGTAACCAGATCATTATACAGTCAGCTAGTGCGACAACATGGCACAAAACTGACAAGGAGTACTGAGATATTCAACACCAGTTGAACAGGTGGACAGTACAGTTTTAGTCATAACTCATAACATTTTTGTCCTTCCTTTTATCCATGATTACCGGTACATGTCATTGGCTCAACATCCAAGTTCAATTTCTACAGTAATAGTCGCTACTACAAAACAACTGTAGTACATTATTATGTTCTCAGTGGAGGATCCGTACAATAAGAGTACATATTAAACTCCATTACATGTACATCACAGTTCCTGTTGATGTGCTTCTTTCCTACCCTCTTCACTCTAGACGGCATGTACTCGACGGCACATACTCGGGTTAGGTGTTCGGGGTACACACATGTACAGTCAGTCATATACTACATGTATGAAGTGCATATGCAGGAATTCTTAGCACCCCCGATGATGGCGACCGACATGGAGAGGTGGGACGTCAACAAAAATATCCACCGTGGGCTGGGGTATGTGCAGATTGTGCAGAAGAGATGCGGAGTTACACATTCTTGTTTATCTACTCTTGATACAGTACTGTCGGGCGCCGAAGAACGGCCAGGCTAGAATTTCACCAATTAAAAAACAAAACAAAAACGTGTAGGCTGGATTTTTTGCAGATAAGAACGGAAACCGTAATGATGTACACTATAAGTATAATCAAGAGTACATAAACCAGAGTGTGCAACTCGGGATGGTTCCTGTGGGAGCGTAATTCGTGCACTACGTCATTTCTGACGGCATGGTAAGCCACAGGTACGGTGAAAAGTTGCGTCACCAGTCGCGGTGGTGCAGTTCAATGAGTTAGTCCTGATTTCGGTTTTTTGAGACGGATAGCCTGGTGACTTTACTTGTCGGTGGATGTACACAGTCACACAAAACACCGAAATCCTGAAACAGGACGTCTAAAATCAAGCAAGCTTGGCTGATTTCCGGGCTATGAAACACGAAAATTTGAGCTGTACGCAAGTCGCGGCTTGGCTGACCTCATCAGGGTGACGTAGTGCACGAACTGCGCTGTTTCAGATCAGATATGCACAGTTGCACACTCTGGTTTATGTACTCTTGGTATAATGTACACTCAGACGTATAACTCTGCATAAATGTACATGTAAGACTGTACCATCGAATAAGAACGAAAGCGACACTGTACTACTGAAGTACATGTACAGGGATTATGATATTCGACCACTCCCTGCTAGACTGTACGCGTCCTGGTGTCGCCCCCCCCCCCCCCCCCCGGGGGCTACTGGACACGAGGCTATGGCCTCCACCACTGTTTCCCCAGGCACCGTCCCGCAAGTAAATGCAATGCGACGAGTGTGGCTTTAAATCGTGAAATGTTTAGGGAGAGGTCCCAGAGGGGCACCTCAGATGGCTGACCGTGCTGGCACCCTGCAATCTCTTGCGCTGGGTTTTGCTTCCGGGCTACCTGTTACCTAATACAGTCACCACTGGCGCTTTTCTGCATGCAAGTGCACGTGCAGGTGCGTGCACACTTGTTCTCACATGTCCTACAATTTAGACTAGCAACATGCCAGCTTGCGCCTGTCGTTTCAGACTGAACAGGGATCAAGTCTGAGCAGGCACATAGAATATACAGTGAAAAGCAGGGATTTCCCCTTCATGTTCCAATGGCTTCAGTATGATTGTATTGTGTGTTTCATGACCAAAAAAGGAAAGAAAACTATGTGTGTCGATTTCAAAATGTTCATATGCGGTGGTGCCATGACAGGAACAACTCAATAACCTCAACTATCCTCATCTCTTGCCAATTTGCCAAAGACCTGCAGGCAGACACACATACACATAAACACACAACGACATACACCATGATCCACACACACACACACACACACACACACACACACACACACACACACACAACACACACACATACGCGCGTGTGCACATACACACGCGCGTGCACACATACACACGCGCGTGCACACACACAAACACACACGGGATATTAAAGCAAAAAGCAGACATACACTAGTAAATGAAGGTATTCTACGGAAAGCAACATGTAAACACACAATGTTACAGTCCAAAGTACGATTATCAAACCGATGATCGTGAGGTGTGTGTGTGTGTGTGTGTGTGTGTGTGTGTGTGTGTGTGTGTGTGTGTGTGTGTGTGTGTGTACAACCTGTCGGAAGGCTACCCTCTTGCCAAAGCATTTTGGAAGTTGGACTAGTTTCGGCTCCACAATCCAGTGTGTCGTTACTATATAGCTTTCATGGCTGAGGTTGTTGGTACGTCTGTTGGCCCTGGGTTCCCAGTACCCAGTTGCCGAGGCTGGTTGGTAAAATAACTCCAATTTTACTTCAAGGTACCAGTGCATCTAGTGTCTGCTTTTATCAAAGCAGCGTGCTGTCTATACTGGTTACCCCAGCAAGTGTAGGGTGTGCATAGGTAACTGTCTTGGCCGTCCTATTCCGATGTACTCCGTGTGGTGTAGACCAGGTGTGCATTGGGGGGTCGATTCACATGGCTTCGCCAGTTGTGTGGATTAGACAGTTATCTGGCGCTTGTCTTGATCTGTTTCAATCAGAATCAGATCCGCTATCGTTGCTATAAAGAGAAAATCTGTGGGTGCACATCCAGTGCATTTGCAGATTTGCGTGCTTCTCTTGCGACGGGCGTATACATGGTACATGGTACATGGTGTGTACATGCACATGTACGTTATGGAATGGCCTTGTAAATCTTACCTCACTGGGAACGGGTTGCTGTGCCAATTCCACAACTGCAGGGCACACACATACATACATGTACATACAGACATGATATACATCATCAAAGAGGAGAGGAGTAGAGAAGACTACAGGAAAAGCAGTGATCTAGCGACTGCTACCGGCAACATGCCAGAGCTGAATCGCCGAGCGAACCACGACATCATCTATCTAACACGTTACTGTATGAGCCATATATATAACGAAGTGCTAATTCTAACGACTTAAGGAGAAATCTATCGTTAAGATATAAATCGTTATACAGAAATCGATACATATACGGTGCTATTGAGCGTTGAGAATGAGTGGCAATCGTTACCTTTGGTACAAGTAAACCAGTCAATTTTAGGAAATTGTTATATATACGCCTCGTTAGAATAATGGCTTCTACAGTAGTATCAGCTATATGCAGGATATGCAACATCTATCCAGGAACGAATTCCCTCGTCATGGTATTGTGGATGCGGTTCAAGAGCGCAGTGTGCAGTGGTGGAGTGTTTCACATTTAGAATCAGCATGATATTCTCTGTTGAATAGGGGTCATCGAAAAATCCGTCCTTGTGCAAATTTGTCTCTGACCCACCCCAACCCCGATTTTTCTTATTATTTTCTATTTTCCCTATCAGCGGATTCCTAGTATTCAGCTCTGAACAGTGAACACACATACATACATGTTCTCAGTTTAGTGTGAGATAATGTCTAACGAGCCCAGGTTCACTGGCTGCACTGCACTGCACTACATGACTAGCACGCACGACTGCATCAGTGACTGTCAAGTATCGACGACGACGTATGGGTCCATAGCCGTGGACTACTCGTACATCATAAAACAGTTGTGCTCGGTGAAATCCGACCCAAAGTGCATATCTGGTGCCCTCAATTTGCACGGCCCTTGACGCCCTGGAAGTGGTACGAATGCTGCTTGATGTACACAATCATGTACAAGTACAGTGATGTAATCAAAACTGGTCCAGGGCGTCAGTTTTGCACTTTGGGTCGTATTTCAGTGAGCGCAACTGTACATCATAGTACTTGTACATGACTGCATGCAGCTCAGTGCGACGCTGACAACAACACACAAAAGTACCGCAGTAGTTGTAACAATCTACAGTGCGACAAGTGAAAGAAAAATCAAAAAATCAAATACCACCAGCGTTCTTGACCACCCACCCCCTTTTCACGAGGAAGGATTTTTAATTTTTCGAAAATTATGGACAACACCATTCCACCAAAAATGAGATTAGATTGTTGTCTCCCCGCCGCTTATTCAAAGATCTGCGCGGAACACAATTTTCTTAGAACCCACCTTTAGGTTTCTGTGCCTCGTTTTGTTCATCGTCATCGTCGTCGTCATCGTCACCCAGTAGGATCTCATCGGGATTCTCTTCTTTGGTGGCCTCCACGATCTCCTTCTCGGTACTGCGCACGAAGAGCAGCTTGCTCTTAGTTACAACCTCTTCCTTGGCTTGCTCAGCCACAGCCTTTGCTTGCGCTTCCAGCGCTTTCATGGAGTCTGCTGCAGCAGTCGTTGGCACTGTAGAAACACGAGAGAAGAAAGCGCAGGTCCAGACAACGCCATTGCAGCTGAAACTCACATCCTAGTGACAATCGTGCTTTTCTTTCCAAAGGACACTTACAACATGTGTGCAAAACAAGCATATGTATAGAGGTTATCCACATGATAGGACCGTATTTTTCGGACTATAAGCCGCACCCAAGTTTTTTTTGTCACGAAATACAGACATCTACCCTGTCTATCACCGTTAATTTGACCATCGGAGTAGAAGTTGCAAGATCTGTTTTCCCCGGGTGAATTACTGGTGTTTTCAGCGCGGTTTATACTCCGGAAAATACGGAACATGTACCTTATCTACACACTCGATGCATGTTTGCCGAACTTTCTACCTCTCTTTCAGGCCGTTTACCACCTCTTCTGCGCGCGTATTCTAAACAAACAAAAATCGGCTGATCATGTTTCAATCCCTCAAGACGGCCACTATCGTACCTTGTTCAGCTTGACCAGCAGCAGCCAGCATCTGTGCAGACATGTAGTTAACCTGCACAAGGGGAACAAGAACAAGAGCAATAAACAATAATTCGACCAACACCAATGGCACGGTTGGTCAACAACATTGTTCCCGACACAAACCCTCCGTAGGTCGCAACGACCAAAGGCCATCCTGATGTACGATGCCATTCACACTCAAAGCTATCCCAAGTGCAGTTTTGCTGTACAGAATGGGCACAGAACTGCCACAGAGTTATCGACAAGGTGCATACAGCATCAGAGAGCAGCTTTATGAGCGCAAATATTTATGCATTGAAAAAGGGTTCCAGAGCATTTTCATAAGCCAAGGACTACTTTACGTGAGGCGTTGGAGAACGGCTTACATAGCTTCGTGGTAGACGTGGCATACATGCACATTCACAACATGGACATGGTTACAAGGCATATGCACCGGTGCATGCGTGCGCGCCCAAGCGCGCGCACACACACACACACACACACGCACGGTGATAACTTACGGAGGTGTTATACTGGGCTTGCACGCTGCGCTTGATACGTAGCAGCTCGCGGTACGAATCCTCATTACCGTGTGCGACCTCAAACTCTTGCCAGTGCTTCCAGTAGTCAGCAGATAACTGTACACATGCACACACACACACACACACACACACACACACACACACACACACACACACACACACACACACACACACACCACACACCCACACACCCACACACCCACACACCCACACACACACACACACACACACACACACACACACACACACACACACACACACACACACACACACACACACACACACACACACACACACACACACACACACACACACACACACACACACACACACACACACACACACACACACACACACACACACACACACACACACACACACACACACACACACACACACACACACACACACACACACACACACACACACACACACACACACACACACACACACACACACACACACACACACACACACACACACACACACACACACACACACACACACACACACACACACACACACACACACACACACACACACACACACACACACACACACACACACACACACACACACACACACACACACACATTGTCTACACACCCTGGGGGTGAAATTGCCCAGGAGCAAGTTTCCACCAAACAAGCATGAAAAGCAGTGCATTGCCATCACACACAGATAGTGGGCACACATGCTGGTACTCACATATTCCACAACACACAGACACACAGACACACATACACATGCACACACATGCAAATACACCCCCCCCCCCCCCACACACACACACACATACACATGCACACGCATGCAAATACACACACACACACACACACACACACACACACACACACACACACACTCCACCCCCCCCCCCCCACACACACACACAAACACATGCACAAACACACACACACACACACATACACACCACACACATCACACACACCCACACCCACACCCACACCCACACCACACCCACACGCCACTGGCACTCACCCGTGGATCTGCCAGCTGAGAGCCGTGCATAAACACAGCGCGTGCACGATCAAACTCTCCCAGTTTGCATTCTAGCTGAGCAAAGCGTACACACATTTTCCTGTACAAAGAAACCAGCAGACGAGGAACAGAACAGAGAAAATGACCGTGAATTGCAGGGAAAACGTCCACAGATGATGGCAGTGAACAAATTAAATCCCTTTAGGTCACGGTAAAACACCTTTGGTTCTCAAGCACTCACACACCCATTTTCAATGCCTGTTAAATATTTACACAGCAGCAATTAGTCGCTTCGAACAGAAGTTTGGTGGAGATAGAGGGCAAATGGCAGTGCATGCAGTGGCACTTGCAAGGCTGCCAGGGAGCCGTTTTACAGTACGCACAATCCAAACACTGCTTTTGTCAAATTCGGTTCCCATCGCCCTTGAGGCACCTGGCTTTTTGGCGCCCACTTGTGTCTTGGTTACATTTGTCACCAACCGCCTCTGCAGCATAAATTGTGTTTTTTAAAGTTTCACCCTTCACTCTGATGATCTGTTTCGGAACAGTGAAGCTGGTCTGTCGAATACATTAGGCCCTCACCAGACTACGTACATAGAACATCCAGTACAAAAATCACATAAAACCTAAAAGGCAACATTTTTTCCACGCCTGCATTCAGACTACACATTTTACATGCAATATACAGGCAACCTTTGACCCTACGCAATTGCGCAAGGGGCCTGGGATGTGTGATAGCAGCCGGCAGTCGTACCCGGGTACAAAGTTTGTACGACTGCCTGGTGAAAGTACGATAAATGCAGGAAAGTTGCCTTGTACAAGGGTTCGCACCCTGCCTGAAAGGATTGGGCAGCTTTTTAGGCTTCCCGCCAGATTCTTGTTGTTGTCTTGGAAACTTCTATGTAAATGTGACTTTAATATAGGCTGTTTTGTACCTAGTCTGAAGAGGGCCTTATGTTCTGAAACGTGCTTGTGCAAGATAACATTGTTTGTGACTTGTATCAGGGTCTAGCTAGCAGCTACCTCTCGAAAATTCACTCCCTCTCAGCAATTGTCACAGACTCATGCAGGAGAATCACATTCTTGTGCATGCATGTGCGCAGGGAGCACAGTCTAAAAAGGAAACTGGGCACTGACCTGGCGCCAGTGTCTGGTAAAACCTCGATGGCCTTCTCATAAATCTGGCGAGTGTGAGTAACGCCAAATATGGACGCAGCTCGTTGGATATAGATGTTGAACATCTGCAGAAAAAGTAAGTAAGGATTCACAAAGCAGACCAGTGAAAGAACAATCGGCACGGGTGTGTGAGAGAGGGGCAGGGGCAGGGAGAGAGAGAGAGAGAGAGAGAGAGAGAGAGAGAGAGGAAGAGAAGGAGGAAGAGAGAGAGAGAGAGAGAGAGAGAGAGAGAGAGAGACCCACTGCGATGTCTTATGCATCAGATGGATGAATACAGAATAGTCGTCACAGCAATACACTTATCACGCTATACCCACCTCAAACTGCTCTGCAGGTAACACAGCAGAGGTGGCACGTTCGTACACGGACATGGCATGACGTCCCATACCATGCTCCTCCTCCATCTTCGCATACAATAAGTAGATGTCTGCAAGAAAACAGCAGAAGACAAAGCACATAAACAAGTTAAAACAACTACATGCACATACATCAAATCAGGCTGGGAAAAAGGCTCATTCAATCAAGCAATTTTCTACCAAGACGAATGCGCAAAACTTCAAAGATCATTACCTTCCCAAGCAGACACCTTTTAATTACAGACATATCCAATCTTAGCACCAACGTTTCTGTCTTTAAAATGCTCCCAACTGTTCTCAAAGCTGCAGGGAGTACCATAAGCAGGTAGACTCCACACATGGGACACATACATCTGGTCGTCAGGGTGACCAACACACTGCACAGGACCGCGTATACATCTGGTCGCCAGGGTGACTGGTCGTCGGGTGACTAACACATTGGAAACTCAGAGCAGTTCCACTGGAATGTAATCAAGACAATGTCATGCGTGGACACTTGTAGAGAGCGTGGACACTTGTAGAGAGCGTGGACAGACTCACCAAGAGTAAATGTCATGCATGGACACTTGTAGAGAGCGTGGACAGACTCACCAAGAGTAAATGTCATGCATGGACACTTGTTGTAGAGAGCGTGGACAGACTCACCAAGAGTAAATGTCACGCATGGACACTTGTAGAGAGCGTGGACAGACTCACCAAGAGTAAATGTCATGCATGGACACTTGTAGAGAGCGTGGACAGACTCACCAAGAGTAACCAATAGAACGGGACCGGACACGGAATGTCAAGGGAGAGACTTACTCTTTGCAAACTTATCCGGGCAGCCGTCAAGACACTGTTCAAACAGATCACGAGCTCTCTCCAGTTTGCGACCACCCTGTAACAAGCAACCAACACAGACAAGCACGCCGCAAGTAAGGCCACTGGCACATCTGTTTGCCTAGCACCTTCCATTGCTGCAGCACAAACATCTTCCACAGACAAGGAACCTCTACCAGGGGAGCCAGAATGGGACAGAGCACTGCTCTGACCTGCCAGCAGTTCGAGTTTGCAAAGTCGTCAGTGACTGTAACAGGGTCTCTACTTACATATCGCTCAAGGAACTTGGTGAGATAAGTGTTCCAGATGTCAAACACGTTGGGCCACTTGAACATGCTCACACCACGCTCATAGATCTGCACACATGCATAGAAGAAATCAAAAAGGAGATGAGAACTTAGAGCATGGAGTCCAAAGCAAGCAATGCTAACACTACATCCACAGAACATCTGCTACTTCTGCACACACACACACACACACACACACACACACACACACGCGCACACGCACGCACTTGTACTTGTACTTGCTCACTGCCAAAACTGGTCACGTGGGTCTCCCCGGGAGAGGGGAGAGAGACCCAAAAGGAATCTTGGAAAGATGACTCAATTGGCCATTGAACCACCCAACGGCCGACACCCCCTGAAATCCCCAAACTAGGGTGGACTTGAAATGATCCCACTTATGGGCTCACCACACCTCAGTAAGTGGGTGAGGACAAGGTGCAGAAAAAGGATTGACGGCATCAGGGTATCCGTCCCGGGATCCAACTGCAGGTACCCCTGCCCCCAGTGAAGGTAATACTTGGTACTAGTGTGGGTGGCTAAACACACACACACACACACACACACACACACACACACACACACACACACACACACCTCAGACCTCAGACCTGTCCACCGCGGAAGCGATGATAGCGAACAGCTATGTTAGACATAGCAACTTGTGCTGGGATTACACCATTCAACAGCTTGCAAGGCTGATGAATTGACCGCCACTAACACACACACACACACACACACACACACACGCGCGCGTGTGCGCGCACAGTCGCACATGTACGTACGTACGCACGCACACATACACACACACACGCACGCATGCACACACATACATTTCAGGTGCATACAGCTGCAGAATTTTCTAGGGCTGAAACGATCATTCAATAACTCCTAACGATCAACCAATATCGTTAACGATCGATATATTGGTTTTATCGATTATTGTCGGCTCTATCGAACACCAGTTTATGAAGAAATTCCATGATGCCTTTGCTACGTTAGAAATTTGTGGCACTGCAATGTTGACATCTGTAGAAATCTGGCTGGTTTTATCAACATGAACTACTCAACTAGAGAATTTCATGTTGTTTCTACAGCGAAGAATCTTGTCATCACCCTCTGGGAACTGCTCTCATCTCCGACTTCTCCCACAAATGAACCGAAAAGGCAAAGTCTTCTCTCCCGATCTCTTTCAAAGCCACAAATCAATTTTACAGCGCTTGAAAGTACATGATTGCACTCGTATTCACTATAGGATGGAGTGCAAGGGCTAGAATACTGTCACTGATATGCATCCATAAAAAATCGTTAGCACTCGTTTTGAGCACTAACGATTATCGATTGCACTCTTAACGATCAATAGGCGAGTTATCGGTATAATTGTTTCAGCCCTAGAATTTTCTTTGAATTTCACGGTTGGCGTAAAGTCAGACTGAGTTTTCCACACCCGTGGGTACACTGCAACCCTCAAGGATCGTGGGTACGCTCAGTCGCTGCCACCCTCAACGATCAAGACGCAGACGCAGCTCCTAAAGCGGTGGGAGGTGAGTAGATCAAACTCACCACCAAAGTTGCAAAAGACCACAAATCCCTGCATCCTTGTTTCCCTCATTCTAGGCCACAAGTTGCTATAATACTTGAAGTACATGTGTATGTAACTATTACCGTACTAGTAACTGTGAGTTGCAGCACAGCTGGAAAAATCATTTAAAAACAGTATGATTTTTTGAATCCAACTGTCTCTAAAACGGGTGACTAGTATTCCTGATACCAAGCCATCCTTCACCAAGCCACCCTTCACCAAGCCACCCTTCACCAAGCCACCCTTCACCAAGCCATCCTTCACCAAGCCATCCTTCACCAAGCCATCCTTCACCAAGCCATCCTTCACCAAGCCACCCTTCACCAAGCCATCCTTCACCATACCCGTACATACTGTATAGGTAAACAGGCCCGCCGGACCCGGACTGCTTGGTCAGGTCATCGCCGGACCAACTTATCGGCCACCGACGTGTGTTGCCTGATCAGGAGGTCATGTTTACCAGCCATATCATACACAAATAATGAATTCAAGAAAGACTATGACATGACTGGACTGATCAAGAATAATCGCTTCCGGTGGTCCTGGGTGTAATGTGACTGTGAACCTGTCTACATAGACTACCGGTACAGGTCAACAATCGTACAACCGGCCGCCGCCGGCTACTAGGTACATGTGCACTTGTACACAGGGCACAACGAGGTTCCTGCCGCTATTCGAGTTTCGTGCACTACAACATTTCTAACAACTAACAACCGGTAGACGTGTTGCCCGAGGGTTGCTTTTCCGACGAAATAACGGTCTGCCTGCTAAATGTCACAACAGTGATACACCTTGCCTACTTTTAGCCTTGAACACCTAACAAAACACCCAACAAAACAGAACAGCAACTGCCCACAGCAACACCATCGACTTCCATCACCACAGCGAGCTGCTGAAAGAGCGGTATAATAGCAGTCATCGAGCACAACACCAAGGCACGATTCTACTAGTACTGTAGCGCTTACCGTGAACGCATCCTCAAAGTAGTTGCTCTCCTCCAAGAACATAGCAAAGTTGATAATAATCTGAGGGCTAGAGATTCCAAGGTCAAGAATGCGATTGTAGACGGCCTTTGTTGTCTGCAAAGATAGTACAATAAGAGGGAGAGAGAGGGGTGGGGGGGGGGGGGTATTTTAGTATTTCGACTGAATATGTGGGTGAAGGAAACATGCATTCTGAACGCTTGTACCTCACTATGGAGTAGATTGTCAAAATCAGTAACAACTAGCTTTGTGTTGTGTATGGACCAGTTGCAGGCGTAATCCTAGATAAGTTCCGTCAATGCTGAACTTGTGGTAAAGGGCCCGAGTGTTTGATAGGCGTGTGTGTGTGTTCGCCTGTCCTGTCCTGAACATTGCCGTGACCGTTTTACGGCAATGTTCAGGACAGGACAGGTGTGTGTTTGCGTGCTTCTCTTGCGACGAGCGTATACATCAGGGTTCTAGCCAAAGGGGGGGGGGGGGGGGGGGGCAGCGCCCCCCTACTCCGTTTGCGCGCCCCCTACTCATTTTTCGATTTTGTGTTTTTTCACGCCATTCAACGAAAACACAGTCGATAGTCACTACTAGAGGGTTCATAAAGGCACATTTGTGAGAGGTGAAGTCAGGGTTCACCCTTCACCCTGTATGTTGCATTTTGCATGGCAAGACAATTTTGGACAATGGAAAAAATGGGTCATGGGGTAACTTTTTCCCATGCCCGCCCCCCTACTATATTGACCTGGCTAGAACCCTGTACATGGTACATGGTGTGTGCATGGCCAGCACACTTCCTAGCTGAGCTGCAAGACTGCAGAGTCTTGCAGCAACATGGTAAGACATAAAGAATGCCATGGCACTAGCATGCCATATCACACCCAGAAAAGGCACAGGGGGAGTGCAGCCAAGCCATACCTGGAATGTTCCAAGACTTTCCTCCAAGTCACAGTGCATCGACCAGAGCTTGAGCGAGCGGAACACGCGATTCTGAACCGGTGCTGACTACAGGATGCAACACAGAGCAACGGATAGCAGCAGGAAAACAGGCAAAAACACAACATACCTCAACCACGAGCACCGCCACCGGCAAGATAAGTACTGTGTTTTCCGGAGTATAGGCCGCACATTAAACACCACTGATTCACCCACAAAAAGTCAATACAGCTTATACTACGGTGATCAAATTAACGGGATAAACAGTGTAGATGTCTGGATTTTGTGACAAAAATCTGGGTGTGGCTTCTGCTCTGGAAATACGGTATCCACAGTTGCCTGAAAAATCTCAATTGCTTTCACACCCGGCGCCATAATGATGTCAGCAAATTCCAGAGTACACATGTAGCCAGCGCAAGACATCCCAGCCCTGCAACAGCAGAAGCCTGCCGTCATCAAACAACTCACCGCATCGTGATACGCAGCACGCTCTTTGGGAGTAGCCGTGGCCTCACGCATGACCTGTCTCGCTCGCTCGTAGTCCTCGGCGCGCACTTCCATTTCGGCGTACTCACACCAGACAGTTGCCAGCTCCTCCACGTTACGGAAAGGTACCTGCACGGCCATCTTGAAGATGGAGCGCGCCTGTAACACCACAGAGAAAACAGGTGGTGATCAGCCATTGATGCAATTGCAACTGTCACAAGAGCCAAACTTCATCTTGTACTGCAGTGTGACGACATACTACCCGATAACAACAACAGCTATGAATCACAGCATGGCACCAGGGCCGCAGATCTGAACAAGCTGGTGTGTGCCCGTAACATCCATCATTGATACCAGTTCCATGTGACATCAAGCACACATCAGGGAAGCTACACACCAACCATCAACACTAGGAAATGAGCCTAGCAAATCCATAAAACAACGTACCTCGTTTAGCTGCTTGTTCGACTCGTAGAACTTGGCAAAGGCCACCCAGAGTGTGTGCAGTTTGCCGGTAGCCTGCTTGGGGTTAACAGTGCGCACTGCCTCTGCATAGGTGTTGATGATCTGCACAACACCACGTGTACACAACAACAGCAAGAGGTTACCCAAAGTCAAGCGCACGCGAGTACCGAGCAGCACAGTAGATCTACAACACGCACCAGAGAGGATCCCAGCCAGCCTCCTTTCCGGAGGATGACCAACAAAGCTGCATCATACACACACTCACCGGAAAGCATCACTCACGCACGCACACACGTACGCACACACACTCACACTCACTGCAAAGCGTAACACACACACATACACGCACACACACACACACACTCACTCACTAAAATGGGAAGCATCATACACACACACATACTGCATGCCAAAAACGCACGCATACGAAAACAGTAGAGCAGTAGGAGTTAGTAGACCACCAGCAGCTATCCGGGGACTGATGAAACAACAAGACTCAACACCAATACCACACGTCTGACTACTCATTTTCTCCTCGTACTCAGTCACACTAGCCAGTGAGCCACACAACTAGCAAGTTGCTGCAAGCCACGGCACAAGAACCGCCCGTACCTCTTTGGGCTTGCCATCAAACAGTGACACACGCTTGTGCCACTCGTGAACATTGTGCGGATTCTGTCGTAACAGCACGCTGTTGAGCAGCAGTGGCCGGCGCTCCATCAGCCGCTCAAAACGTGCCATTCGCAACTCAATGTCAATGTCATCTGCACAAATATAACAAAAAAGAACACACACACACACACACACACACACACACCAGTTGGCTATATGTACTGTCGTGGACATGGAAGTCCGTTGAGAAATCAAGCAGCCACGGGACACTGGCCTTGGAGCCGCGAGCACTGCCAGTCCATTTTGACAGTGTGTACGTAAACTACAGAGCAGGTACGCCGCGCTAAGGCAGTACGGGCGCCGGCCCCCTGTCATCCCACCGCCCTTCAATGTCCACAGCAGTACGTATGCAGGGGCACAGTAAGCCTGAGGTCCGTGCAGAAGCAGGTAATTATACAATGCAGAGATTAACGTAAATCAAGTCAATGCAGAGATTATCAAATGACATGCTCCACGTGGAAATGGCGGTCAGATCAAGCCATAATCGAATAGGGACTCCACTGACAAACACAACGGAGCTATGCAGTCCGTACACATAGAAATCCCTATAGTAGAAGACTGTAGCAATACCGTACCTTCTTCGTCTGCTTCAAACTCGGACGCAGCAGACATTTTCCCTTCAATCATTGTCTCCTCAAACTGAGCATATGCGTCAAACACCTATTTCCGCAGCAGCAAAACAATGGAAACAACGGGCAAAGGCACTGAAAACATTCAGAGACGATGAGTAGGGACATGATGGAATACACATGCTATCTACATGTGCAACACGGAATTAAGCACCACTGTATTGGTGCTGTGCTATAGCTTGGAGACTGAGCTTATAATTTTTCATCCATCTGGTACATGTACATTGGTTAATTTGTTTTATTCCCGTAGCTATGCAGAAGACGTTACTTCAGTAACGTCTGGCGCTAGCCAGGGTCCACACAGCTTTAATTGGGTGTTTGTTTGTGTGTTTGTTTGTGTCACGCCTGGCGCTATCCGTATCTGACGGCAAAAAAGCATAGGATGTTATAAATTTTTCAATTCTCCTTTTTTCTTCAGGCATATCCTGGGATTCGAACCCGCACTATCGCCCTACATGCATTCCCCCATACACTTCGCATTCATACCCATTCTTCCAAGTTGCTTTATGTTATTATCTTGCGTTTGAAAGCCCTATTTGAATATTGCGGGCAGCTGTATGTGGCCAGCTGTGTTTGATGGTACGGTACGGGAGACGGTGTCGTATTACCCTCGATCGTACCTGTCCCATACCTATCCCCTACCGTACCGTGCCATCAAAGACGGCTGGCCACAATGCATATTCAAATAGGGCTTTCAAATGCAAGATCACAATGTGAAACAACTTGGAAGAATTAGTATGTATGCGAAGTGTATCGGGGGATGCATGCAGGGCGCGCGATAGTGCGGGTTCGAATCCCAGGTTATGTCTTACAAAAAAAGGAATTTTTAAAGAATTTATAACATCCCTATGCTTTTTTTTGTCTAGGTCATCAAGGCAAAAAAGCATAGCGTAGGGCCCTGAGCTTCCAAGCTCTCTCGTTATACCAGAAGCACAAACTTTCCCAGCAGGTACCATGAATGCAGTTTCGTACTTCCTGCTACACTGAGGGTGCACTTTTTATGTGGGGGATCACAGATTTGCCCCACGACCTGTACTGTGTGTATGTGACACTGTGTGACGTCAAACATGCACGGGCATGATCCGTACACTTCTCTATTAAAACAAAAGCCCTGCACTTGTAATGTGGAGACTGCGCATGTATATCTTCAAAGCCCTCTTGGAGTGCGCTTATAATAGAGACTGGGCTTCTACAAGAGATTGCGCTTGTAATAATAATACAGTATAATGTAAAACGGCCAATTTTGGTGCGTAAAAACAAAAAAAGGCCAGACACACGCGTTTGCTTTCAGGTCATGTGCATCTTAATCTCTTCAATTATTGCATAAGATTGCTACACACTTTGATCCTAGAGGGTGGTGGCGTTCCCACGGCGGATGCGGAAAACTCGGCTTCCAGCCGAGTCTCACGCGAACCGTGAAATTTATTATTTTTTATTGCTACACATTGCACTGAACACCTGGTCACACAGTAGGCAGTTATTCAGCTCACAGAGAACGATCTGACACAGTTTTGCACGAAAAGCAAAACGGCAGCATATTAAAAAATCAGTATCTACAACACACGTTTGTGATTGCTGGATCATCTACATATGCCAGATGTGCCCCCCCCCCCCCCCCCTCCACACACACAGGCTTGCCAGGATCACAGTCAAGTCATGCCAGGCTGTGTTCGTTCTTACCTGACCAAAATCTCGTGCCGTCATCACTTTGGATATTGCCTCTTCATAAACGTCGCGAGCCTAACCATCACAGCAACAACAGCAGCAACAACAACAACAATAACAACAACCTTATACAGTGTGGTGGGATGAACTGGGGTGGGGATGGACTGGGTGATGGACTGGGGGATGGACTGGGTGATGGGCTGGGTGATGGACTGGGTGATGGACTGGGGGATGGACTGGGTGATGGACTGGGTGGTGGACTGGGGGATGGACTGGGTGATGGACTGGGTGATGGACTGGGGGATGGACTGGGGGATGGGCTGGGTGATGGACTGGGGGATGGATTGGGGGATGGACTGGGGGATGGGCTGGGTGATGGACTGGGGGATGGACTGGGGGATGGACTGGGGGATGGACTGGAGGATGGGCTGGGGTATGGAGTGGGGGATGGACTGGAGGATGAACTGGGTGATGGACTGGAGGATGGGCTGGGGTATGGACTGGGGTATGGACTGGGTGATAAACTACTAATAAAAGATAGACCGGGTGATGTACTGACCTTCTCAAACTGTCCACTACGTGAGTGATACTGCGCAAGTGCACACCACAACGCACCGGCTTCGTTGGTGAAGCGATCGAGACCACAGCGAATGATGTTCTCCACCTTCAGGTCCTTGACCTGACATAGGAAAGAAGCAGGTAAAACAAAGCACAGCATCTCTGCACACACATACACTGTGCAACAAGACAAGTGTCCACCAGCAACGCTATTCATACTTCACTATCACCAACAATAGAAGACAATTGCAAAGAGCAGATCACGGGTATCGGAGCAAATTCACTTCCAATAACCCTGCTAGAAAGGTCAGAGCAAATGCTGCCATGTATTTGAAGCAATCAGAAACAAATTAATCGCGGCATAACTAGCAGCACACAATAGCCTGTTCGCCAATTACCGGTAGTCACTTTACACATTTGAAACTCGGGTATTGAGCCAATAATAAATGTAGAAAGGAAAAGGACAAATGGAAACGAGTTTCGAGCAACTCTCCATCACTGTAACCAGATACTATTATGCAGTCAGAAAGTGCATCAGAAAGTGCAACAACTAGGAATGTCTCAGTACTCTGTCAGTTTTGTGCCTAGTTGTTGCACTTTCTGACTGTATTAGTATCTGGTTACAGTGATGGAGAGTTACTCTAAACTCGTTTCCATATGTCCTTTTCCTTTCTACTTTACACATTGTGTTGATTTCTAAGTTCCAAAATGGAGAACAGACTATAGTGCACACATACAAGTAGAATTTAGTACATGGATGAAGGCACACACACAGGGTACACACACACACACGCACACACACACACACACACACACACACACACACACACACACGGGTACACACAAGGGTACACAGGGCACACACACACACACACACACGGTACACACACGGTACACAGGGTACACACACGGGTACACACGGGTACACACACACACACGCATACAGCTAAAAAAGTGTACCTTGTCGGGGTTCTCTGACATCAGGCTGCACAGCTCCTTCCACAGCTACAGTGACAGTAACAGCAACGGCATGTACACCACCATAGAAATGAATACAGTCCACCTCACAACATTAGTTCTGGGTCATGAACGCACGCACACGTATACACCACACACATACATACACACACGCACACGCACACACGCACACATGCACAAACACGCACACATACAAACACACATACACACACGTATGACGTCACTATTTCCACAAAAGCGACGAAAGAGTAGTAACATTTCCACTTAAACTCGCCCGAAGGGTGCCCGGTAGACCGAAGTGCATGTACCTTCGGGGTCCGGATAACCGAGGTATGAGTGTACTTGCATAGTCTCTCTACACTGGAGAAGGATAGGATCACGCACAAGACGGGTCCCCGGCCTGCACAGACTTACCTGATAGTGTGACTTGCCATGCTTGGACGTAAACTTTTCCTGGACAAAATGGGCAGAAAAAAAGAAGCAGTCAGCATAGGAAGCAGATGTGGATATAAGGACGGTTCTATTTTGCAAAAGCACGGTACAGGCAGAAAATTGGGTATTTTTTCCACATCATTTGATAGCTGGAGTCAAGAAACTGACGATGAAACTTGTTTTCCTCCAAGTGCAGTATAATTGCAAAAAAAGCAACATCGAGACTGTACAGGGTACTTAAGCAGTATTGAACAACCTAAATATCCAGGATCTACTCAATGGAGACAAATCCTTTTGTTTTTTTGGCTCAGGTTGTTGGTCACTAATGGACCCCTATTCAAGGACTGCCACTGCATAGATGGACGTCACATGTGGAATGAAGAGATTGTAAGGTGCACACAGTGTTGAAAGTTGAAACACACCTGAAATCGCCTACCCAAGAAGAGGATGCAAACACAAAGTTAGTACAACGATCTAGTCACACGCAACGATTGCAGCAGAAGTAGCGGCAGCAGCAGCATACCTCATTCAACAGATCAGCCAGCTTCAATGCAGCCTGGTCCAAGCGATTGATCGACTTGAGGTAATCTACAAAGTCCTCACCGTTCTCTGGGAAAAACTACAATGGCACACAACAGAAACAAATACGGGAATAAAAAAAGGGTGAAAGACATGCCAACAACAACCATGCCATTGCTAAGCAATTTTCATCTTGGATGTTCCAGGGCCTTCTCATCAGAAGAATCACAGGCGAAGGAAGAGCTGTGATTGCCATACGCACGTACTAGCACTAGCACTAGCACAAACACCCACACACGCACACACACACACACACACACACACACACACACACACACACACACACACACACACACACACACACACACACACTCACATGCACATGCACACTCACACACACACACACACACATACACCCACCGCACACACACGCACACACACACACACCCACCGCACACACACGTACACACACACACACACACACATGCGCGCGTACGACCATCCCAAGCACTGACCTTCAAGTAGCGGCGGTAGACACGCATCCCCGTGTCTGGTATGTCGTAGCTGCGCACAAACTTGAGGTAGAGCGGCCACACACGGTCATGCTGTGTCAGTGCCAGTGAGCGCAGGGCACGGTCCAGCGTGTGCCTGGTGCGAGTCACCTGACGCTGGTCCATCAGGAACTGGCAGTAGTCGAGCCAGATGCGCGGCATCTTGTGCAAGAACACTAGGCAGCGCTCAAACGCATTGTTGACCTTCTCAAACTCCGGGTCGACGATCACTTTGCTCTTGGCGTGTAACCGGCGGCGTTTCAGGTAAGCGTACCATAGCTTGTAACTGCCGGGCAGCTCCTTGACTGCACGTTCATAGATCAGGTTGACAGCCTAGTCAAAGAACAGCAGCACGCGCACCACCAGCATCAGTGAAAACAACCACAACAGCAGCACACATGTTGAAAGAGTATAGTCTAGCCTGCAGAGTCCACCGCCCATACCACATAGTCCGGTCTCGACCTCCAAGAAGCTTACCTGTCTGGGGGCCTTGCGGCCCACTTTGTGTTCAATGTAGCGCAGCCATGACTTAAGGTGGTAGGGGTTGCGAATGATATCCTCCTCGAACGGGATGTCGTCCTCTTCCTGAAATCCAGAAAATCGGAGAAAGAGAGCAGCGGTTGAGTAGACTTCACCCACAGCTACATACGTGCATAGTTACAGTGCTTCGACAACACCAGCAAGAGTATGCAACCTCCTAAGAGTGTGCAATGGGGAGTCGCTTGGCTTGGCAGTAGGCAGTCATCGCCGTGGCTAGTTGAGATCACAACAAGCTAAGGAGCAGCCCAAAAATATCGATTTTTCACGAAACAAATATTCTCTTTTTCTGGGTGGGAGGATGCCAACCAGTTTCGTTTCCGAAATCAACACATTCCTGACGGTACAGTTGCAAGTGTATGCTGTTGAGATACATGCACCTGAACATGTCACCAGCAATTCCTAAGTTTGGGGTGAGCGAGGGGTTTCAGCTGAAACTAAAATAACTCACTTCATGAAAAAAAAACCTTGATATTTGATAAGCTCGGCATGCCCGTCCAAACACACACAACAGAGAACAACGAGCAAGCCAAACATGCCAGAGCAAAGAAAAAGACAAACTGTCTCAGTTGAGCACAACGAGTAGAAGAGAGCAGAAAACCAATACCTATCAAAGCTGATCCACGGAAAGGTGAGAACTAACATCAAAAAGTAACACGCACGTGAGCAGAGAGTATAAGCGCCACAAGTCTTCACCAACAGAGATTCAATCGGGTTGTGCACTCTTTGAGGAGGTGCATACTTGTGACACGTGTACCACTATACATACATGTCCATATACAAGCCTTGCAGCGTCGCTTATGAGTTAACCAGGTCGGATGATGACATCATCCATCACAATGTGCCCTCCACCTTGTGATATGCTGTCACTATCATACCTGGCATATTACACTGATATGCTTTCACTACTTTTCTACCATTCAAATATTCCCTCCTTGCATTTGCTGTTATGTAATTGGGCCTGTAACCCGTTTGTACTTGCGAATTCCAAAAAATCATACCTGGTATATTACACATGTGCAAGAACTGACCATAGAAAAAGCAGTCGGCAAGTTCAGCACACAGTTCAATCTTCAACAGTGCAGCTCACACTTGTGCCCCCCCCCCCCCCCCAAAACACACATATACCCCCCCCCCCCCCACATACACACACATAACGTACATATCCACACATGTGCGTGCAATGTGCATGCACATACACGCACAGACACCGACACCCGCATGCACAGACAAACAGAGAGACAGATAGATAGACACATGCACAAGCATGCACACAACTAGAAATTAGAATGAAAGACAGTGGTCTGCTCATTGGTCACTGACTTCCTGTTGCATTTTTGAACTCCATGGGCAATTATTGAATTTGAAGGCCACGTTTGCGCAAGAAACGTACACTGTCCAGGACCAGCAGAGTGTTTGATTGGTCTGGCTATACCACAGCTATTCATACAATTTGTGTATGATATGGCGTGTACACATGACCCCCTCTGCACAGCAGGCAACACCCGTTGGTGGGCAAAGAGCTGGTCCGATATCTACCTCCACACTGAGGAGCTCTCAGTGAGCGAAACAGCCGTCTGGAGGATATGGAACATCTATCCAAGAACGAACTTCCTGGCTATGGTGTGGCGAATGTGGGCCAAGAGTGCAGTGTGGAGAGGTGGACAGTTTTTAACTATTTTCAAATGAGCTTTTAGTGGCTTCAAAAAGTAGATGCGACGTTTATGTTACGTGCACGATACTGGTACATTCTGCAGGTTTATAGTGTAGCATAAGTCAAAATTCGACTCGGTCTTCAAGTTGTAGAATATAATCGCACCCGTTTTGAACTGTGCTTTTGCAGATGTCGATACATGCATTCATGTATTCAGTGACCCATCTGAGCATACAATGTGGACTACTATTGTATACTCTTTCGTGATAACATTACTCTGTTAGAGAGATCCCTAAAACACTTCACCCCACTGATTCAATTCTATCCTAAAGTATTGCAAAGGCATGGACTAGTAACAAGAAAAATTGAAGTGAAAGTCGTACCAATGTAATGGAGTGGACGTCCACGTCGGGCATTCTGGCGGATGGTTACTACCGGCGCATTCTCATCAGCAAACGAGTTGATCGCAATGCTCAACAAACGCCTTCTTCAGGTACAGATTTTCTAGTACAGAGTGACGAGAGTATGGAAACGTGAGTCTGGGCTGCTTAGGAAACGTTCAAATTTGTTCAACATTGGCTTTAGAAAATAGGCATTGACTTTTTTCTGGGATTTGCGATAGGGTTATCGAATTTTTTACGTTCGATTGATGAGATCGCGGCGCGGGCGCGTCTGCGCCATTTCTAGTTGCTATGGTCACTATGGATTGCACGGGTACCGGGTACGCGCGCGCCGCGGGCGTACTTGAATGATTTCGAATGGGCTTGAAAGTGATATTAATTATTATTGAAAGTGATGACGTCAAAACGGCCAGGGAGTAGTAAGTTGACATCAGATTTCTATTTTTGGATCCACTATACTAAGGTGTGACTTTGCTATTGCCTAAGTATGTGGGTGCATAGCATTAGCAACCCACTCATGTCGCATGCAGGTGTGACTTTTATTTCGCCACCAGTTGTAACCCCGCCCCCAGTAGCCAAATCAGTCAGTTTCACTGGCTACATCACCATGCTGTGGGTAAGACCGCTTGTTGAAATGTGCTTAGATCCATACAAAAACTGGATCCAAGTGGATCCAGTTTTTGAATTTTTGAAATTGTGCTATGCTGTGACGTAGCACTTTCAAGCCCTATTAATATATATGTGCTGTGTCCAGGGAGTCGTCAAATACCCCCTAGCCTGCCCGACTCCCTAGATCCCTGGCCGGCCTGCATTTTATAATGGGCATTATGACGTGTGATCATGTGAGCACTCTTTTTTTGGCTTTTTTGGGGGGGGGGGGGGGGTAGATGATAGATCTACCAGGCAGTAGCATACAGAATGCCATGCTTTGTTGTGTGTGTCGCCATCAGGTTTATACGACTCCCTTCTGGTCGCCATTCTATTCCGGATTTCAGTGAAACTTCAGTATGTCAGTAGTACCACAAAGGGCCATACACATCAGTACTTTACAGCCTGAGGAGTGAGGTACTTTATCCAAGGTCAAATGACTGGGCCTGGTGCCGTGATGTTAAAAATGCAGGGTCCTCAAGAATAGTACTACAATACTCAATAGCCTGGTCACAATGATCTTATATCCAGAGTACTTTTCATGCCATAAATGCTATTGGGAACTCACTACCACTGGTTCGCTGGCCGCTTTATCATAAAAGCTTGCGGCAAGTGCTGATTTCCACCGATTTCTTGCCTGACTGAGTGGTAAGTTTTATCTTGCACACCTAGCTTAGCCTAGGCTACATATAGCAACAAGTGAATTTTATCACGGCAATGCGCATGTTGATTGGTATGTGCATGCTCAGTGCTGACAAACAGACGCACACATACACACACACCACACACACACACACACATACACACACACACACACACACACACACACACACACACACACGTGCACACACACACACACACACACACACACATGCCACACATGTGCATACACACACACCACACACATGTGCACATACACGCGCACATGCACACACACACACACACGCACACACACACATGCCAGACGCAGACAATACCTGCACTACGGTACAGCCGGGATAACGAGTACAAGCAACAAGAATCAACTTAGCATACAGGCCGTAGCAAAACTCAAAGTCAGTGCTCCGTATCTGCACCTGGGAATACCGTAGTAAAACCGCAGTAGTTGCTCCCACATGTAGAGCCTGTGCTTCCTGCAGGCTTGACAGACATTTCGCGGGCTCATGGTTGCTGCCCGGAGCCCAGCACTGTGAGCAAACAAATAATTCGGCTCGATGATCACCGGCAATTGCCAGAGAACTCACTACATCATCCCCAGGGGCGTCGCACACGGTACAGTCACTACGGTATTGACCGTACCACTATTTGACCCAAGTACCCCGTGAATCAATAAGATGCACTGATTTGGGCTCTAATTTTCCAAAATTTTCGGCTCCGCCACCCCTCCCCCACGAGTAAATTGTACTTCAGATGGCTGACCGTACCACACTAAATTACCTTCTGACGCCCCTGATCCCAGTTTGAATTTCATAGTGTGGTTGTGTTAGCAGGGCATCTTCTGCCGTGAGGCTCTGTGGATATTCCATTAAAAAAAAAAAGGTTCACACCAGCGAGGCACAATCAGACTGGGTTTTCCGCATCCGTAGCAACCGTACCACCATCCTCAAGGATCAATCAAGGAGTATATAATCTAAACACAATTCATGATTGCAACATAACACAAGTAGAATAGAACAGCACTGGGTCGAAAGCAGCAAATCTGGAAAACTTCTGAAATTATAAGCTTTGCATACCGGTATGTATCACTAGTGCAATTTCCTTCACTAACAGTTATACTTCACGCCATATACTACAGCACATTCTCATCATGGAGAATCTCTACATGATCAGCTCTAGGCACCGGATGTTCTGTGACATGCAGTGTTTGCCTAGCAGGGATCTTTGGGAAAAAATCAATCAGACACGTTATCAGTATTAGACTATAAGATGTAAAGTACTTGTGCAGACTCTCAATACTGAGCTGGCATGTTACGTGACTGGCACCATTCTGTCTTCCTGCCAACTGTCTCCATGTTGCCAGTGCCGCAGAGTGTCTTCCAGGGAGTAGTAAAAATACTACTCCCTTAGTAGTAAAAATACTACTCCCTGGTGTCTTCTACACAGCAGCAGCCGCAACAGGAACAGTGTGCTGACCAGCTCACTGACCAGCAACTTGAACATGCAAGCCAGCGTACGGTGTTCACGGATGGATGTGTGCCCAAACCTGCTCCTTCTCCTTGGCCACGAGGTCTGCTCGTCGTGATTCGGAATGCTTTGACGAGTGATCGGCCATGCGCAGAAAGTCTGGCACCGTCACCCAGTTTTCTTTTCCCACGTAGGTCGTGAAAGTGCTGAAGTGCCATATCTGCAGGCACCACAATCAAGAAGACAAAGACACAGGTAGACTGAGAACTTGTGTGAGAAGGCATTGAGCAAGCTAGAGAGCTGAGTACTAGTAATACAACAAACTAGCTACCGTTCACAGTTTTATTGATAGAGAGCTGAGCTTCAGGCAAACGTGTCATCAAGTACTCGGTCTGATGCAGGGGGTTCAACTCTCCATTTTATCATCACCATCACCGCAAAGATCCATCATTGATCAGCACTTCACTTCTGTACGACAAGGCTTGGCCAGCATTCAATGACCAAGCAGAGCACAAGCCTTTTTCAAGTTTTCATACATCTCCCTACAACCCTTCACTGTTATAACTCCAGTCATATCAAGAAAACAAGTCAAGGGCTCGTCGGTAAAGTGTTTTATAGTCAAAATCGCAAGTGGACCAACACTCCTAGCATCCGTCACACTATTGAGTCCTACTCAGCTCTTGCAGTTGCGCAACGCAGCTGTCTACCTGGACAGCACTCTATTGGGTACTACTAACGTTAGCACGTGCGTTCGAAATCAACAGTGGCGGTCCAGCCCAAGCCGACAACCTACTTCAAAATATACAAAATGTCGGTGCTGCAAAATTTCGGCATTTCACGATTTTCGGCATTTCGGCAGCGATTTATTTTCGGCGCGGGTTAATGCTACCCGTGGAATCCTGATAATTCGAATATGGCTTAATTCGAACAGACCGCTTAATTAGAAGTTTTTCCAGGACCGATTTCTGTCAATACGATTCCCACATAAAGTTTTCTGATAATTCAAACCCCGAACCAGACATGTCCGGTTAATTCGAAGTTCCACGAATTCCACTTACATAGAAAATGTGTGGGATTTGTGCTGATAATTCGAAGTTAGCAAAGTGTAATTCGAAGTTCACTGTACACTGTACTGGTCAGTTCAGTTTGCATGAGCAGGCTGTGCCGGTCAGTTCAGGATCCGTGAAATCTGTGTCTACAGTCCATTTCAAAACTATAGACGCGCAGGGTTTTTGAAATATTCCAAATTTGGCTGGGACTTTTTGAGAATAGTTTTTGGAATATTGCTCAGGTCCGCTCCACAATTACTCTCATATAGTTTCTAAACGATTGGATAACAGACGCCCAATTTGGAAAAATTTATGCACAAAGTGATCACAGATTTTAAGTGGTATAGATGCTGGCAAAACGGTTTTTGCCTAGGTACGCGTCCAGTATAGTTTTGAAATGGACTGTAAGGTCCATAGCGCAACTCTGCGTGACCATGAGAGCATTTTGACATACATATTGTGTTGTGGGTTCAGTTTGGATAATTAGAATGTCCGGATAATTAGAAGTTTTTTCCTGGCATTTCGAGGTTCAAATTATCAGGATTCCACCTGTAGTACATCACCAAAGCCGATGTGAAACATTTCATCAGCGTTTCAATGTCGGCGTTTAGGGTCGGTGCCGAATATAGCCGAAATTAAATATCGTAGAAGTCCGTAAATATGTACCTGCCCAAAATGAATAACCCCCCCTCATCCTTTTGACTCTGTTGAAGTCAAGTTCAGCCCGAAATAAGTACTGGTATGGTTCACAGATGTAGCGCTTAGCATGTACATCTACATGTATAAACATCTTCACGGCATAACTCTCAGCGATGTGTTCTTTAGAAATTTGAAAACAGCAGCAACAACAACAACAACAACAACAACAACAACAGCAAGCTGATAGAGCTCACCTCGCCTTTTTGTACCCATCCGTCGCCGGATTTCTCCCATTTCAACTGCATGACGCCGCGCTTTTTGACCAGCTCCCAGCAGATGTCGCGCAGATAGTTGCAGGTTAGCGAGACTTGTCGCAGACTGTACACGTCCAGCTTTGCCAGTATCATGTCCAAGACCTACAAGAACACAGAGACAGCAAAACACAGTCACGGATGAGCACAGCCGAGCCGCAGGACTGGATAGGGAATGTTATCGACGCCGCTCTACATCGCCTAACATTATATTTTTTAATTGGTTGGAAATTGAAAGAACTACCAGACACTATTTATACTAGGTGAAACTGTCCTTGTCTCCGTGAACACCCTTGTCCCATGGAACTTCATGACACAGTCTACAACTGACCAACCACCGAAACCTCAATCCCTTGACAATACATGCAGAATCTCTGGATTTCTCTCAAAATCCCTGGATGGCACGAAAAACAAGTGAAAAAGAGCTTTTCCCGCCAAAAAAACGTTCGACTCGGCAGATCTGCGTACAGCACAGTTCGACCCTGCAATGCAGTTCGATAAGTCGGCGTCCGCCTGTCACTCTGTCAGTGCAGATCTTGCAGGCTAGGCTGGTCAGGTCTTGAAAGTGCCGTGCACAGTTCGAAGTGCGAATGGGCACCGTACATATTTTTTGCAAAAAAAACAGGACATTCGGGGCGAATCCATGGAGTTTTCAGGAAAATCCTGTATCAGACAAAACTGTGACTTTTCCGGGAGTTTTCTTGAAATCTCTGGGACCCCGGGAGTAGTGTTGATTTCCCGGGATTTTCCCGGGAAAACCAGGAGGGTTGGCCAGTATGAGTCTATCACATTTTTAAATGCAGGTGGTCTCTGGAGCCATGGTGAACTGTCCACGGCCCACACATCTGCCGCCAAAGAGAATTTCCTCACGGCAATCAGATGGCTCTCTACCAGGTTTCACTTGTTAGAGATCATTCTTAAATGGCCAATGTCTTTATCTCAAGCACTCCATCCTAATGATGTATTTTTGAAAAGTTCAACTTAGCCCAAGGTGGTCGGAATAAGCCTTATGAATATTTCATACGAAAACTGTTTTCGACACAGATCTAGCTAGTCATCAGTTCTATGCAAAGTGATGAATCTGAAAAAGCGATTGTTTACCACTGAAAACGAGGCTAAATTGGTCAAATGTGTATATAAAGCACACAATGAACACCCAACCGGGTATGTACACAGCTACGACCCTAGTACAGAACTTCGCACATCTGTACAGTGTGCATACGGACCATGCAATAGGGTAAGGTGTGGCGGCTATAGTGATGGGCATAGTAAAACACCGACTACGAGAACAGGCTGTCCGTACCTCTTCCGGTATGTCGAGCAATGGACTGTCCACTCCCGATAGGTAGGAGTCGGTGGAAAGCGTGGATTCTTCACAGTCATACCCATACATGGCTAATTCAGCAGCCTGACTTAGCTGTCTGGGCACACGCACTCCCCTCTCTGCGCTATCGCCAACAATCTCGTGACTTTCGTAACCGTAAAATGACAGCTCGTCTTCTTTCGACAGGCCCCGGTGCAGAGGTGGACGTCTCTCCTCCACCTCCGGTGTCTCCGTTCTTTCGTCAGTCTGCTCATCAGTGCCTTTCTCGCCAGCATCAGCAGCTTGTACAGAGGACACTGGTGCGACAACTTCCACGCCATCTGGGAACGTGTGAACAGTCCAGTCTCTGTTGAATGGCACCAGGCGATCCTCGCACCGATGACAGTCGTCGGAATCCTTCCACGGGCACTCGCAGCGCTGTGCATCCCGTGCCTCCATGGTATCGTGTACGTCCTGGTAATGGCGTAGAATCTCATCACGGCGAAACACCTGCGTAGCAGTAGCAGCAGCAGCAGCAGCAGCAGCAGCAGCAGCAGCAGCAGCAGCAGCAGCAGCAGCAGACACATGCACATACACACCGTGATGTACAGTAAAACCTGTAACTAAAGACCACTGTGACTAGCTATCAGCCTGGTATTACAGACCACTTCGCCAGGCACGGACGGTCTCACATGCGTATAATGGCTGTGCGGTGAAAACCTCTAACTAATGACCACCTGCCACTAAAGACCGCCTTCTCTGGCCCCAAGGGGTGGTCGTTAGTCACAGGTTTTACTGTACTTGCAACCAACCTGCATGTAGAAACCCGGTGACAGTTTTTACCAGACAGGTGATGGTTCAGCACAGGTATGCCACCTCAGCATTGTTCAGGAGGACACTGCTAGTTTCTGTTGTGCATTTGTCATTCAGTATGTATTCTGGTATAGCACAGCCACAGTATTCCATGTAGCTTCTAAATGTAGGTGTTTGGACGCGGACGGAGAGTTGGTTAGTAGTTTCCCTGCCATATTGAATACTTCTGCAATATTGGCCAGTTTTTACCTTTGTGCATCGACGTGCCTCAGACGGCGACCACCCGGTGATTGTCTGAGCGGTTATCTGCGGCTTTTCTTTGTTAACCGTGCAGCGGAATTGTTCACTGTATTGTTTATTCCAATTGTTTCCTTTCGTCTGTGTTTGGCTCCTGGTGTGCTGGCTGTGTGCTTTCAACCTACCATTAGAATCGCTGCGCTCCCATTATTCCATCAGATGAAGCATTCTTGCAGTTGTTGCTAGAGTCGGTGTTACGTTTATTTCTTGTACTTGTGTGAAAAGATCGGTTGTATGAGTGTCTACAGGGACATTATTAGCAATTCGAAACTAAATAGAAGGGGTGTTCTCCATCACTCCGAGGCCTTGTTGTTGTGGATTGCCGATGGCGGATTCGGCGGATCTCATGATCCTCCATAACATGGTCACATGGTAGCAGAGGATGGTTTTCCAGTAGTGTCAAAGTGAGTAGACAGTTGTAGTGAGTTTCGATATTGAAGATGGAGGACGTTGACACAAGAGTCGAGGGTAGCGCGGAAGACGCAGTAGAAGAGTCACAACAGCGCGGCGGTACGCCTCAGCAATCGGATTCTGTGGCAAGAGATGAGAGCATTGCCGTGTTGCGCAAACGGAAGGCGCAAGCAAAGGGACACTTCACCAATGCAAGGAGGGCGCTGTTAGTAGGCGCACACAATGGGCAGATGGAGGACGTAGAAGCAGAACAGTCGCGTCTACAAGGCTGCATGGAGGAGGTCGCGGCGGTCATCGACGAATTATTGAACACCACCAGTGATGTCGAGGAGAAGTTACTGCTGATGGCAGAACTGGAAACGCTACAAGCCGAGTACAGTGCCGCAGTTGAGGATCTGCCTCTGCCTTCGTACGAGACCGGAGGCGATCAGGAAGTCACTCAGGCGCAAGAAGGAAGTGATGCAGTGTCCAGCCAGCGAGGATTTACTGAGAGTGGTAGATCTACTCGTAGTCGTAGAGGTCACACACGGACCTGGCCCTGGGACTCGGCCAGTGCAACTAGTCCTAACGTTAGATACGCGCCGGAATCTAGCACTGGCGGAGAACTCGCGATGAGCGCTCTAGGTGATTGGCAGCAGAGCGCTGAACCTGAGGAGGCCAGCTTTCTCCGCGGTATCGGAGGCTTCGGAGCCTTTGGCGGAGTGCGAGGAAGACAGATGCCCGTGGCCTAGGTACAGATATCGGGCGAGACCACTAGCTGCGCTGCAGGAAGAAGATCCATGGATGCGTCAGTCATTCGCAGCGCACTCGGACTCCCCCGACTGGAGACTCGAGACACACGCGCCGAGTCACTTGACCAAAACCAGGGTTTCGCCAGCTACAGCCATGGAGCAACGGACATCGCGAACCAAACATCACTGCTAGCTTCGAAGGCTAGCGAAGCAGCTGCATCAGCAGCGTCAGTGCCCTCAACGGTGAGTGCAAACATAGTCATTAGTTCGACAACCACGGAACTTGCTTCCGGAAGATCGCCATCGATCACAGCCACTGGCATCAGTGCCAGAGCGCCTACACTGACCACAGCCAGCGCGCCAGCGTCAGTTCCGAACCTGCCAAGTAGTAGTAGAACGAGCGTACCCGCGGCTGCGGCTTGGATAAGCCACAGCTTACGTGCACCGGTGTCAGCAGTCAGTGCCAGTCAACCCTATGCCGGTAGGGCTCCAGTCCTACCGGCAGCGTCTAGTTCGCAGTTTGGAGGCCATCAGCACTTTCAGGCTGCCATGCCCAGGGCAAGACCACCGCCACCAGCGTTTGCTCCACCGCCTGGACATGAGCCATGGATGCAGATGAAGAGAGTATCGATAGAAACTTTCACAGGCGACAAGAGGAGGTATGAGGAGTGGAAGGCGTCCTTCATTCCCTGTGTCGATTCGTCACCGGCTACTCCAGAGTATAAGTTCCTCCAGATGAAGCAGTTTCTGGGCAGGGACGCGTTGTAAGCCGTCGCCAATCTAGGCTACATGCAGAGAGGCTATGATACAGCCAAGGCACGGCTAGAGAAGAAGTTTGGCGGCAAGCGCCGTCAAGTCGCAATGTACGTGGAGGAGCTGGCTAGGTTTACCGGCATCTCCGGAGATGACCCCAGGGAGCTTGAACGCTTCGCAGATTTACTTGAAGTCGCCGCAGTGAATCTGCAAGATGCTGGTCATTTCGCTGAGCTTCAGGCTGGGACATTCTACATGAACCTGCTACGGAAGCTGTCTGAGAAACTCGTCGCCCAATATCAGCGGTGGCTATTTGAGCAACGGAAGCAAGAGTCGGTTCTCGCTCTGTTAGAGTGGGCTACCCAAGAGGCGGAGTTCCTCGTTACGGCAACCGAGACAGTACGAGGGATGACGCAGTCCCATAAACCCCGATGGAGCAAGCCGACCACGAATGCCAGCGGCAACAGTGAAAAGGCCAGGACCTATGCCAGTTTCAGCACCAGCTCAACCCCGCAGAAACCGCAGAAGTCGCCGAAGTGCCCCACTTGCGAAGGAGGGAACGGTATCTGGCGGTGCAAGGCTTTCCTGGAGATTGACAACGTACAGAGATGGACTGAGGCCCAGCGAGCAAACCTCTGCTATCGCTGCTTGGCATTTGGACACCGAGGTGGTGAATGCAAGCGTGGCTGGGCATGTGGAGTAAACGGCTGCCAGGATAATCATCATCGTCTCCTCCACGCTACGAAAGGTGGTGCGCAGAAAGGCACGCCGTCTAGTGGCCAAGCCAAGGATACACCCAGTAATGCCGAGAGTAAGAACCGGACTGGTGAAGTAGATGGTTCTTGTCACGCAGTGCAGGCTGTTACCCAGGGGAGCTAACAGCTGGAGCGACAATGGCAGTTCACTCGTATCGCAAGGTGGCACTACGGATTGTGCCAGTGGTGCTACGCAACGGCCCACAGGAAGTCACGGTGAATGCCTTACTGGACGATGCTAGTAAAACCAGCTACATCAACACAGCCGTGGCTGGCCAGCTCGGTATCAGTGGAACTCTGCGACGGTCGACAGTCAGTACATTGAATGGGAAGGTGGAGACCTTCATGACAGCACCGGTCAGCTTTACCATCGCTAGTATGGATAACTCGTATCAGCAATCGGTGACAGCGTTCACCACAACAAACGTAACCGGAGACCTACAACCTGTGGACTGGTCGCAAGAGGCTGAGAAGTATGGTCACCTCCGGGATATTCCCTTCCCGGCAATGAGCAAGCCCAACGTCATCGAACTGCTGATTGGAAGCGACAATGCAGAGCTAATGATGTCCCGTCGAGACATTAGTGGCGATCCCGGACAACCAATAGCACGTCAAACACCGCTTGGATGGACATGCGTCGGCAAAGTACATGCAGCGGACACAGACTCGAACCAAGAGGCCTTCCACGGCCAGTCTTTCCTGTGTTGCGGCGGCCCATCTGTGACATCACTTGAGGCAACGCTACGGCGTTTCTGGGAGGTAGAGCGCTACGGCACGAGTGAATGCACTGATGGGCTTCAGGAGCCTGGCATACGATCAGCCGAGGATGAGAGCGCGCTCAAGACAGTGCAGCGGGCTATACAGATGGTGGATGGACGATACCCGGTTTGCATACCATGGAACAACAGGAAAGTTGAGCTCACGAATAACATTGTGATGGCCAGGAAACGGCTGACAAGCACAGAACGCCGCCTGCAAAAAGATAGCACAGTTGCAGCGGCCTACCGAGGTGTGCTGAAGAGCTACGAGGACAAAGGTTACATGGGAGCTTGGTGCAGCAGAAACGGACCAAGATCAGTGCTGGTATCTGCCACACTTCGCAATCGTAAGGCCACAGAAGACCACAACAAAAGTTCGCATAGTATTCGACGCAGCAGCTAACTACCGTGGACTGAGTCTGAATGATGCAATCAACCCGGGGCCAATACACAAATGTACATGATCGTATTTGTACCAAGGACGAAACACTTCTGTCCGCGGATTGAGTATTTCGCTCCTGCTCTTTTAGTAGGTGAGCACTTTCATGTGGGGTAGTGCCTTTGCTGATTGCGTTACGCAGAGCTCACTGACTTGTCAGTTTGAGCACTCTGGCACGGTACATTCGGACCTGGTTTAAATCTGGCTTTGGAAAATATATTTTTCATTGCTATCAGGTTTGACCTCATTTTTGCTGTGCGGCTCTGATGAGTCCACAAAGGATGGAACAGTTCTGTCCGCAGATTGAGTATTTTAACTTTAAGTACTCATGAGAACAACGAGAAGAATAGCAAAGTGATAGTAGAGGAAACGCCAGTCAACAGCCTGTGGAAAAGCAGGAGGAAATACTGTTTCTGGGACGTGTGTAGGCATACAGGTGCAAAGGGCAACCATAAGAGGAAGCCATAAACACCATACTCCTAAACCACAAAACACATGTTCACTCAAAGTAGCAACAGTGTTACTATAAATGTCAAGGGATCGGTCCGGCAAGTGAACTGCCTGAACAATTTCAGTGTTTCATTTTTAAAGACTTATTCATCGACTAAACAATGCAGCCATTTCAAATTCTGCACAGGAATCCAGTGCTAATGTTGAGCTGAACTTACACAGCGATAGTCCGCACCAAACCTTGATCTCTCGCTCCTGTCACCTTCTGAAAATCTGAAATATCAACAAGACCAGGCACACAAAGAACTCAACAGTTTAAACCCAGTGATTCAAGTACCGTAAGGTCTTGTATAAAAGCCGCGGCTTCTATGACTTTCTCGGAGAAATTTTGCAGGCTTCTATACAAGACAGGTATTTCTATGTATGTCAACACTAAAACCAGGCTTATGTGTGATTTGATGGGCCCAAAATTGCGGCTTCTATTCGAGGGCGGCTTCTATTCAAGTGTGGCTTTTATACAAGACTTTACGGCATGTAGGCGTAAAGTACCGCAAGGGCGCCCTGGTGTCTCGCGAGAGCCCCCACCTTGATATTACAGCCAGGGAAAAGGAAATTTATATAGCAGAGTGCAGCCAGGTTTGTACGGTGTGAGAACCTTAGTGTACTAAGGTCGCACACAGCGTGATCTTGTGTATAGCTCCAACGGGCAAACTGAGTATGGACTGACATCACAGCGTGCATTGTGTGTACAAGGTAGGCGTCGAATGTCCTACAGAGAAGACACCGCCGGCTTCACATCACAACACCACAGAAGGACGAGCTGGTGGGGTGCATAAGTCGAACCATGCATTGCACAATGGCGCTTTCAATTTTTAGCGGAGTTCGTCAAACTTGAAGGAAGGAGGAGGAGGGGGGGGGGGCAGCTAAAGAACACACACGAGGAATCCAGCTACTTTCCACGTACGACAGTTTGAAACGGAATAACTGTTCGGGACACTTGTACTTCAGAGTACCGTGCTGCTACGAGAGTGTCACACATACTCTACTCTTGTATTATGCATGTGTTGCTACGACAGTGTCACACATACTCTACTAGTCTTGTGTTATGCATGTGTTGCTCATCTCATCGCTCGCATATCTACTCCTGTGTGTTGCTTCTTTCCGACTTGCCTTGGATCTCGGATGCGTCTACGCGAGTATAGGTTTATTCTCTCGTTCGATCATTCATTCCTTTCTTACGTTTCGAGTGAAGGAGATCGATATCGGCAGATCATGTTCTCAACGTGTAGCAGTTCCCGTCTTAGTTTGTCCTTCGTATCGATTATTCCGTGAATATTGTCTAACTCTCTCACATGTTGCACGTCTATCACAATCGTGATAATACGGAGCGGCAGCCATTTGTGGTGAAGCTCTAGTCAATCACTAGTTTACTGTCGGCATACCGGTACTATGTTCACTTGCTACACAAAGTCCCTTGACAGAGATATCTGCAGCAGCTCTAAAAACAGGTACGTTCCGGTGCCATCCACAGACTGCCCTATCTCCCAGGAACGCGTTACAGTACAGGGTCTAGACATTTGTTAACGTCCGTTGTACAGTTGCATCATCGATAGTCTTGCCTGTGCACACAGCCAAGCTCACATTAATTCATAGTAAATTCATACAGGTATACAGGTGAAGTCAGAGTAAAGCCGCTTTGTATGCCTGCGGTAAAGGATCATGGATGCCCCCATACCCACCCACCCTCATGCATCTTCATGCATCAGGTCCCAGTACATATATGCACCTTCAGGCCCCAGTACATATTCCCCGTTGCTCACTTATCTATGCACTTTGCACAGACGACCGCCGACACAGGACACGCTTCCAAGTGCGCGCTCATGCGATGCCGCTTCACCAGAACTGTGCAGCCCTGTGCGCGGTTGCAGCACGGCACTTTCACGTGGCGGCAAATGTTCTGCAGATGGTCATCCATGTCACATGAGGGCACCATGGCGCTGCAATTGTCGCAGCCCACTAACGGATATGACCGGCAGTTGAACTCCTCCGCCATTTTAACCTGCGGCAAGTACATAGTTTTAAAAACGTTCACACAATATTAACAGCATCGGCAAAAGAAAACACGCACATACTAAGTACAGCAAAACATGTTATAGGTGACCACTGCAATCTCCCATGTCCGCTCATTTTGAAGAGCAAGTCTCTGATTAAGTTCAAACTAATCCCCATACTGGACAGCACATGTACATTGTGTTGAAGTACATGATATTCCACTTGCACTATACATTTAACTAATCTGAGGCTTTTTTGGCAAGGCCCATGATCTTCAGGAATGAAGTCACTGCAGACAAAACAGAGATTACATAATGTGACAACTACGGACATTGTGACCCAAAGGTGTGAGGTTTGGGAGGAATAGCATGAAAGTGACGGTGTGGTTAACTAATCGGAGATTGTGTATACCAGTGCTGCCAACCAACTGGGTCTGGTTCGCGTAATGTGACTTATGATTTTTCGTATTTCGCAGCGATTTTGTGTACTGCCAATGTACATAATTGCTTGTATTGTGTGTGTTTTTTTACACTCACATGCACCTCTGTGGGCCTTATTTGCAAGTGCAAAACATGTGTGACTTGCTGAAGGTAGTTGTAACACAGCATACACTCGCTTTGGTAGAGGGATATTCATCGCTCAGCTTGCACTTGCCATGCTTCTACAAAGCTGATAGATCCTCTTCAATTTTCCGCACCATCTCGCTCTAAATCCCGCAGTGCAGACGAAGGAGTGAACTGATTTTCCGTACAAATACGAAAAATAAGCCGGGAAGTTTGGCAGCACTGGTTTATACTATCACACATTGTGCCGCAGTCACCTCACCAAACGTACGGCACCTATCACAATAGCAACAGTGATCAGCTACAAAGATTGCAAGGCAAAGTCATCAGATGCAACAAAAGACGCACTGGGGGTCCATGTCGTTTCGTAGCTGGATCATGCAGCACTAGCGGTTGTGACTTGTTGTGAGCCTCATTCGACTGCAGTTCAGGTACATGTTGCCCAATGTGCTATGCATAACCGGGTTCTGTAAAAAAAACACCTCCCCTGCTGACCCCCTTGGGTAGGTTTTAAAAGAACCATTCTCGAATCTTGATACCACCGTCTGTCACACCGAGATGGTAGAAAATAGTCAGCTGGACTACCAACTACCAACACTTTTTGGATGTACAGTAAAACCTGTAACTAAAGACCACCGTGACTAGCGACCAGCCTGGTACTACCGACCACTTCGCCAGGCACGGACGGTCTCACATTCAAAATGCACTGTGACTAGCGACTACCTGCTGAACGCGACCAGCGACCGCCTCTTCTTGCCCCAAAGACGATTACTGACCCGTAACTAGCGACCGCGATGTCCGAAATCAAATGTTGCTCGAAGCTCCTTCCTGAAAATTTGCTGATTTTCCATGGTCCTGAAAGGACTCTTTCGATACTACTGCTGAACAAATGAACACAGGTCATTTTGACTGTGGAATCGGTGTGGACTACACTACACCTGTCCAAATTTCAAGCTCTGTCAAGAATAAACACGATAGGAAACGTCTTGGAGAGCGCATCGAAAGCGCTCTCTAATCGATGTTACTACTTGGAGGAGAAACGAAGACAGAGCGGCTCTGACACCCCAGTCATACAGACAAATCGACGATGGCATCAAGGAATCCAGAAACAAAGCAGCACCGCAAGGTCCTGATGCTGAAGGATCGCGTTCAAGCAATCGAGAATTTACAACACGGACAGTCGGTACGATTGATCACATGAACAAATTTGAAGCCCAGCGTAAAACTTGACGAAACTTCTACAGGGAACGTTTGACTCCTGGTTTCAGAAGTAGCAGCTGAATTTGATGTCTGCAAAAAGTAGTCTTCTCCCTCTGTCTCTCTCCGTCTGTCTCTCTCTCTCTCTCCAAGTGTTGTTTGACCTGAAATAAGAATGGCATTGCGCAAGTCCTGGGAAATCGTATTAGCTGCATTTTGACATACATATCATATACGGGATCCATATATGGTCGCGCAGTGCAAACCTCTAACTAAAGACCACCTGCCACTAAAGACCTCTTTTGCTGGCACCAAGGGGTGGTCGTTAGTTACAGGTTTTACTGTATTGGCAATGCCACTGCATTATTCAATTTTTCATAACAAACTCCCTCTGTCGACAAAAGCTCAGGCCGTAATTTAGCAATGTAGACAGCCTCTAGCACATCTAGATGGCACTTGCTGCGTGCCCGCGCATGAATCTTGAATCTACCGTACTGGCAATATATGTTGCCGCAGTGAGGCCATGAAGCGTTACATTAGAGAGTTTTCGCACGGCGTGCAACGTGACAACGCCGAACGCGAGGCTATTCACGTGCGTGACGCACTTGAAAAGAGCTTTCGCAGCAGGTGAACATGGTGAACCATTCGAACTTTGCGTAAATCGCACGTGCTGGGCCATCAAGTGCCAACGTGATGAGGCCGGTTTCCACGTTGGCAACGCGCGTTTGCCTCGCTTCTGAACGTGGCACGTGACCTTCGAACGCGTCAAGTGAGCGCGTTGCACGCCGTGCGAAAACTCTCTAATGGCACATGTTTGCCGCACGCAGGGCGTTACATACAAAGTCGCACAGGAGCCGTTACACAGGTTTCTATATTGCCGCAGTCCTTTTTTTGCTATTGCAGGACTTCCTGCTGCGTCCAGTTTTGAACTTTTCACCACGCGGTACACGTGCTTTCACAGTTTTCAGCCTTTTTTTGCAATGAAAAGATCGCCGCAACCCGCCGGACGCGCGTTACGAACTCAACGAAAATTTGTCGCACTAGCCTGGTCGCGCGTTACGCCGCACCCCCCTGCGTTACGCGTTACGCGGCAACATATATTGCCAGTACGGTAGATGTGCTAGAGGCCGTCTTCATTGCCAAATTACAGCCTGAGCCTTGTGGACAGGAGTTTGTTAGGAAGCTAGTTGCTATCCTGATTATTCAATTTATTATAGCGATAACAAACTGATGATGGTCTCAAGAAAGTCGACTAGGAAAATGTATTCACCATATTATCATGATTATTCTCTTTGTTCTCTGCGTAATGTCCGCTTCACTACATGTAATACTATTTATCGCTATAATAAAGTTATTGTCTCCTTGCGCCTACTACTGTACTAGTAGTATTATCGTTCAATTTATTTTTTATAAATAACTGATGGTGTTACTTACCGATATGATACTAACGAACTGCTACTTGATAGCGGTGGCTTCGTCTCCTATCCACCACGCCGGTGCTAGCCAGCTAGCCAAGACCAGGTGCAGGTGCAGACCGGTGCAGCTTAGATCAGGTCCGCTTCACCGCCGCCAGATTCAGAGCTAACGTATAACAAGTAGATACTAGCACTTTATAATTTACTCGGGTCACCCACAGAAATCAGAAGTCGCTCTCTTTACTTTTTACTGTTACTTTTAGTCTTACTGTCTTAGTTAGGCCGATGAGTGACCGTCATGACAACGATGTCGCTACACAAGTCATGACATGATTTTGTGTAGCGACATCGTCGTCTTTTGTACTTTTTTTCACTGCACTGGTCACAGGCTCACAGCCTAGCGCCTGGTGACTGGTGTCTAATGTAGTCGAGTACTAATACTACGAGTGCTCGTTGAGCTGGGAATGGGATGCATTTTTATATTTTGAGTCCGGACTGTAGATCTACGCATAGATCACCCTTTTCAGGTGATCTACGGATACCTAACAAAGCACCTCAAATTATTTTCAAATGATTACAATATCTACTATTTCGTCGTCTTGACTTGATCACAATCAGCACCGCCTTTTCTCACGGTCTTATCAGCTACCAACAAGCAGCGGACTTCATGAGGCTTCGTCTTGGGAGACAAACCAAAGAAAGTGTGTGACATTCCGCACTCGCCTCAGTCAAACCAAGAGTACATAACCCCTGGGGTTATGTTCTCTTGGTCAAACCAACAAGTGGATCTTCATGTAAACCCGGAGAGGCGACGAGCGAATGACTATGTCAGAACTTATTTCAGTGTTCCGTTCGCACTGCACATGTGCTGGTTTATGCTGCGCTGCTGATCACCCGAAAAGTGGGGAATACAGGATATTGCACAGTAGATTTCTACTATCCGCGAGGATTATTTTTCATACCTAATCCCCAAGGCGCGCAGAAACGTGCCCATACATAGATATATAGATCTACATGTTACGATGTACCATGATCGGCGCCTGTCGAGTCATGTCGTCGACACATCGACTCGAGCCACGACTCTCCCCGCCCGCTAGCCGCAAACCACGTCATCAACGGTAGTCCACATGACATTACTCGTACTCCCCGCCCAGCTCATACGAAAATGTGAATGATGAAAGTAAAATACACTGTTTATGAGAAGTGATTACTTCAATAGGATCTAGGGAGGACTCACCCACAAGCGGAACCTATTCGCCCTGAGGCCCTAATCTCAGGCCCTCCGCCGCCTCAACCGCATCCTGTTATGTCCGACAACCTGTCCCGTGAGGCCATCCGAAAGGCTGCTTTGCACACTCATGGAGCAGCCGGGCCTTCTGGTATAGATGCAGATAATTGGCGGAGAATGGTCACTGCCTTTTCGGCAGCATCGGACACGCTGTGTGATTCCCTGGCTAGTTGTGCACGCCGGTTGTATAATTATATTCATGATGTGGATCCGCCATCACTCGAGGCGTTCACTCACTGCCTGCCGCCTGATCCCGCTGGATAAACGGCCAGGGGTGCGCCCCATCGGCATTGGGGAAGTCGTCAGAAGGATCGTGGCCAAAGCCATACTGTCGGTAACAGGTAATCAGATCCAGGAGGCTGCTGCTGGTACTCAGCAACTCTGCGCTGGACAAGAGTGTGCGGTATTGAAGCGGCAATCCATGCCATGCACGATGTATTCGACGATGACGAGGTGGATGGTGTGCTATTGGCTGACGCCTCCAACGCGTTTAACCGACTTTTAAGCGACGGGTCTGCCTAAGGAACATTCGCCACCTTTGCCCATCCCTGGCCCCCATTATCATCAATACGTACCGCCATCCCGCCAAGCTCTTTGTGGATGGTGAATGCTTGCTATCCTGTGAAGGCACTACCCAGGGACCCTGGGGAACGGCGGATTATGCCGGCATAATTATTGGCATAATTTGGTGGTTGAAAATTTGGAGCATATTTTGGCATCCTTTCGGAAGTAGGAGCATAACTACATGATTGTACCCTATCAAAACAATAAATTCTACTACCGGTACTACTATTCTACTACTACCACAGTTCTCAGTACGTAGGTTACACAATTGTGTACAATGCACCTGATCAGCGCTGGTGGTCTGCATGGTAAAGGGTTCGGGGGTCATGCAGATAGTGTTTCAATGGAAAGCAGGGTAGAACTCATGGCAATACATTGTTGTATGCTCGAACTCGTCTTCTTCAAAGTTCCTTCTCACAAATGAGACAGTACATGTAGCAGAAGATGTGAGTGAATCAGCCGTTATCAGGTATCCTGGGGCGGACGAGTCCGCAAAACTCCGCGTACATGGACATGTGCGTTATGCATGTTACGAAGTCATGACCTCTGAATTTTAGCAGCCATGACTGTGCAGGCTATTGCTCTAAAATAAAATGAGGTATAGTTGATGTTCGGTCATGATGGAAGGAGAGGTGGAGCTACGGGAGAGATGAGCTGATTAATCGCAGGGTGAGGGTGGCATCGGTTGGACGAGTATGACGATTACGAAGACAGTTGAACATGACAGTTTTCAAAGGTAAGGAAAAAATCTTTCAAAGCAAAAGAAGTCAACTAATGAGTAGAAGAAGTAATGTTTTCTCTTTTCCAGGTTGATCTCCAGTATGCATGGACACCTTGGTATGGGGATACGCACGTATTTTGTTGTACTTATGGCCACTTGCAAGTACGAAAAAGGCACAATTTTCCGAACTCTGAGGCTCCATAATCACAACAAAGTGAATATGTATCCCCGCGTGCTAAAGCATAATATGAGGATTTTGCGAGCATAATGCGAGAATCCATGAAAGCATAATTCCATGATTTCGCGGGCATAATCCGCCGGTGCCTACCCAGGGTGATCCGGTGGCGATGCCGATGTACGCCTTTGGCATCGTACCCTTGGTCCAGGCAGTCAACTCACCCGACATCACCCAGGTGTGGTACGCGGATGACTCTTCCAGCGGTGGAAGACTTTGAGCCCTCCGCACCTGGTGGGATGGGCTGACTGAGCAAGGAGATGCCTATGGATACCACCTCAACGCCAGCAAATCCTTGCTGCTGGTGAAGGAGCGCGCATATGATGAGGTGGTTGCACTCTTTGCTGGCACGGGTGTCCAGATCGTCAGAGATAGCTATCGTCACTTGGGAGCCGCTTTGGGCATCCCAGAGTTTGTCAGCAGTTTCGTTGAGTCAAAGGTCACCGACTGGACACGTCAGGTGTCTCGGCTATCCGATTTTGCCCGGACTCAACCCCAGGCTGCCTACTCCGCATTTGTCCAGGGTCTACAAGGCAAGTGGTCTTTCTTGTCCCGGACCTTGGAGATATCATCTGAGGAGTTTGGTGTTCTGGAAGCCATCATCAGGGAGCACCTCATCCCAGCCCTTACTGGTCGCCTCTCTCCGTCCAGTGTGGAGCGGCTTATGCTCTCGTTCCCTTGTCGGGATGGAGGTTTGGGTCTCTCGATTCCCACCGCCCAATCTCGCCACACCGCCCACACCCGAGCTGTTACTAATGAGCTCAGGGAAAGGATTGTTCAGGCAGATCCCTCGCTAGCTGGTGTGGCAGACGCTACCAAGATCGCCAAACACCAAGTCCGCACTGCAGCTCGGGCATCACAGCAACAGCTGAAGGAGGGATTTGTGAGCGGTGAAGGTGCTGTACATGCGGCTCAGCTTGAGCTTGCTTCGGAGCGTGGTAGCTCTGCTTGGCTGACGTCACGTCCTCTATCCTGCCATGGCTTTCGTCTCTCTAAGTCTGAGTTTCGAGACGCTCTGTGTTTGCGCTATGGCTGGGTGCCGGAGCGTTTACCGCCATCCTGCGTTTGTGGCAACGCGCGCTTCGACGTCTCCCACGCGTTATCCTGCACGACCGGTGGATTTCCGTCTTTGACACAATGAAATCCGTGACGTCACCGCCGACCTCATTCGCCAGGTGGCTCACTCGGTATCCGTGGAACCTCCACTGCAACCGCTCTCTGGTGAGCAGTTCAGCCTCCGATCTGCGTCCTTAGAAAGTTAGAGGACAATGCTCGCCTCGACATCGCTGCCAGTGGGCTATGGGGTGGCCGGTTCGAACGCACAATGTTTGATATACGGGTTTTCAACCCCTATGCTGCTTCGAATCGTGCTGCCTCAACCGGGCCTCCTTCGTGCCTGTCGTCATGCCGGCTAGTGGTGGTGCTGGGAAAGCCGTCACAGTTTTGTACAAGCGCTTGGCTGCTCTTATCTCTGAAAAGAGAAACGACCAGTATTCTGCCACCATGGCGTGGATTCGCACTCGGCTGTGCTTTGCGCTGGTGAGGTCGAGCATCATGTGTTTGCGTGGTGCCAGATGGTCCAAGTCCCGCTACCTCCAGCGAGATCCGGTTGCGGTTGTCGCTGCGGAGGCACGCCTGCGGCCTGAGGCATCTGACTAGCTTAAAAAAACCAAAACACACATTTAAAAAAGTTGCTTGGACTGAATTTCACTTGTTTTATTAGTGTATTATAGTTACTGCGCAGTACTGTGCACGCCAGCTACATAATCATAATAACTATTTTTGGTTTTGCCCGTACAAGAGGCTTTTCTACATCAAAACAATCTAGGGAGGACTCAGGGCACCAGGGAGTCGTAAACACCATAATACCACCGATGCCGGTGGTATTATATGGTTGACCATTCACGCTATTATTATTATTATTATTATTATTATTCTTATTTAAATTTTGAATACGCTAACTACTGTTACTTTGACCGTTTTTGTGTGTTTCCAAGACATGGTTAGCATTTCGGTTTCTGAGACAACGATCGACTTGTTACGTGACCCTACATGTACATGTAGTTGGAATCTTACCGTTTCGTTCTCCCGCTAAACAGAGCTTTCTATTGTCGAAACGATACCAAACCCACGGTATTTGGAGTGCTGGGTACGAGTACCGTTGGATTTAGCGTGAACGGTAAAATGCTATCCATGTCTACGAAAGTAAATTAATGAGTTGGCCGGATTCGCGGCCGCATCACCTGACGTGTTTAGGAACGCATCAAGCAAATACATTCGCATCGGCGGGCCACCAGGTGGGTGGCAAGGATGCGGTTTATGTCTAGTGACTTTCAGAAATACATGTATGGTGGTTTCCTTGCGCCCGCCACATCCTAGGTTGAAAACACCAGTGGCAGTG